AAATGGGACATCCAGCATTCTACCAGTATCCCATACAACCCAATTACAGAGCAATGTAATCAAACCTTGAAAACCCAGCTTTCAAAACAAAAAGGGGGAGTTAGTCACCACCAGCAGTTACGGCTTGCACTCTTCACACTCAATATATTAAATTTTTCTTTTTTTTTCATAATTTTATTTATTGAATCACTGTGAGAGCAGTTACAAAACTTTCGGGTTTAAGTCTCGGTCACACAATGAAACACCCGTACCTTCACCGGTGCCCATTCTCCACCTCCTAAAACCCCAGTATGGGGGCTGGAGTGATAGCACAGCGGGTAGGGTGTTTGCCTTGCACGCAGCCGACCCGGGTTTGATTCCCAGCATCCCATATGGTCCCCTGAGCACCGCCAGGAATAATTCCTGAGTGCATGAGCCAGGAATAACCCCTGTGCATTGCCGGGTGTGACCCAAAAAGAAAAAAAAAACAGTATACCCCCATCCCACACCCTCCCCCTACCTGTGAGGCAGATGATTTCTACATCACACTCTCTCTACTTTGATTACATTCAATATTTTGACACCAGACCCACCATTATTATTTGGGATTTTACCCCAACACTCAGATCTGCTGAAAAGGCAACAGTAGACAATTTGTTTTCTATTGCTGGTTATGAATAACATATGATGTCGTGTGGCTGCAGTAGTGGCTGCACGATTTTGAAATTCCGAAATTTTAACAATTAAATCTGGAGGGGAGATGGAGGTGCCGGGGATTGAACCTGGGGCCTCGTGCATGCTAAGCACGCGCTCTACCACTGAGCTACACCCCCGCGGCACACATGAAGGTACTGGCAGAGGGACAAAGTCACGTGGGTTCTGGGGCCGAGATCTCCAAGCCTACTCGGATTTGGGCCGAGCATCCTCCACCTAGATCCTCCAAATTCCAGTAGGCGGGGGTCACACCCACCAACTGGCCCCCTGGCGCCGTGTAATCCCATCAACGGCCAAGACTCAGAGACTATAAAACCCAGCTCCCAGAACCGCGCGGCCGCGAAGACATCCTATTATGACATCTTATTATCTCATTCCTACTTTGGACAAACTGGCAGGCTACCGAATGTAGCCTGCCCACACGGCAGAGTCTGGCAAACTCCCCGTGGTGTTCCCAATATGCCAAATACCAGTAACAATGATGGGTCTCATTCTCCTAAAGAGCTTTGAATATAATCTCAGGGCTAGGATGAAGGAGACGTTACTGGGGCCTGCTTGAGGCAATCGATGATTAACAGGATGATTTGTGATTTGTAATTGAAATCTGGAGGGATTTCTTGCCGAAACCTGCTGGGTTTTGAGATTTGTCCCTGAGTCTCTGGGATCACGGCCATTAAGCAGCTTGATCAGGAGCTAGAGAGGCCATTTGTGGGTGGCGACTTAGGATCACGTTGGGGTGAGGAGGAAAGGGCCGGCTCCATCCCCATCCCATGAGGCCCCGCGTGTCTTGTCACTGCGGGCCCAAACCTGACTGTCCAGTGGCCTCTGAAAGATGGCGGCCACCGAGCCACCAAGGGGGAGCAGGCGGAGGGACAGCACCCTTTCCCCTCTGGGGTGGCCCTAATTATATTAAATTTTTCAAAAGAAGATTCTCGCATGCCTTTTCACTGGCACTGACAGCAGCAGGAGGCACGATCAGAAATCCTGGTCCAATGGAAAGATCCCTCCACAGGACAATGGAGAGGCCCAGATCCACTCATTACTTCTGGTTGAGGCTTTGGGTGTGTGTTTCCTATTTCTGAACCCCAACCTATCTGGGTGCCCACAAGGGTCCTCAAATATGTAGATCCTGATAACACCCAGGGGTGTGATGACGCCTTGATGAGGATATCCTTTCTGTTTAATTTCTAGATGGCAGTCCCCTTCTGGATCATGACATTCCTTGCGGTCGCCGTGGATGCCACCGGACACTGGCCGTACAACCTCATCTGAGAACTCAATCGAGTGGGGAGTGACAGATTGGTGGTCTCCATCACAGAACAACATCGGGTTGGGACCTGGCTCCCGATGATCACATTTGATCTGAGTAGGATGTCACTATGGATATCAAGGTCCAGGATCTAAAGGATTGATCCAAAGGCATTATTTTTATGTGTGCCCAGGCACAAGAAACTGGGAAATGTGGAGGTGTTATCAGACTGCTTTTGTAAGAGCTGGGACTGGACTTATTATTCCAGCAAGGGGGGGGAGGGGTTGTGTGCCGCGTTAGGGGGAGAGTGTTGCTTTTATGCTTACCACACTTGTGTCTGCTTTGGCCGGGTCATTTGTTTTACTATTTGCTATTTGTAACACTTGGGCCATATATTGTAAACCGCCTGTTCAGATGATAAGAACCTGATTTGGGGCCGTGGTGATGCTCAGCTATGCAGTGACAAACCTGAAGACCCTCGACCAGGAGATGCAGCCTGGGTGCATGTGGCCATGGAAGGAGTGTGAGAAAGTGTAATATAGCCTCCACACTGGGTCGGAGAGCTAGGGACGGGTAAGACCTCAGAGGAGGCAACCTAGGACAGGCGCGACCCCTAAAACCCCAGCGTGAGGCTGCCAGGTGGCCCTCGGCGGCTGACTCTTACATAAAACAAAAAGGGGGAAATGTTGGGGTCTCAGTAGCCGGCCTGAGACTTTGACTAAATCCCCCGCCCCTGAAAGAAAGAGCTGGCCCTGCTTACAGGGGCCCAGGGGCTTGCTCCAGCACTCCCAACACACCACTCTGGTCAAGGATGAAGGATGTAATAGTTCCTGTCTACCTGAGTTGATACACCTGGCCCTTGAGAGCGGGCGATGTAAATCATTAATATCTGTACTGAGCCTGACAAGGTGTGCAGATGGCCAGGGCAGAGGCTTCTCCCCTTCCCACTCCCTCTCCCATAACGACTAAGTCCGGCGACCAGGGGGATCGTACTCCAGTGTGCCGGGGTCGACTGGCCAGGACCCCGACAGCACAGGACCTGGGAGCTGCTCCTGGCGACACTTGCTACGTCCTGGGGGTACCGTGCTGTTAGAGGGATGCCAGAGCGTGAATCGGCCCCACGTATGCCCGACACGTGCCAAGGCCTCGGCACTGTCCCCCGCCCCCCACCGTGACAAGGCTGAGCACGGTCCCCCCCTGCAGGGGCTTTGATTCGGCCCCACACCGTGACCCTGGCCCCTGAACCCAAAGTCCGGGGTTTTGAGAGCTCCCAAGGAGCAGAGCCGGTTTCTGGGTCAGGTGAGGACTGGTCACTTCCGAGTCCCCCTTGTCCTGGGCGACTGAACAATGTGTCCTGAGCACCGCACTCGGAGCACCCCCTAAGGACACTGGGTCACGTGGAGGTGGGGCACTTGGCTGCCGTGCAGCCGGGTGGCGGCAGACCCAGTTGAGACTCCACACGACAGCTGGACCCCTGAAACCCACCCCCCATGAAGTGTCAGGGTGTGAGGCGGCTGGCTGCCTGGTTTGGTTTAGGGGCTATGCCCAGACCCTTGCTCAAGGGGGGGGCGCCGGTGGTGCTGGGGACCAGATGGTGGTGGGGCGGGGGCCCACCCGGGCCTCTGATACGAACCACAGGCTGCACGCTCGGAGTTTCTCCCTGGCTCTCGTGTGCAGGTGTTGCCACAGGAGTCCTGGGCTTGGCCCTGGCACTGCCCGGACCTTGAGCACTGCAGGGAGTGAGCCTTTGCCCCACCATCACCCGGTGCGGCCCCCAAACAGAAACCACTGTCTGGTGAGTCAGACCACACAGAAAGGAAAGAGGGACCCTAAAGCCCCGGGGCAGGGGGCCCAAGGGGACCCACATCCACCACTGGGCACAGTGCAGCCTCAGGACCAGCTCAGCGACGCGCAGGCCTGCCCCTCCGCCCGGCCCTCGGCTGCCCACCCCCTCGCCAGGGCGCGACCACCCAGGTTACAGCCGCCAGAGTTCAAGATTTTATTTGAAAACAAGAGTAAACAATGTCAGGAGTTTTCATTGAACCGCCTCACGCTTGGCTTTTCTCCAGCAAAAAAAAAAAAAGAAAAAAGAAAAAAAACAAACCAAAACCAACGTCAAAAGGAACCAAGCAAGAGAGGGGAGGGGGTGTGAACGCGAGTGCCCGGCCGAGCCGCCGCGGGCACCGACTCTCCCAACAGAAGAAAGCACCGCGGTCTCGTGTTCCAGCAGCGGATGAGGCTCCTCCACGGAGAAGACGGGTGAGTGTGTGTTGGGGGGGCGGGGACCGCCCACACAGGGCCCAGCAGCCTCGAGAGCTTCCAGAAGCTTCTCCCCCCAACCAGCTGGCTTTCAAGCCCTTAGAGGTGTGGTCCCTTCGGGAGGTGCCAGGCACCGGGGTGGGGGGTGGGGGGGGTTGTGCGACCCCCCCCAGCCCTCCCCCCCCAGCCAGGGCGCAAGTTGGTCCCAGCCTCTGGGAGGGAGGGGAGTCGGGTGGGGCCGCGGCGCTCTGATGGATGGAGATGAGGGTGGCCGCCGGCGGGCAGCGGGCAGGGAGCTGTAAACAGCCTGGGTGCGTACACACACACACACACACACACACACACACGTGCAGGCGTACACACACACACACACACACACACGTGCAGGCTCAGGACGGGCTGGGGACGCGAAAGCCCTTTGGTGGACCGGGACGGGCGGGACAATGAGAGCAGCGCCGAGTGGCCGGGGCCGGCCCAGGAAACACTGAACAAGGAGGCTGAGGTGCGGCCCGGCGGGGAGCTGACCCCCATCCCCCCTCCGGCTCACGGCCCGCCCGTCCGCGGCACCCCACTCGCCTTTGACAAAACCCCCAAAATAAATAGTGTGGATTTCTCGCACCTCTGGAGGCCGCAGTTCCCCGCTCCCCACCCCCGGCCTGGCCCGCTGGGGCGGCGGCAGCACAGCCAGCACCCCTCGCTGGCCACGAGGTCCCCGCAGAGGCCACCAGGGTCCTGGGGAGGGGCAGGCCCAGCCCTTTGGTCCACCTTGTTCCTCAAAATGAAAATACGAAAATAAAAGGCTCCGCTTGGCGACTCGGGTCAGTCGAGGTCTCGCCTTTTGTCCCTCGGTCAACTCCGTCTGTCCGGACCCAGCACGACCCTGGTCACTGTAGCTTCGTCCCCAGCTTGCGCTGTCTGTTCCTGTAGTATGATGGGGGTGGGGGGAGGCGGGGGTCAGAGGGCCTCTGTCCCACAGTGGGGGCTGGACACCCCAGCAGCCCTGACCCCAACCGAGGGAATGTGGCCCACGGAGGAAGATAAGACCAAGGCGCCTGGCAGCATCCCGGAAACGTCGGGGAATTCTCGGTCCCGGGAGCCACACTGGGCGGGGCCGTTTCTGCCAGCGCGACCAAGCCAGATGAGAGATAGTGATTCTCACAGCAGGAAGGATGTGAAGCAAAGGGTGCTCATGGGCTTCGGAGAGAACCCAAGAACTGAGTGAGAGTGTGTGTGTGTGTGTGTGTGTGTGTGTGTGTGTGTGTGTGTGAGACTGCACCCCCTGGTGGTCCCAGGAAACTGAAAGCAGCAGGGATGATGACCCCCTCATTCCTGGCACCACCAAACAAAAACATTGTCCAGAAAAAGGGCTGGTGGGCCAGAGCGATAGCACAGCGGGTAGGGCATTTGCCTTGCATGCAGCCGACCTGGGTTCGATCCCCGGCATCCCATATGGTCCCCCAAGCACCGTCAGGAGTGTGATTCCTGAGTGCAGAGCCAGGAATAACTCCTGAGCATCGCTGGGTGTGACCCAAAAAGTTAAAAAAAAAAAAGAAAGAAAGAAAAGAAAAGAAGGGCTGGCTGGTTGGAATCTCAGAAACAAGGCGAGAATGGGACCCTCCCTGAAATGCGGAGCCTGGGACCTAGGAGAGTGCTCGCTTCGCTCAACTGAAGTTCCAGGTTCGACCCCTGCACCACCGAAAATCAATTAAAGATCCTGAGACTTGGGCCTGCGGACTAGCAGAGCATAAGACTTGCCCTGTGTGCAGGAACTGGGCCCAGGCCCAGCATTACCTGGTCCCCCGAGCACCACCAGGACCACCACCAGGAGCTGCCCCAGAGCACAGCTGGGGTGGCCCGACACCTCCCAGAACCCAACACCAAAATCCAGACACCCCCCCAGGGCAGGGTGGTCCCAGGCTGGCCCCCTGCCCAGACCTCCGGCCGGCCACCAATTGCCAGACACCCCCCCTATGTTGGGTCTCCTGGGCAGCGCGCTGGACCCCCACAGCCGGGCCAACTGCCGCCCCATCTCATGCTGCTGGCCCTGTCCCCAACCCCCGCCCACAAAGCTGTGGTGGCCCCGGTACAAAGCAGGGACTAAGGGGGCCTCTGGACAGGCAGTGGGTCAACTGAGTGGGGCTGCGTCCCGCCATGCCAGGGTGCCCGCTGGCCCTCACCACCACCCCCGACCCCCCCATAACACCCTCGGGGCTTCCTCCTTGGGTCTCGGGTCAACAGCCACGACGCCCTGACCCCGGCACCGTGCCCCCCAGTCCCCATGCTTTCTCCCCAGGTTTCTCCCGAGGCTCTGGCTCAGCCCAGCTCCCCCTGCACCGGGGGCGGGGCCCGGCACCCCACCCAGGATTTGGGGCGCGTGAGTCAGGAGGCCGAGGCCCAGCTCTGTCCCAACGTGCCACTGGGGCAACCCCCAGCTCCCTGGGCGCGGGGCGCCCCCACACACGGCGTCCACCCCTCCCGGCGGCCTCCCCGCCTTGGACAAGCAGGCCGGGAGGGCGTGGGCAAAGGCGGCTCTTGGGAAACCTCTGAAACTGGGGCAGGAGCTGTGTCCTGCGCGCAGGGCCGCGGCCCCCGGACTCACCTCGCTTCCGCCCGGGTGACGGTGTACTCGAACCACAGCACGTTGGGAATGAGGCTGGTGTCCCGGATCAGGAAGAACTCAGAGATCGGCCTGGGGGGTGGGGGGGGACAGAGGCCCGAACCCCGCCAGGTCAGTGGTGGCGCCACACGCCCCCTGGTGGCCGCGGCCAGTATGGCACCCACCCCAAGCCAGGCTGGCCTCACCCAGGGACATGGGTGTGGGCTTGGGGCCAGGCCTGGAGGGAGGGAGGGAAGGAGGGTCCTCCCCAGGACGCCCACCCACAGGGCGGGCAGTTACCAGGCCGCTATCCTCGGGAAGAAGGGGGTGAGGACCTCCTGCGTGAAGACGAACCAGACGACGGCCAGGAGGCTGCCGGCGACGCTGCCATAGAGCACCTGGCTCCAGGTGTGGTACAGCAGGTAGACCCTGGTGGGCGGACACCATCTCAGGGCCGGGAGCCCCGCACGGCAGCTGCCCCGGGGCCCTCGCTGGGGTCCCAGAGCCCGGCCGCGGGGTGCAGGCCCCTGGGGGAGTCCCGCCCGTACCTGCTGTAGGAGACGAGGAGGGCCACGGTGAGGAGGCCCAGGGAGACCACGTGCCGCCACAGCAGGTCCAGGAACCTGGCGTTGTTGGTCTGGTGCATTCTGGGAAAGCGCCCGTCAGACAGTGCCCCACCCCCCCGCCGCCCCTCCCGCCCCCGGGCGCTCCGGGGGTGACAGTGAGTCCCGCAGCTCACCGTAAGTACAAGAAAAGGAAGGAGTAGACGGAGAAGAACCACATGAACTGGGCGTGGCTGGAGGGCATGCCGTACTTGGTGCCCACCGCCGTGTGGGGGCCTGGGGAGAGAGGAGGGGTAAGGGGGGCCGGGCGAGGCGGGGCCCGCCCCCCACAGCCGGGCCTACCTCCACAGGGCCGCGGCTCCTGCACCAGGCGCTTGACCAGCCAGTTGACCCCCTCGTTCAGCCCCAGGCCCCCCAGGAACGAGATCTGCCGGGAGGGGACGCCGTCAGCCCCAGGCCGGCCCGTGCCCCCTCCCTGCCCCCCCTGCCCCGCAAGCAGGGTGGGGGGGCAGCTGCGGAGTGCACACGGCTCGGCTGCACCCAGGGACCAAGCCCTGAGCACTGAGGTGGGAGCAGCAGCCCCCCCAGACAAAGAGGCAGCAGGCAAGGGGGGTTTCGGGGGAGGGGGGACGCCAGGAACGGGTGTGGCTGGCCGGTCACCAACCCACCGTGTGCAGCTCCCGCTTGAAAATGATGAGGGTGACGAAGCCGATGATGATGGCCACGGGAATGAGGCTCAGGTAGGCGAGGATGTGGCCGGAGAGGTCACCTGGGACAGGGAGAGAGGGGGAGGGCGGATGCGTCTGGGAGGGGCCCGAAACAGCCCCCCTGACCCACAGGCCGGAGAGAAATGCACCAGCGGGCGGCCCACGTGGGCTGGGTCCCCGGCACTGCCAAAGCATGATCCCCGAGGGCCGGGCCAGTGGCGGGTGTGACCTGCACCCTCCCTGCTGGGACTCAGGGTAGGGCTGGAGGTGCCTGCCCCTGAGAGGGGGTGGGAGGGCTCACCTCCGGGGAGGAGGCAAGCAGATGTGGGGGGCGGCATGGGGTGGGGGGGAGAGGGCGGGCTGGGCCCCACCAGGGTCCCCGAGCTGCAAGTGTGACCGCCAGTGGCATGTTAAGCCAAATCAGTCTCGAGCCGGCAACACCTGACAAACCCATCTCCAAGGGCCAGAGGGAGGCCAGTGCCGGCCGCCTGGGGTTCAATCCACAGCACCCCAGACCCCCCACGGGGTGTGGGGTCCCCTGCCCAACAAAAACCAACCCCCAGAGCTTCGGTGGCTCCCGTGGCTCCCGGAGGGGCAGGCTGAGAGGGAGTGGGGAGCGGGGTCGTTGCAGGGTGCTTGGACACCCACTGGGCGGGGGACTAAAGCCCTCAAATTCCATACTAGGCTTGTCCAAGATATGTTGATTTTTTTTTTCTTTTTTGCTTTTTGCGTCACACCTGGTGATGCACAAGGGTTACTCTTGGTTATGCACTCAGGAATTACTCCTGGCGGTGCTCAGGGGACCCTATGGGATGCTGGGAATCGAACCCGGGTCAGCCATGTGCAAGGCAAACTCCCTACCCGCTGTGCTCCAGACCCAAAATATGTCGATTTTTTTGGAGAAAGTAAAATTAGATCAAGTGCGTGGGACTGCATCCCCCCCAAAAAATAATTAAAATGAAAGAGGTCAGCACACACAAGGGGTCCTACGGGGGAGAGGCCAAGCAGCGGGGCACCTCTGTGCCCCCGAGGGTCTCCCAGCCGGCACACCCGGGGTCACAGGCACATGACAGGCTCCAAGTGACCTAGGCGGAAGGGGTAGGGGTTGGGGGCCGCACCAAGAGCTGGTCAGCAAGCCCGGAGCGATGGGACAGCGGGAGGGCCCACACCTTGCACGAAGCCAACCTGGGTTCGAACCCCAGCATCCCACAGGGTCCCCTGAGCACCACCAGGAGTGAATCCCGGAATGCGGGGCCAGGGGTAACCCCTGCGCATCATCAGGTGTGGCCCCAAAACCAAAAAAAAAAAATAGCTGCTGGTCCCTCCACTGCTGGGCACCAACCCTGACCCCAGAGTAGGGCCCTGGTCCAGGAGAGATATTGAGGGTCCTGGGGCCACAGTGTCCCCCCACCCCAGCCTGCAGAAGCCAGCAGGGACCCAGGCCATCAGGGGCAGGAGAATGAGTGGCCGTGACTGGCCCCTCTTGGGAGTGGCCAACCAGCTCCCTGTTTTCCCGCCTTCCGGCCTGGGAGGGAAGGACCCCCATGGCCCGGCAGGGTTGGCAGGAGGCCCCTGTGCAGTGCCCACTGTTGCAGGCTCCCGGGGGAAACTCAGCTCCAACCCGCAAAGTGGGGAGATGGGTGTACCCCAGGCGCCAGTGCTCTGGCACAGTGAGCCCAGGGGACCCCGCATCACGCCACACCCCCTCCATCCTGCCATGCCGGCAGCAAAACCACCAGGGCATGGAAAATGGCCCATGCCACTTGACTGGCCCCGGGGTAAGGGCCCCGCGCTAGGCTGAGCCCCGCCTCTACCTGCTAGGGTGCTGTTGACAGCACTGGACCCGCAGGGCAGCCAGGGGCCCCACCCCCAGGGCTCCGCTCCCTGGGCACCTGCTGCCCTATTTCTAGCCCTGGGCACCCGTGCTACCCCAGGAACCGTCTGGGGGGTGGGGGTGGGGGGTGAATCTGGCAGAAATGCAGGACCGCCACCGTGGTCCACGGGTGCTGTGGGGCTGGCGGAGGGGGCACTGCGACCCGTCCAGGCCGCGGTCGGGTGGGCAGTGGGGAGTGCGCTGGCCCGCAATGAAGGGCTCCTGGTTCCCGACTTCTGCTCAGCCCCCCCCACCCCGCGAGACAAGCCTCACTCAACCCCAAAGCACTGCAGATAGCCAGAAAGAGCACGGCTCGGGGTGCGGGGGGCACTCGGGGGCATCGCCGGGGTGAAGGGGCCTGGGGCCTTCTCCTGGTCAGCCTGCTCAGCTCCCCAGACTCAGCCGAATGAATGAATGAATGAATGGACGAGCCCCGCGGGGCGGCCGGGTAGGTGGGGCCCCGCCCCCCGCCCCCACCCGGGGTGAGCCCGGGCAGAGAAGGCCAAAGTTCCCTTGGCACGTGCCCCGGGGTTCCCAGGGCCGCGCCCTCCTCGGCCCCAGGGTCGGTGGGGTGGGCTTCGGAGGGTGCCCCCCAGGCTGCACGGCACCCACTGACCCTCGCTGCAGCCTCGCCAGGGCGGCCGCTGGGATGGGGAGTCCAGGCCAGGCACAGGCTGACCCTGAGCCCAGACACCGCTGACCCCAAGGCCGCCAGACCCACTGGCACGGGGGTGGGGTGGGGTGGGGTCTCGCAGGGGGAAGCGCCAGACACGCAGACCCCGACCCCCTCGGCGGCCCCTCGCGGCGGTTGGCCCGGCCCCGGCCAGGGCGTGGCCCCCGGGAGCGCTCGGCACGGCCCGCGCCCGCCCGGGTCCGCCGCACGCCCCGCGCGCGGGGGGCTCGCGCCCTCCGGGCCGGGCGGAAGCGGGGGCGGGGCGGGGCGGGGGCCGGCCAGCGTCCGGCCGCGACCCCCGGCCCCGCAGTCCCCGCGCGGCCGCAGAGGGCGCCCGCGAGCCGGCCCGGCTCGGCCCAGCTCGGGGCCGCGGCACGGCGCCTGCGCGGCCAGCGCCGGCCGAGCCCCTCCGGGGCCGTTTTGACAGTTCCCAGCCCGCCCCGCCGCGGGCCTCCGCGGGCCAGCGCGGCCGGAGCGCGCGGGCCGGCCGGGCCGGGCCCGGGGGGCCGTCCGCCGCGCCGAGGCCGCCCCTCACCTGCGGGATACTCGACGTGGGTGAGGGTCACCGGCCGCCATGAAGCGGGGAGCGAGCACTGTCCGTCCGCTGCCATCTTACCCGGAGACCGGGCTCGGCCGGGCAGCCAATGGGGAGCCGGGGGGGCGGTGGTCCTGGCCAATCAGGCCGCGGGCGCGCCGCGCGTCCAATCGGAGGCCGCGGCCGGTCTCGACGCAGCCACTGAGCGTGCGGGCCGCGGGGCTGGCCCGGGCGGCGAATCAGAAAGCGGGGCCTCTGGGAGCCGAGGAGCTGGGCCCGCCGGCGCCCAATCAGAGGCGAGCGCCGGGAGCGGTCGGGCCAATCAGGGAGGCGGAGGCTTCCAGCCCAGACCCCCGAGCGCAGGAGCCAATCCGAAGGCAGGAGCGGCGCGCAGGGTGCGCGGGGCGAGCCAATCAGGCGCGAGCTTGGGGGGCGTGTGGCACTTTGGTGGGAGCTTCGGTTTGGCTGTTCCGGTCCTGGAGCCCGGCGCGTGCCGGCGGGGCTCGGGCGCGGACGCTCGCGCGCGCCGCGGAACTCTGAATGCGCGCCGGGAGCCCAGCTGCGCGCTGAACCCGCCCACTTTTAAGGAACGAGTGAACTGCGACCCGAGAAGGACGGGACGGGACAGTGCAGGCGACACAAAGCGGGCCGAGATGCGCGCAGGTCGGGGAGGCAGCGCGCCCTGGAAGCATCGCGGGTCCCGTGTGACTTGCGCTGGCGCCTGGCAGCACGAGGCAGAGAAGAGTCGGGGTGCCGGGCCTGCTTACTCGGAACAAAGCAGGGGGATTCAGACCTCACTCCTCCCTCACCGCCCCTTACTGAAGCCTAGAGGCCAAACAGTAGAAAGACCCCTGCCTTCTTTCATTTGAATAACTGAGGATGTACTCACCAGTCCTGCTGGGTCGGGGGTGGGGTGGGGGGTGGGCCATGCAGTGTGTGTCGGGGGGATGGAACTTGGGGCTCTTGCACAGACTGCCTAGCTCCAGCCCTTTAGGTCATCTTCCCGCACATAGGAACATTTTCTTTTATATGATTTTATTTGGGGGGGGAGGGGCTTTGGGGCCACATCCGCGGTGCTCAGGGATCGCTCCTGGCAGGGCTCAAAGGGATCATATGTGGGACATTTCAAAAGAAGCTGTTTTGGTGCCAGAGCGACCAGTACAGCGGGGAGGGTGCTTGCCTTACTCCCAACCCACCCGGGTTCGGTCCCCAGCACCCCATATGGGCCCCTGAGCTTGCCAGGAAGGAGTCAGCTCTGAGCACTGCTGAATGTTGCACAAAAACAATAAATGAATGAAATTCAGAAGCTGTTTTATACATCTGGGTTCTTCTGGGTTTGGGCAGTTTGGTCTGTGGTGCTGGGGATGGAACTCAGGGCCCCACACAAGCGAGGCTGAGCCATCCCTGCCCCTTTGCCCAAGATTTGTTTTGTTTTTTTTTGGTGGCTCAAGCACTAGAGCTGGAGCTCAGGGCCTGGCACAAGCTAGCCTGCCACAAGCCAGACCCTGCCTCCTAGTTTTCCCAAAATGCTCCTGTCTGTGGCTTCCTGAAACCTTCCTACCTCTTCCCGCCCCTCACCATCCTGGATGAATTCCTCAGGGTCCAAGTGAGAGAGCCAACACACACACAGACACAGCCAACATACTCACACTCACACATACACACACTTGTTTTTGTTTGGGCCGCATCCAGCAATGGTGAGAGCTAACTCCTGGCTCTGTGCTTGGGGATCACTCCTGGCAGGCTCAGAGTGCCAGGATTTAACCCACGCTAGCCACAGGCAAGGGGCCTCTCCTCCCCTGCCCCCTCCCCCCACGCATCTGGCAACAGGGCTGCAGTCGGCTCCTTGTCCTTGTCCGAGTCTCCCAGTGAGCAGTGGCCCAAGGCCAGCGTCACCCAGAGCGACTTGTAGCAAACAAGGTAGAGCCAAAGAGCACAGCGGGGAGGGTACTTGCCTTGCCATTCTACTGACTCTGGTTCCATGCCTGGCATCACAGAGGGTTCCCCAAGCATGGCCCAGAGTGACCCCTGGGCACAGTGCTGGGAGCACCAAAATCAGCCCCCCGAAAAAGAGAAGAGAGGTCGGGTGCTCGCACTCGGGGCAGGCTGCTCCTCCAGCAACGCAGGGATGCAACTTTGGCATCTGCAGTTGGGGGCGAGGGGGCCAACCACGAGTTACCAGCCTGTGGCCCTGTTCCTTCTTCCATTGGCTGGGAGGTTGGGCATTGGACCCGAACGCATCATGGGACCCTAGTCACCAGGGGACAACAATAACGACAACTACTACAAACATCTGCATTTTTAAAGACTTTATTTTTGGGAATCACACCCGACAATTCTCCGGGATCACTCCCAGATCTGCTCTCAGGAATTACTCCTGGTGGGGTTTGGGGGACCATACGGGATATCAGAAATCGAACCCAGGGTGACCACGTGCAAGGCAAGCACCCTTCCCGCTGGACTGTCACTCCGGCCCCTGCATTTTAATTTTTTGAAGTAAAACAATTTTATTTGGGAAAGAAGGGAGAGAACAAAAGAAGTACTGACTTTTTACCGAGAGCAAACATGGGCGGCTGGAGCAAGAGCACAGCGGGAAGGGCATTTGTCTTGCACGCGGCCGACCTGGGTTCGAGTCCCAGCATCCCACAGGGTCTCCTGAGCATCGTCAGGAGTAATTCCTGAGTGCAGAGCCAGGAGTAAGCCCTGAGCATCGCCAGGTGTGACCCAAAAAGCCAAAAAAAAAAAAAAGTGAAGTAGAAAGTGCATGTTCCAGGCAGGCAAATGTGCCCAGATTATTAGAAAGGGCTGGATGCAGAGAGAGGACAGTGGGGAGGACATTTGCCTTGCACACAGCTGGCCCAGGTTCGATCCCCTGCACTGCATTGGGTTCCCTGGAGTCTTGTCAGGAGTGATTCTTTTTTTTTGCTTTTTGGGTCACATCTGGCGATGCACAGGGGTTACTCCTGGCTCTGCACTCAGGAGTTACTCCTGGCGGTGCTCAGGGGACCCTATGGGATGCTGGGAATCGAACCCGGGTCGGCCGCGTGCAAGGCAAACGCCCTACCCCCTGTGCTATCTTCCAGCCCCAGGAGTGATTCTTGCCAGCACAAAATCAAGAGTAAGTCCTGAGTATTGCTGGGTGTGACCCAACTCCCTCCCGCCTCCACACACACACACACAGAAATACACACAAAGAAAACAGGAAAGGGTACATGCGGGAAAGTACGCCTGAAGTTCAAGAGGGGAAATCCATGTCTCAGGCCCAGATGCGGGCTCAGATGCGGGCTCTCGCGCCGGGCAGCTGCATTTGCGTGTGTCGCCGCAGGGGGCGCCTCGGGCAGCTTGAACACAGGACTGGGCCGCCTGGGTTCTGGAACAGGTGCCTGGAACTGGCACCTGGGAGGTGACTGAAGGGTGGAGATGTGGGGCCGCGCCCTCTGTGGGCTGCGGGGGGGGGGGGGGGAATGCAGAACACAGCCGGGAGGGCTCTGGCCTTGCACGCAGCTGACCCAGGCTCGATCCCTGGCACCCGATCTGGTCCCCCCATGCTCTGAGCACTGAGCCAGGAGTAAGCCCTGGGCACTGCTAGGTGGGACCCCCGGTGCCCCTCGACTTGACTCCGTGCCCTGCAGCCCCGTCTGGCCCCGCAAACCAGCCCAAGAGGCAGAGTCCCCAGGGAGGGCCCCGCTCAGGATGGGGGTGCAGGAACCCCAATGTGAGAGGGGAATCTCGGGGTGGGGTTTCCCCAGTAGAGAGGCATGTGGGCAGGTGACCCCAGGACTGGCAGCAGCCGCTGAAGCAGGAACTAGGCAGAGGGCGGGGGCAGGGCCAGGGTCGGGGGTCAAGGCTTGGAGGGTCCCTCCTGCCTCGGCTCGTGGAATGGACTGGTTTGGCTTTTTTCCTCATTTTTTTTCACCTTTTTTTGGGGAGGGTGTTGAGGGGGGCTCCCCTGCCGTGCTTGGGGGTGTTGTGGTGCCAGAGATGGAATCCAGGTCCTGAGTTTCTCAGGCACCCGCCCTCCCCTCTGAGCCATCTCCCAGCCTGGGCCTGGCTTTTTTCCACAATGAGTGGCTGAGCCCCAAATTCCTGGGGCGAGACAGGGACACGCTGGCACTCTATGAGGCAGATGCTCATGCTCCGGGGGAACCACTCTTTGGATTTGTCCTGCCAGGCGCGCTGTCCCTTGGGAGCAGAGTGCACCCTCCCGCCTGTCACCCAGCAGATGTGTCAGCACCCCAAGAACCACCTGCTGAGCAGAGCCGGGAGGAGCCCCTGAGCACTGGCTTAACCTCAGACTAGCAAACCAACAAGCAGCACTGCGTCTCAGCTGCCCAGCCTCCTGGGCTGGAAACCCTGAGGTTTAATGAGATAAAGATACTGCACCCATGGGGGCTGGAGCGATAGCACAGTGGGTAGGGCGTTTGCTTTGCAATTCCCAGCATCCCATAGGGTCCCCTGAGCACCGCCAGGGGTAACTCCTGAGTGCAGAGCCAGGAGTAACCTATGAGCATCGCTGCGTGTGACCCAAATTGCAGAAAAAAAAAAAAAGATACTGCACCTGAGCGAGAGCACCGTGTGGAGGGCACTTGCCTTTGCACGCAGCTGGAGGTGTCACCAGCCCACCTAAAGAACTGGGAGGAAGCCGCAGGCATCAGGCCTGCTTGCACCTAGGGCCGGGCACGCCTCTCATGGAGGCCCGCGGCCCGGGGTTTCCCTGCTCACGGCACTCGGGCCTGGCAGCAGAGCCTGGTACAAGGTTGGTGCCATGCTCTAAAGGCACGGGGCTACCCTGTGCCTTTTGTTTTGGGGTGTTGGGCATCAAGCCCACCAATGCACTCAGGGGCATGTGTGGGCTGGCCACCAAGCCCTGGGCACTACTGGGTGTGGACCAAACGCCAATGAACTGAATGCAAAAACCTTCCCAGGGGCCACAGATGTGGCTCAAATGGTCAAACACCACCAGGAGGTGGCTGGCAGGAGGGCACCTCTACCTGCTGTCCACGAAGGGGACATCTGGGCCCCCTCCCTCTGCATGGGTGGAACAGGTGTGGTCACCCTGGCTGGGAGCAGCTCCCGGTCCCAGCACCAGAGCTGGTGACCCCTAATCAGCTCTCATGGGAACAGAGCACTGCGGACAGGGGCGTCGTTTGGGTGCTGGGGGTCTAACCCCGGGTCTCTCGCATGCCGGCTAGTGCCCGACCATTTGAGCCCTGACTCTGAAGTTACTATTTAAATACTGGGGGGTGCTGGGGGGTATGCAGAATCATAGCACAGTAGGGAGGATGTTTGTCTTGTAGGCGGCCGACCCGGGTTCGATCCCCAGCATCCCATATGGAGTGAGCCCCGAACACAGAGTCAGGAGTACACCCTGAGCGCCGCCAGGGAGAGCCGGAGAGAGCCAGGCTCTGTGAGCAAGAGTTTGAGCACCATCAGGAACAACCGTGGAGCACTAAGCCGGGAGTTGCCCCTGATCACTGCTGTGCTGTATATGTGTACCAAGTGCAAACAAAAACGTCCCTCAAGGCTGGAGGCGGATCTGAGGCTGGCATGCTCTGCCCACAGGAGGTCTGGGTCCAGGTCCGACCTGAAGGCTGGTCACCCCAGCACCACCAGGACCAAGGCCTGGCACTACTGGGTGTGGACCAAACGCCAATGAACTGAATGCAAAAACCTTCCTGGGGGCTGCAGAACGTGGCTCGAGTGGTCGAGCACCACCTCGTATGTGTGACCCCGCAGTTTAGGTTTCTTTTATTTGGGGAGGACACATTGGCAGTGCTCAGGGCTGACTCCTGGCTCTGTGCTCAGGACTGATCCTGGCAACGCTCAGGACACCGAGCCAGACTCAGCCTTGAGTGATGCTTTAGCCTTTAGCCTGGTGCTCTCTCTGGCCCTGTTTTTTTTTTTCTTTTTGGGTCACACCGGGGGGTTACTCCTGGCTCATGCACTCAGGAATTACTCCTGGCGGTGCTCGGAGGACCACATGAGATGCTGGGAATTGAACCCAGGTCGGCCGCGTGCAAGGAAAACGCCCTACCCGCTGTGCTATCATCCAGCCCCTCTCTGGCCCTGTTTTAAGCCCCTTCCAAACCGGCCTTTTGCTGTGGCTGCCCTGAGGCTTGTGAAACTCTGGTCCAACCCACCGGCCCAGGCTCCTCACAGCGCCGTCACCCCACTGTGGAAACACACCCGATTGCCTCGCAGCCCTGCCCGGCCTGCACGTGTTCAGACACCCCAGACGGCCCTGACCCCTTCCCCTGAACCTCCGCCTGCTGCACCTCAGGGCCTGGGCCCGAGGCCGACGCCACAGCCGCGCCCCCCCAATACAGCCGGGACGTGCAGTCATGGAAACATTTATTGGACCCGCGCTGACCGCAGCCGGGACCGCAGCCGGGACTGCGCGTGCGCACTCGCGCGGGCGGGCGGGGCACGTCAACACAGACACAGTGCTGGTGCGGCGCCAGCCGGGACATTCACAGAGCAGGGTTAAGTGCAAATGAACGGAATGTGGGGGGCACCCCGGAGCCGGGCCGCTGCAAGGGTGGGGCAGGCTGCACCCAGGAGCGCCCCCACCCCTCGGCGCCCAGCCCCGGGGCTCTCTGCAGCCCGGCCCTCCTTCTCCGGCACCGGAGAGCCAGGCGGCCCGGGCGGAACCTCAAAATAAAGTGTTAAGGCAATAAATAAAACACCCACCTCAAGTGCAAACTCACGGGGTGGGAGCGGGCAGGCGCCGGGCAGCCCCGTGACAGTCCCCAGCCAGGCTCCTCCAACCCCGGCATGCCCCGACTCCGTGCCCGGCCCCACCCCCCAGAGTCCCGGTGGGGGTGGCTCAGGGCGGACCCACACACACCCCCGCGTGTGGGGAGCGAGCCCAGTGGCAGAGGCGGGAATGTTGGGGCCAGGGTCCTGGGGATGGGCACGGGGAAAGCGGACAGCGCCCCCCTCAGTCCCTCCCGAGCCCACTCACGGGGGCCCAGGGCTGGTGGGTGAGAGGGTGACGGGTCGCCCCCCCCATCTCTGCCTGTGCGTCGTCCCTGCTCCGACAGGGGTCCCGCTAGGCCAGCTCGACTGGGGGCCCATTCTCGGGGGGCAGCGCCCCGTTCAGGCCCACGCTGCTGGCGGCCGGCGCGCCCAGGAAGCCCAGCAGGATGTCGCTGCGGCGCCGGGACAGCTGCAGGATGTCGTCGGCCAGCGCGGGCACCGACGTGTAGCGCATGCTGTCCAGGTCGAACATGTCCCGCAGGTACTGCACGACCTGGTGCTGGGCGGGCCAGGCAGGAGGGAGGGTCGGTGTCATCCCCATCGCCGTGGGACCCCGGTCAGGACCCCGCCTGGACCCCCACATTCCCGGACCCGCCCCGGTACCTTGAAGAAAGCGCAGACTTCAGCGAGCTGTGGCTTGGGGCCCAGGAAGCCAAAGGCCAAGACGGGGCTCACGTGCTCCGATACGGAGTAGAAATGGGAGATGAAGCCGTCGGGGACCTGCGGGCAGCCAGGCTGAGGCCGAGGGCAGGGGGATCCCCGTGGGGGGGCGGCAGCTGGTGCCGGTCTGAGGCTGTGGGCATGAGCTCACCGAGCCTCGGTTTCGTTTCTGTGGGACCGGGAGACCCCCCTCCCCCTCGCAGTGGGCACCGTGCGGGGGTGGCAACGCTATCACTGAGCAGCCCCAGAGTAAACGGGCAGTCAGTGGCCGCCTGGGAGGGCAGATAACGGGCCCAGTAGGGGGGAGGGGCTGCCCTCCCCCCTCCCACTTCTCCATCTGTTCAGTCTTCCCGGGGCCCTTGCTGGTGACCTCAGAGAGACTCCTGGTCAAGGGGACAGCTTCACAGGCCAGTGGCCAGCGCTGGAACATAGACCGGACACTGCGGCAGGCCTGGAGGCCCCAGCCAGGCTCCCTCTGCCCACCACACGGCCCCTGGGGGGGGGGGTCACTCACCATCAACAGTCTCCTCTTGGCTTTTAACACCGACCAGCAAGCAGTGGCCAGGGCCTAAGGGAGATGACCGAGCCCAGGGTCAGTCCCAGCCCACCTGGGGCACAGGCCACTGCCAACGCTGGGGTTTCCGCTAAGGATTGGACACCTCAGACCGTTTTTGAGTAACGTTTGTTTGGGGGCCACACCCAGCGATGCTCAGGAATTCCTCCTGGCGGTGCTCGGGGGACCATATGGGATGTCGGGAATCAAACCCGGGTCGGCTACGTGCAAGGCAAATGCCCTCCCCGCTGGACTCTCTGACCCCAGCATTTTCTAAAGACTCTGAGCCTGGGACAGGAGACATAGTACAAGAGTTAAGCCTGACCTAGGTTTAGTCCCTGGCGCCCCATGTGGTTCCCGGAACACCACCGGAGTGACCCCTGAACGGAGAGCCAAGAGTGAGCCTTGAGCAACTGGCAGGTTGGTCCTAAATCAAACCCTCCATAAGCTGCACTGACCCTGGACAAAATGTCCACCGGGTCAGGAGTGACTTCAGGACTGTAGGTCAAAGGCTCTGATGTGTGTGGGTGTGTGGGGGGAGACCCCTGGGAGGCTTCAGGCTGAGGCCTGTGTCCCTGATCAGAGGGAGGGCAGCCTGCCCAGAGAGGTGACTGGCGGGTGGCCCAGACGCTGCCTTACTGCTGAAAGCCAGGGACGGGGCAGGGGCCCAGACAAACCCACAGGCTTGTGTGAGTGGGCACGTGTGCGTGCATGGCTGTGAGTCTGAGTGCGAATGTGTGACTGAGAATGAGGATTGGGAGTGTGAGGCTATGAGCGTGCGTGAACGTGAGTGTGGTTGTTCAAGGCCAGAGGAGTCTGAGTCCAAGTGTGTCCGAGAGTAAGCGCGTGGATCTGCGCGTGAGTATATGAATGTGGGTCATGTGTGTCTAGGGCTGTAAGTCTGTGAGTTGAGCAATGTCCGAGAGTGTTTGCGGGCGTGGGAGTCGGTGAGTCTGTGTGAGTGTGTGAATGTCCACAGCGAGGAGCATGGGCCAAGGCGTGAGTGGCGGGCCGGAGCGAGGGGGGCCGCAGGGAGGGCGTTTGCCTTGCATGTAGCTGACCTGGGTTCGATCCCTGGCATCCCATATGGTCCCCTGAGCACTGCCAGGAGTGATTCTTGAGTGCAGAGCCAGGAGTAAAGCTCTGTGTGTATGCCGCCCCCCGACAAACTGTGAGTCCCTGAATGTGTATTTGGTGTGTGCACATGTATGACTATGACTGTGTGAGTGCATCTGGGCGTATGTCTCTGTGTGTGACGGTCTGTATGAGTATGATTCTATGTGAATATATGTCTATGTATGAATGTGTGTATATGAGTATGTGAGTGTATGTGCATGTATGTGAGCTTGTGTGTGTATGAATGTGTGTATTTCTGTGTGAGTCTGTATGAATGAGTGTGAGTATATGAATGTGAGCTTGTGTATGTGTCGGACTATGTATGTCTGTGTGTGTATGAATATGAGTCTGTGAGTGTGAATGTGTGTGCATGTATGTGAGCTTGTGTGTGACTGTGTGTATGTCTGTGTGTGAGTGTGTGCATGGATGAGCTTGTGAGGGTAAGACTGTGTGCGTGTGTGTCTGAGTGTATGAGGGTGCGCGTGCGTGTATGACCGTGTGGCGTGAGAGCCGGCGCAGGGTGAGGGCGGCGGGCCGCACCGTCTCCTTGAAGCTGTCGGAGAGCCAGCGGTTGCGCAGGACGGCGAGCACCGAGGACGGGGGGTTCTCCAGGTCCTCGAAGGCGTCCATGAGGATGAAGTCGAGCACGATGTCGAAGAAGCTCATGCACACCACCTGCGGGCAGAGCGGGGTTCAGGCGGGGAGGGACCCCGCCCCATCCTCACATGGGCGGGCGCGCGGGCCCCACACTCACCCCGCGGCCCTCCAGCTCCAGCCGCGTGGTGGCCCAAGTCTCCGGGCGCCGGGCGTAGCTCAGAAGCTCCTCGTAGCTCTCCAGGAAACCTTTGGGGCTCTAGGGGGGGAGAAGCAGAGAGGCCTGGGCTGGGGGAGGGGCCCCGTGCAGGGCAGCCATGCCAAGCCAGGGCTGGGCACTTCTGGGGGCCACAGGGGGCCCAGGGTGGGGCCCCAAGTCTGTTCTCCAGCCCCGCATGGCCCTCGAGACCAGTGGCCTGAGCAGAGGGGTTGCAGACAGACAAGCACAGCGGCGGGCGCCTGCATTGCACACGGCCAAGCCGGCTTTGACCCACGCCCGGCATCCCAGAGGGTTCCCGAGCCCGGGGTGATCCCTGAGTGCAGAGCCAAGAGTAAGCCTCGAGCATCACCAGGTGTGACCCCAAACCAAAATAAATATATACAAAGCACAGGGCTTGGGGCTCCTCCGAGGGCTGAAGGCGGCGCAAGGCTCACCCCCAGCCCCACAGGGTCCCCTGCGCACATCCGGGAGTGACACCCCCTCACCCACTAGCAAGAAGCCGGGAATAACCCTGAAGTTCCACCTGGTGCAGCCCAAATCACACACACGCACATACGCTCACACACACACACACACACGCGTGCACACAGGCCAAGTCCCTGCTGACTTGTGCTGAGCACTGAGCGCAGAGCACCTCTGGAACCAGCCGGCTCTAGCAGGTGACGGTGCTGTGGGGTGGGGTGTCCAGTGACACCCGAGAAGGCAGCTTCACGGGCACCAGGTCAGGCCTGGGAGCCAGCAGACGCGCCTGTAACACAAGCGGCCTGATGCCGGCGGGTGATGTAATGGATGGGTGGCGGGTCCCCGGTGCACTTGGACAAGCCTTAGGGACACGGGAGCCAGGAGAGGCCGGGCGGCTCCAGCAGGGAAACACTCAGGCCATCCGCCCTGTGTTTTGTGGGGGTCGGGGGGCCACACCCATGCAGCCTGTGGGGACAGCTTGAGGCCTGTCCAGCACCTCTCGGACAGACACCTCCTGGTCACAGCACACACCGACACTGTGGCACGCGAGGATGGTCAAGAGGGGCTGCCCGGTCCCACCCGCTGGGCTCTGCATCTGCCTGCGGCTCACTGACCTGCCAGCCATCCGAGACACCCCCAGACCAGACCCTGCCCCTCTGGGATCTGGGCTTGTTCCGGCCCGGTCCCACCACCTGATGCATACACAGTTGCCCGTTTTGGCCAACTTGGACCTCAAAATAGATGACTTACAAACAAATGCCAATGGGGGCTGGGGAGATGGTGCAGTGGGAAGGACATTGGCCTTTCACATGGCTGACCCAAGTTCGATTCCCGGGCCCTATGTGGTCGCCGAGCCCACTAGCAGTGACCTGAGTGCAGAGCCAGGAGTAAGTACTGCTGGGTGTGACATCCCCACACACAAAATCAATACATAAAGCCAAGGAAACAGGCAAGTAGCTTACAGACACGCCGAGGGCAGAAGGGTGACCCCAGGGGCTGAGGATGTGATAGTCCAGGGGAGTACGCTCGCCTCACATGGGGCCTACTCGGGTATGTTCGCCTGCACCCCACCGGGTCCCCCGAGTCCATCAGGAGTTACCCCTGAGTGCAGAGCCAGGAGCCAGCACCGCCAGTGAGGCCCATAAAGCACTCCAAAGGACACAGAGACCTACTCACAGCCAGCAGGTACTGAGCATCAGTCCTGAGGGGGTGAGGCCGGGGACCTGATGGGCAGGGTGACATGCCCACAGCACCCTCCACACTGCCCGTTCCTGAGCGCTCCCCAGGGCTCAGCTGTGGGCCCAGAGCTGGGCATCACCCATCGTGACGTATGACACAATCACCCCAGATCAAGCCCAGTTTCAAATGCTGCAGGGCTGGGCCGCCATGGGCTCTGCCACCCAGGAAGCCTGTGGGGGATGGGCGGGCTCCCGCAGAGTGCCAGGACCTGGCTGAGAGGGGGGCTGAGAGCAGGACAGGAGGGGAGACGCCCCCACCCTCACCAGTGCCCTAGTCACTGCGCCTGTAGAGCCCGGGGAGGGGGGCAGTGGGGTCCACCTCCACCCACAGGCCCAAAGTGGGGAGTGGCAGAGGTGACCTCCACCCCAGCCCCGGGAGTGCACCGGGGTGCCACAGACCAGGCAGGGCTTGTTTTGGGGCAACATCTGGTAGTGCTCAGGCTACCTCTGGCTTTGTGCTCAGGGGTCACTCCTGGCTCTGTGCTCAGGGGTCACTCCTGGCGGTACTCAGGGGACTACAGGGGATGCTGGGGACTGAACCTGGGTCTGTCCCATTCAAGGCTAGTGCCCTCCCCGCTGTGCTGTGGTCCGGCCACAGGATGGGTGAGGCCCCAAGCTCCTGCCCGGGATCAGGGCCAAGCTGCCCTGATGGCGTGGGGAGACAGGACCCATGCCCATCTTGGCTCTGCCCTCAACAGCGAGGACACCAAGGCCCAGCTCCGAGGCTCAACTCCACAGCACGCGGGCCCTGCCCTTCCTCCTCCCTTTTCTTCTTTCTCCTGGGTCAAGCACAGGTGCTCAGAGCTCAGTTCTGTGCCTCTTGGGACCCCATCGGGGCTGCCAGGGCTTAAACTGGGGCCGAACACATGCAAGGCAGGCTACCGTCCTGCTGACGACCTCTCTCATCCCTCTTCCTTTTGCTGGCTAGATGGTCCCAGCAGTATGGGGGGTGGGGGGGTCACCAGGGCCACATCCGGTGCTCTGGACTCCACACCCTCCCTGAGCCAAGCCCAGAACCAGGGGGAGCCCCTGAGCCTCCCCTAAAATGAGAACGAGGGGCCAGGGGAGCCTGGTGGGGCCGGGCCTCCTTACCTTCTCAGCCTTGGTCATCAGGCCTGCCACCATCTGCCGGCCAACCTCCCCGAAGAACAGCTGGTTTCTCTTGTCTTCCAGAAGGCCCTAGGAGCAAAAAAGGGAAGAGAGCTGCCAGGTGGTGGGCCCCGAACCCTGGGGGCATCCGAGTGGGCTGGGCAGGCATAGTGCCCTCCACCACCCCCCGTGGCGCGCGTGAAACACCCACCTCGAAGGCCTGACGCACACAATGCAGCTTCGCCAGGAAGTCCTGGTCGCTGTAGCAGCCCAGCAGCTCTGTCCTGGGAGAGGAGACACTCAGGAGCCCGCCCAGTGGCCCCCCCTCAGCCCCGCCCCCCAACTGGCCACTCCCCTGGCCCTGTCCAGCAGAGACGCCCAGGCAAAGGTTCAACAGGGCTGCGTGGCCCGCCGGGGTTCCGTGGCATTCCCCCACCCTCGGCCGCTCACCGCGGGGTCCGGCACAGCACCCGGCCCTCCTTCACCAGCTGCAGGGCCTCTTCGTAGGCTGCCGCCGGCCGGGACAGGGGCAGTGGGTAGTCGCCCACCTGCAGGGACTCGAAGAGCTGGGGACAAGGAGAGGAGGGGGTATCAGAGCTCAGTGTCAGCGGCCCGAGGATCGGAGCAGAGACCCTAGGGGCGCGCCCATCCCCCACACCCGGACCGACCCCCCGCTGGGCGGGGCAGCACCTCGGTGGCCGAGAAGAAGGAGCCGTCCGAGCTCAGGCTGTCCTCGTCGGCGTCCGCCCGGAAGTGCAGCGGGCCCTCGGTCAGCGGCAGCATGAGGGTGCGCTCTGCGGGAGGGGGAGGGACTGAGCTGAGACCCCCAGCCCACAGCCTCGGGGAGCTGCGGCCGGCGCCCTCGCTGGCTCCCAGGACCCTGCTGACCAGCAAAGCGAGCCCCAAGAGCAGAGGGCTCTGGACCACAAGACTGTCAGCACAAGAACGTCAGCACGCTCGTAGGGTCCCAGCCTCAGTGCCCCTTGCAGGATATGGTTGCCTGGGTCAAGGGCTCCCCAAATCTGTGTGCCCCCTGGAGAGCTGGGCCACCCTCAGATGCCCACGGAGTCAGTCCCACGGGGCTGAAAGCATCACTAGGGAAAGAGGGGTCAGCGCTGCCCTGGGCCGGGGGTGGGGTCAGGGTACCTGGGGGTGGGGTTAGGACATGCAGGGCGGGGCTAGAACACTGGGGGCAGGGTCAGTGTATCTGGGGCGGAGCTAGGGTGCTGGGGCGGGGCTAGAACACTGGGGGCGGGATCAGTGTATATGGGGCGGGGCTAGGACACTGGGGGCGGGGTTAATGTATCTGGGGCAGGGCTAGGGTACCTATGGAGGGGGTTAGGGTACCTGGGGGCGGAGCTAGGGCGCTGGGGCGGGGCTAGAAAACTGGGGGCGGGGTCAGTGTATCTGGCATGGGGCTAGGGCACCGGGGAGTGGGTTAGGACACCTGGGGGCGGAGCTAGGGTGCTGGGACAGGGCTAGAACACTGGGAGCAGGGCCAGTGTATCTGGGGCGGGGCTAGGGTACCAAGGAGGGGTTAGGGCACCTGGGGGCGGGGCTAGGGCGCTGGGGCGGGGCTAGAGTACTGGGGGCGGGGCTAGTGCACCCGAGGAGGGGTTAGGGAACCTAGGGTGGAGACAGGGTGTGTGTGTGTGTTATGGGAGCGGCTAGGGCACCCAGGGGTGGAGTCAGGGTGTAGGGGCGCGTTAGAGTGCTGCTAGGGAAGGGCCTAGAACAGGGGGGGGGAAGGGGTTAGGGCATCTGGGAGTGGAGGTTGAAAACCTGGGGGGGTGCGGTCACTGCCTGTGGCCTGGGAACACGCAGACCATTTGCACCCTGGGGCCAGGTCACGGCCCATCACCTCCACAGCGACAGAGGACTACTGTTCTGGGTCCTCTGGCCTCCCTGGGCCCCAGGCCATGGCAGGCACCCTCTGCCCCCAGTGGTGCAGGAGGGAGGGGGGTGGGGTGGCGGCGGCTGTCCAGGGGGCCCTGCGCACTCACCCAGGTCCAGCAGCATGCTGTCGGCCGGGAAGGAGGCCCCGAACTCCTCCTGCAGATGGTAGGCTCGGTGCAGCAGCGCCTCCAGCTTCTCAGCGAACTCCCGGCGCTGAGACTCCGGCTGCAGGAACCCGCCACGGTCAGGGAAACAGCCTTCCCCACACTGAGGGGCTGACGGCCGCACAGGAGCCTGGGCCGTGGCTGCCCCCCAGGGAATGCAGGCACAGTCATGCTCCCCAAGGAAGCCAAACGTCCGGTCACTCTCCCCCATGGTCGCCTGTGGGCACTGAACCAGTCTGAAACTCGCGTACCCCAGGGAGGGCGCTGCAAAACTCCTGCAGAAACTTGCTTTCTTGACCCTTTTTTCCTTTTCCGCCTACGCCCAGGGATGCTGTCAAGGCTTGGGGACCCTCTCGGCGCTGAGGAACTGACCACACACGGGTCTACCATGTGCGGGGTGGGCACCTCCCTGCTGTCCTCTCTTGGCATTCTGCCCATGTGCTGTTCCTACACTTCTTACAAAATCCCTAAACATCCTTATTTTGGGGGGAGGCTACTACCAACAGTGTGGGAGTGAGGTGGGACCCCGGGGCAGTGCTCAGCCTGCAGTGCTCCCAGCATTCAGGCTCAAGTCCAGAGTCACACACAGGCCGTCTGAGCTTCCTCCCAGACCCCTGGGGACCCAAGGAGCGTGCTTCCCCTGGAAACTCGGCTGGGAGCCCAAACCAAGCTGGTTCAGACCTTGGGAACTGGTTCTGGCACAGGAAGTTTATACATGGCCAACCTGGGTTTGATCCCGGCACTCCACAGGGTCCCCAGAACTGAGCCAGAAGCCCTGAGCACCAAGCCAGGAGTAAGCTGTGAGTGCCAACAGGCATGGGCCCCCCCAAAAAACAAATCCCCCCAAAACAGACCTAGGTGTGTGTGCCCTTGAGCAAACCACCTCCTGTTCCCGCGCCTGCCCCCACTTTCCAAGGGAGCATGGCCAGGGCCCAGAAACCGGGGCCTTGGGGGGCACAAACAGGCCAGGCTATTTCTCAGGGAGCCACCAGCTCTGCTCCTTCACATGACCAGGCCCCAGGGAGCACATGGGGCCACCTCGGCCAGGGCCTCTGGGGACAGAGCCGGAAGTGGAGCGCACAGCCAGAGCCGGCTGCCCAGTTGGTCCCCAGCACCCAGGGAAGTGGGATTCCTGTTTTGTTTTGTTTGGGGGCTACACTCCGTGTGCTTGAGGCTGGCTCCTGGCTCTGTGCTCAAGGATCACCCCTGGTGGGCTCAGGGGGACCGCGTGGGCTACCGGAAATAGAACCTAGGTCGGCCGCGCAAAAGGCAAATGCCCTCCTGGTACATAATCGCTTGGGCTCTGGGAATGGGGGTTCCTGGATGCCCAATTTACTGAGAAAGTCGAGGCGGCGGCAGAATCAGGCCCCCCGAGGGCTGGGTAGAACCCAAGAGCCCACTGGCCACTGCTCCCCAAGGCCACGGGACTGTTGGCTCTTCGTAAAGTCACCAGGGTTTCTGAAACACAACCCCCAACGCACAAATGACAAAGGGAAAAGGGATCCCTGGTGGCCAGGACTCAGGGGTACCATGCCTAAGGGCTGTGTGAGATGCTGGGTGCCATCCCTGGCACCTGCCAAAAAAAGACACAGGGGCTGGAGCCATAGCACAGTGGGGAGGGCATTTGCCTTGCACGCGGCCAACATGGCCAACACAGGTTCGATTCCCAGCATCCCATATGGCCCCCCGAGTACCGCCAGGAGCAATTCCTGAGTGCATGAGCCAGGAGTAACTCCTGGGCATCACTGGGTGTGACCCAAAAAGAAAAAAAAAAAGACACAGTGTTGTGGCCAGAGCGATAGTACAGAGGATAGGGCGCTTGCCTGGCATGCGGCCGACCTGGGTTCGATTCTCAGCATCCCATATGGTCCCCCGAGCACCACCAGGAGTAATCCTGAGTTCAGAGCAAGTCAGGAGTAACCCCTGTGCATCGCCAGGTGTGACCCAAAAAGTGAAAAAAGAAAAAAAAAAGATGCATGACTTTGTTTATCTCAGCCCCGCACCTGAGAGTGTGGGGGCCTGGGGGTGGGCGCTGAGGGAGGGACCAGTGACCCCTGCGGCCTGCGTGGTGCTGTCCCAGGCCGACTTCACTTTACACCCAGAGGCGTGGAGTGGCAGTTCCGCCCAGGGGATGGCATTTCAGTAAACCCCTTGCCAGGACAGTGGAGGCATGCCACCGTCACCCCACCCTCAGCGGCCAGGTCTGGGAGCCTGCACACGCCCCCCCCCCACCCCCAAGTGGGGAGGGGGCACCCACACCCCACGGCTTCCATCTCCAAACCCAAGGTGCTGCAGTACCAGTTGGCTGCTGGCCCAGGAAATGGGGGCAGGAGGGGGAGGTGCCCCCGTCTCCCCCCACCCTGCCTCAATGTCAGGACCGCACTGAGTCCCTGGTGCACCCATCCCCAACCTCCCAGCAGGGGGCACCCACCTCTGACAGTGGATCCAGCACCCCGCCCCTGTCCTCCCAGGGGGCACCCACCTCTGACAGCGGGTCGGGCGCAGCCTCGGGGTTGGGGGGCCCGTCCCCCAGGGAGGGGGAGCCGCGGCCATCACCCCGCTGCCCCACGCTCAGCGCCTGCTCCCACTTCTGCAGGGCCTCCTCGAACAGCTCCATGCCTGCGCAGGGAAGGGGAGGTTGGGGGGATGCCCGCACAGCCCCATCGCGGGCTCCCAGGCCCCCCCTACACACCCCTGCCCACCCCCTTACCTTGCATGTACAGGCTCTCGGCGTGGCCGTCGCTGGTGGTCACCGACTCGTCCACCCCGCGGGCATCCCACGGGCCCGGGCAGGCCGCTGTGGGACTGGAGGAGTTCACGGCCGCCATCTGGGCACCGAGCAGCGCCAGGAACCGAGGGAAGGAGTGAGGCCTTTGGCGGGACCCCCACACCTCCCCACTTCAGATGCTGCTGGCCCTCTGCCTTGCCCTCCAGGAGCAGACCCCCAGGGTGGGGGTGGGGGGTCAAGTGCCAGCACCTGCCCCAGACTGGCCCAGCCTACTCCTGCGTGCCAGAGGGGGACTCCCAGGCTGGGCAGGGTCTCCTCCAGGCCCGCATCTCTGCAGCCCAGTCCTGGAGCCTGGGTCAGCGGCCATCTGGGAGCCAAGGTTCCCTGCCTGGGCTGAGGATGTGGGCAGGGACCCTGGTTTAGACCCCCAGCAGTGCTAGGAATGGCCCCAAAGCAAAGAAACAGCGATAAGGGCCTGGGAGACAGAAACTCAAGCCTTGAAAAACAAAACCAAACCACCCCCGAAATAAATAGCTAAGTCCCTTCAGAGTCCCTCCCTGGGGACGTGCTTTCCGGGGGGGGGGGCCCTATTGGCTGCTGGCACAGACCACAGGGGGTGCGAGGGGCCCTTGGACCAGGTGCTCACCGAGGCCAGGCTGTGGGAGGAGCCGGAGCGCTTGCTGGGCTCCAGGGAGGAGATGCCGCTCAGGGTGTCGTTGCTCTTGCTCCCGGGGCTCTGGACCCTGCGGCTGGAGTAGCCTGGGAGAAAGAGGGGGCGCTCAGTCCAGCTCCCCTGCAGCACCTGGGGGTCTACTACCCTCATCGGGGGCCGCTGACCCTCCGGGCGCTGCACAGGGCTAGGCCCCATCCGGAGGGGCTGGGAACAGAAAACATGGGGGTCCGCCCAGGCGGTTTCCTTACTCTGGGCGGGGAAGGGGGGACATGCACCCGAGTGAGGGACTTGGGGCTGGGGGCTTTCTGCCTCCCGAAAAGGATTTGAGGCAACAACTTTTTTTTTTTGGTGGGGGCAGGGAGTTGTGACTCTCAAAAGGCGCCTGGTGGAGCGACAGCACAGTGGGAGGGGCATTTGCCTTGCACGTGGCCGACCCAGGTTCAATCCCCGGGATCCCATAGGGTCTCCCGAGCACCGTCAGGAATAATTTCTGAGTGTAGAGCCAGGAGGAACCCCTGAGCATCGCTGGGTGTGACCCAAAAACCAAAAAAAAAAAAAAAACCCAAAAGCATCTGGTGATACATGGGGGTAATTCCTGGTTCTGTACTCGGGAATCACTCCTGACAGTGCTCAGGGGATCTTATGGGATGCTGGGGATCGAACCCAGGTTGGCCACATCCAAGGCCAGTGCCCTCCAGCTGTACAATCGCCTGGCCTCAAGGCAGTAACATTTTTACATTACAGTAAATTCAAAGAAGGGGCCAGAGAGACTACACAGCGGGCAGGGCGCTTGTCTTTCACATGGAAGACCCAAGTTTGGTCCCCAAAATTCTATATGGGCCCCTGAGCTACCAGGAGAGATCTCTGAGCACAAATTCAGGCATGAGCCCTGAGCACAGCTGGATGTGGCTACAAACACCCAAACATGCAACAGTAACAGGGAAGGAGAGAAAAGAGAAAGCTGGTGGGACTCACAGGGGCCGCCATAGGCTGTCCCCGCCCCCAGGGCCACGGGAACCCCACCCCAGCCACCCCAAGGCACTGCCCATCTTCAGTCAGCTGGTGAAGCAAGGTCCAAGCCAGCGTCCTCCTGGCGAGCGGGGAGCCCCAGGTTCAATCCCCGGCTCTTACAAGGTCCCCCAAGTGCCCCCAGGTGCAAACGGGGCCCCAGACCCCACCCTGGGTGCCGCTGTCAGGTGTGGCCCAAAATGCAAAGGTGGAACTTTCCTTTTGCCATGAGCCTTCACAATTAAAACTCACTTTCAGGGGGCTGGAGCAATAGCACAGCAGGGAGGGCGTTTGCCTTGCACGCAACCGACCCGGGTTCGATTCCCAGCATCCCATACGGTCCCCTGAGCACCGCCAGGGTAATTCCTGAGCGCAGAGCCAGGAGGAACCCCTGTGCATCGCCCGGTGTGACCCCAAAAGCAAAATCAAACAAACAAAAGTCATTTTCACATGGGGGCAGGGGTGACAGGTTTTTCCAGAGAGAAAGTAAGTTGCAGAGAGCTGGAGGGGTGTGGGGGGGGGGAGGGGGGGTGCGTGCCGGGCTTGAGCAAGAGAAAGCTGGCCTGGGAGCTCCACCTCCCTCCAGGCAAGGCCACCTGTGCCCGTTACAGACCAGCAGAGGCCAGCAGAGGGAGGGAGGAGACAAGGCAGCGGCTGGACGGGACCATTGGCAGCTGGGCAGCGGGCAGTGGATATTGCCTTGCTCTATTTGGGGTTTTTCTGCGGTTTGGGGGCCACACCTGGCGGGGCTCAGCGGGGTGGGGGGCATGCGGAGTACAGGGGCCAGGCCAGCCACGTGCAAGGCAAACGCCCTACCCACTGTGCTACTGCTCCAGCCCCTACAATTTCATTTTCAATGAGAATTTAAAAGGGGGGACGGCGGAGGCCTAGCACTGGGGTTTGGAGCACTGCCTCGCGAGCATCTGAGCATGACTTCAGACCCCCAGTGTCTCACATGCGCACAGTACTGCAGTACTACGTAGCCCCCCTGCGAACACCACAAGGAAAGGGACGTGGGCGAGGCCAGCACAAGGCCCTGGACAGCACTGTGTGAGCACTGTGCCCACCGCCCCCTCCCCGGGAGCCCCGCCAAGCATGGGACACCAGGTGTGTGCCAATAACAAAGGGAAGGAGATGGTGGAGATGGTAAATAAATAAATCACCAATTTAGAGGCCCAAGAGACAGCTCAGCAGGAGGCCCCGGGATCCCTGAGCACTGCCAGGAGTGGCCCCCAAACCAAGAGAGAGGGGGAAAAAATTTTGTTTAACTCTTTTTTTGTGGGGGGGCTTTTTAGGTCACACTGGCGATACTCAGGGGTTCCTCCTGGCTCTGCACTCAGGAATTACTCCTGATGGTGCTTGGGGGACCACATGGGATGCTGGGAATCGAACCCGGGTCGGCCACGTGCAAGGCAAACGCCCTACCCGCTGTGCCATTGCTCCAGCACCCCCCCCCTTTTTTTACTTTTTAAATTAAAAAAATATGACTGACAGGACCAGAGCGATAGCACAGCATTTTCTCTGCCTGTGGCCAAGCCGGGTTCAATTCCCAGGACCCCATCTGGTCCCCTGAGCACGGCCAGGAGTAATTCCCGAGGGCAGAGCCAGGAGTAACTAACCCCTGAGCATCTCCAGGTGTGGCTTAAAAGGCAAAACTAAATAAATATAAAATGAAAATAAGGGGTAGGGGCAGAGTGATAGAGAGATAAGACAGCAGGGAGAGCCCTTTCTTTGCACACAGCTGACCTGGGTTGAACTTCCAGCACTGCACAGGGATTCCTGAGCACTGAGCCAGGAGTGAGCCCTGAGCGCAGCTGGATGTAGACACACACACACACACACATCAGAGTTGGAGGGACAGGCTGGAAGGGGAGGGCGCTTGCTCCATGTGTGGTTGACCCGGGTGACACCCCGTGCACAGAGAGCCACCGGCTGTGGCCTGACACCCCCCCTCCAACCCCTCAAAATTCAAAATATTAGAAAGCAAAATGTCTAGTGCTGGAGCGACAGCACAGCGGGGAGGGCGTTTGCCCTGCACACGGCCAACCTGGGTTCGATCCCCGGCATCCCATCGGGTCCCCTGAGCAGTGCCAGGAGGAATTCCTGAACATCGCCGAGTGTGAATCCCCCCCCCCAAAAAAAAGCAGAATGTTCAATGAGAGCAGAATCCATGACAGCCCTTCCCATTCCAGAGTCGGACCCCAGCCCCGGAAAATGCCAACGGCCAGTCACGTGACCCCCCGCACCCGCACTGCCCGGGGGTGTGTCTCCTTGCACCCCGGCCCGCCTCCACACGTACCTTTCTTCACGGATGGGGCCTTCCTGGCCATGAGGACCGGGAGGGGCACGGAGCCCAGGTGCTCGGCCCCGGGCTCGGGGCACAGCTGCTTCTTCCTCCGCCGCCGCCGCTTCAGCTGGTGAGCAGCGAGGGCCAAGGCCACGGTGCCCAGGGCTGTGGCCACCAGGACCTTCCTGAGACCTGGTGTCAGCCGCAGCTGGGAGAAGGCCGACTGCGGGCAGGAAGGGAGCCACGGGTCAGGCCCGGGGGCAGTGCCGGGGGGCAGGAACAGGCAGGCCCTCAAGGTGGCACTCATGGGGGGGGGACGGGTGGGGAGGCGGCTCCCGGGCTGAGCCCCAGGACGGCCTAGTCCCGGAGCACTGAACCGGGAGCACGAGCAGGAAGTGTGGGGGGGGGAGCTGGGGTCAGACACGTGATGAGGCCGAGGGCACACGGGGTCCACAGCCAGCGGGCGCTGCTAGCGCGGGGGTCAGGTCGGTAGCCGCGGGGATCCTGTGACATCAGGCTCTCCTATCCAGCCCCCCAACCTTTTCTAGACGTGGGCTCTGGGCCTCAGCTAAGGTGCAAACGGGCTGGAGCAAACGCTCTGCATGGAGAGCTCCAGATTCACAGGGTCCCCGATATGGAGAGCCCCTAAGCCTTGCCAGGGGGATCCGAACACCTACCCCTCCCCACGAAGGGCACAGGCTGCGGTGATTAGACAGCCCCCAGGACCAACGTCGGAAAGCTACAGAAAGGCCAATTTTAACCAGGCTCCCGCCAAGAAACGCCCCGTGGGCCTGTTTCAGGGACCCAGGAACGGAGACACCGGGCCCGAGAGAAAGTTCTCGGCGGCCCACTCAGGCTCGGGTCACCGCCACCTCTGGGAGGGACCCAGCCCCTGCCCTGAGCACCGCCAGACGCTGGCCCCTAAATGAAACAAACCAAAGAGGAGACAGTGGTGGGGTGGGGTCGGGGCAGCTGGAAGAGGCCGCGGCGTCCCTGGGAACTGAGGGGGACGGGAAGCCCACCGGCCACCCCCACCTTTACCTGTCCGAACGTGGTGTAGAGGAACACGGGGATCTCAGCCACCGTCATGGCCAGGGCCTGGATCATGGACACACCCTCCGTCCTCCGGAACGCCATGGCAGGTCAGGCGACCACGATGACAGCCCCGGAGACCACAGCTCCCAGGTCCCTGCGGGCGTCTTCACCTGTTGGCAGGCCGGGGTCTGGGCGCCGTCCACCGCCTGGTCACACAGCCACGCGCAGAGCAGTGGGCCCCTGGGCGGAGCTGAGACATGGATGGCCAGGTCAGAGCCAGGACCTGCCCACGAGCATGCCCCAGGGCCGCTGGGAGCAAGGAGCAAGGAGTACCCGGCCCCCTCCCCAGCAGGCAGAGGGCCTGAGGCTAGGGATAGCCCAGGACCGGGGGAATAGGAGGGGCGGTGGTCTCACATCTGGGGCTCCGTGCCTCGGTTTCCCCAGCAATTTTAAACGCAGGGCCCCTCTGCCCAACAAGGCTGAAAAGTCTACGGCCTCCCAAGGGCCAGGCCACTGACCAAGAACAAACGCATCTTTTTTCACCGCCCACAAAGCCAGGAATAAACTTGTAAGACAACTTCCGGGATGGTGTATTATGAAAACAGCAGGAAAGCGCTTCAAATAACCAAGCTTGGGGCCCCCGGGAGCGTGGGCTGAGGGCTGAGTTGGTCCACACAGGTTTCTCCTGAGTCACTATAATCCAGGGATGCAGGTGCGCTCGCCCGCCCCTGCCCCCGCCCCCATTTCCAAAGAGGACACAGAGAGGTCAAGCCAGGTGTCCAAAGTCACACAGTGGAGGAGGCAGAGTCCAGATTCTGCCCGAGTGCACCTGGACATCAGACTCAAGAATTGGGGCAAGAGCCACTGAACAATGGGGAGGCTCTCTTGCCTCGCACCCCAGTCAGCCCAGGTTCGATTCCTGACAGTCCCCCTGAGCAAGACCAGGAGTGCTTCCTGAGTGCAGAGCCAGGAGTTAATGCCTGAGCATCGCTGGGTATGACCACAATGCAAATCAACAAACAAACAAACAAAAAAAACCCACAAAAATCCATACTCTGGGGCTGTAGCGATAATACAGTGGGGAGGGCGTTTGCTTTGCACGAGGCTGACCCGGGGTTTCATCCCTGGCATCCCATAGGGCCCCCCAAACACCGCCAGGAGTTAATTCCTGAACGAAGAGCCAGGAGGAACCCGAGTATTGCCGGGTGTGACCCAAAAAGCGAGGGAAAAAAACAACAACAAACAAACCCATACTCAGAGGAACGCCCACTGCATCTGACTGGGGTCAGCCCAGGCTCCACCACTTTTCGGGGGCAATTTCCCTCTGGGAGTTCCCCCCCCCCCCAGGATACCCCATTCCAAAACCAGCAAATAAGAGCTCTGCCCATGCAGAGGTCAGTCCTCAAGAGGGACAGGAGGGTGCCCCCCACAAAGGCCTGGGGGGGAGCTGCCGCGGTCTCCGGGGACCTCAGGCGGAAGGAAGGGAGCTGTACCCTGACCCCGGGCCGTGGGAAGGAGGCAAACTTGAACTTGCTCGTGGGGGGTGGGTTCCTGGGGTGGTGGTGCCTGAGTGGGGGCACCCGGACCAGGGGAAGGGTCCTGGGTACCAGCTAGCCTGCCTGCCAGGAGCTCCGTCGCTGACCGCCAGGGGTCAGGGCCCCGTTAACATCAGCCACCGGGGACCGAGAGAACGCGGGCAAAGGGAGCAGAAGCCTGAGTTCTCAGGGACCGAGGGGACCCGGCTGGGAAGGGGACGGTCACTCACAAAAGACTCTCCGCGCTGGAACCCGGTGGATGTGGCCGGAGGAAGGGGGTGGGGGGCGGCGAGAGATGCCAAAGGTGGAGCCCAGGGCTGCGGGCACCGGCCCGAGTCGAGTCGCTCCTGCACCCGAGAGGACTCGGCTCGCCGGGCACCCTGGGGCCGCCCGCGCGCAGGCGGGGGCAGCGCCTGTCCATCCCACTCCTCCAAGGCCCTCCCCCGGGCGGGAGGAAAGCCAGCGCCGGGTACCGGTGGCACCACCGCCAGGGCACCAGGGGAGAGGCCAGGCGGCCTGTGGCGCGGCTCCCGCCACGCCGACGCACCTGGACGTCACCTGCCCGGCAACCTTGGCCCGGCGCCTCCTCCTCCTCCTCCTCCCTCCCACCGGGCACTTTCGACACTCTCCTGGCCCGAGTGCCCAATGCGATCGGGGGTGGGGTGGGGGGGATGGGGCAGCTCGGCCCCTGCGCCGGGCGACCCCTGCCAAGGACCGGCCCGAGCGGCCCCTTCGACCGAGCCCCGGCGAGACTCCCGCAGCACGAGTCCCCTCTGCAGCGGGCTGTCACCGTGCCGGGCACCGGGCAGTCACCGTGCCGGGCACCGGGCACTTGCCACCCCGACCCCCCAGCAACACCCCCTTTTTCGGAACCTGTCCGGGCACCCCCGCGCGCAGACCTCCCCCGCCCCGCCTGCCCTCCATCCCGGCGCCCGAGTCTCCTTGCAGCTGCGCCCGGGTTCGCCGCCCGCCCAGCCCGGCGCCCCGTGCACTCACCCGGGCGCCCATCGCTGCGGAAGGGCAGCGTCTCCTTCCCCGGCGCCCGCGCAACCAAGCGCGAGCCCTCGGGAGGGCGTGGCCTCGCGCTGGGCCCAACGCGCGCCGGACCAATAAGCGTCCTCGCACCGCTCCGCGCGCCTCCGGCCTCTGACCAATGAGGAGGAGGCCGGGGCCAATCCGGGCACGCCCCTCCTCCCCCGTCGCCCCGCCCCCTAGTGCGGTTGAGGCGCGGAAATGCTCTCCCGACTCCTCCGATTGGACGTCGGGACTCCCGGGGATCCGGATGGCCACAATGGGCGGGCCCTCTCTTAAAGGGGCCGAGGCCGGGCGAGCGGGGCTTTCCGGACGGCGGCGGCGGAGAGACAAATGTCTCTGGTCCTTCAAAAACGCCCGTTTTCAAATGCCAGCGCCTTGGGGACTCTCCGCCGCATCTTCTAGGAAATTCGCCACTCTCCACTTTTCGTCAGGAGAAAGTGCCCTTGCGTCCCCGACTTGAAACCGTCACCCAGGGGCTGGAGTGACGATGGGACTGGACAGCAGCCTGGGCGCGCTTGCCTGGCGTGCAGCCCACCGGGGTTCCAATTCCCGCCAACACATACATAGTCCCCCAAGGCCCACCGGGAGTGATTCCTGAGCGCAGAACCAGGACTAAACCCTGAGCAACGCCAGTGTTGCCCAAAAACAAAACAACAACAAGAAGAAACTGTTATCCCAGCTTGGCAGTCTTCCAGCTGCGTTCCCTTTTTTTTTTTCTTCCGCTTTTTGGGTCACACCCTGCGATGCACAGGGTTATTCTGGCTCTGCACTCAGGAATTATCCCTGGCGGTGCTCGCGGGACCAAATAGGATGCTGGGAATCGAACCCAGGTCGGCCACGTGCAAGGCAAACGCCCTACCCGCTCTGCTATTGCTCCAGCCCTTGGGTTCCCTTCTGGCAGCATAACTGTACCTGCGGCAGCACTGGACTGGGGGCTGGCGGAGTGAATCCTACCACCTTAGCTGGATCACGTAGGCAAGCTTATCCCAGCATGAAATGGGATGGAATCGGGCTGCACCTGAGATGAGGGGCATTGGTGAAGGGAAAACACTGGCAGCCGGGCTGGAGCGATAGATAATACAGCGGGTGGGCGTTTGCCTTGCACGCGGCCGACCCGGGTTCGATTCCCAGCATCCCACATGGTTCCCCGAGCACTGCCAGGAGTGATTCCTGAGTGCAGAGCCACGAGTAACCCATGTGCATCGCCGGGTTTGACCAAAAAAGCAAAAAACAAAACAAAAAAATAACACTGGCAGCCCTTTAACAACTGTGGAGAGCTCAGCACATCTAGTTAAATTATAATCGTCAGTGCTGTGGTGCTGACGACTCTCGTCAGCAACAGAGAGAAAGTGCAGGTTTAAAACAGGCATGCAGCTGACCCAGTTTGATCCTCAGTCTCACATGGTTCCCTGAGCACCTCCAGGAATGATCCCTGAGCTCATGGCCAAAAATACCCGAGCCCCTCGGAGTATGACCCAAAACAAAGAATACACAAAGAAATCAGCAAAGTTCCATTTCTTCATTTAGTCAACCCTTGATCTTCCCTGCACCACTTTCTCTCTGCTCAGATATGGGAACACAGCAGTAGATACGTTACACTATATTTTTTCCAAGTTTTTGGCCACACCCAGCAGTGCTCAGGGCTTACTCCTGGCTCTTCATTCAGAACTGACTCTTGGCAGTGCCTGGGGGAACTTGGGGTGCCAGGGAGCAAACCAAGGTCAGCCGTGTGCCAGGCAAGTGTCCTACCCACTATGTTATCTCTCCAGTCCTGACACTTTTGTGAAATGTAATACTACCTTAAAAAGAGAAATTTGGGAATGTGGAGAGACCAGGGCCCCACTGGGGCTCCCGTGGGGAGATGGAAATCTCCGGAAGACCAAAGAACATAGATGGAAGGAATCTGCTGCAAACAGCCTGAAAGCCTCGTCTGGGAGCAGAGGACTGTGACCCAGATGCAAGAGAAAGAACCTGACATTTTTGATCTGGGAAGCAGCGGAGGGAGCGTGGCTGTAGATTACCCACGGAAAAGGAGTCCAGCTCCACTCCTGCGGATCCAGGACTAATCTCCCCCTTTCTCCTCTTGTGACCTCAGACAAATCACTTAGCTTCTTTGAACCTCAGCTTCCTGTCCCTTACAATGAGCATCTTAGGAGGAGCTTAGGTAATCATCCACTTAGCGCTCAGGCTGGCCTGGCATTTTGGTCAATACTGCAAGAGCCAGGGCTCGAAAGCCTGCGGATCAATCCTCCAGGGTACTGAGAAACAAACAAAAACAAACCCATGTAGTCGAGTGGGAAACGAATGAAACGGGTGATGCATAGAGACTGGGACTGTGGGGTGAGCCATCATTGCCCCCAGCCCCTGGCTGGTGCTCTCTCCCCTCCCCCCACCGTGTTTTTCGTTCCAGGACCCTCCACTTGCTATGTTCCATATTTCTTTGCAAGAACGGGTGGGCCCTGTTTGGCTCTTTGCTGCATCCGCGGAGCCTGGACCCGCGCCTGGCAGATAGTAGACGCCCACACTTTCTCCTTGCTGGCAACCCAGTCCAGGCTCTGCAGAGCCCTCTACTGGACAAGGCGCAGAGTGCAGTTTTAGCAAGAGTCCTGCGGAGGACTTGCGCAAAGCCCCCTCAGCTGACCACGGTGCCCTTCGGATGGAATTGATCATTCTCCACTCCAGGTTCCTTCTTCTCTTCTCTCTGCCTGCCCTCAGCAGGAAACCTCCTCTCCTTGATACTCTGCCCTGACTCTGTCCTTTGACCCCCTACCCAGTTCCTTGGCTATAAATCTCTCATCCGATTGTTTTCGTCTTGTCTTTTTTTGGAAAGTGTACGCTGGTGGTGCTTAGGGAACCAGACGGTGGCAGATTTGAACCTGAAGCAGGTGTTCCAGCCCTTGGAACCACTTCCACTGGAGTTGAGCCCAACCGTCTCCCTACCGCAAGAATGCCACTGTAACACCCCTCCTGAACAGTCTTTCCTGCCATCTATAACAACTCTCTCCTGAATGCTTTATTCTGTAGCTGTGCTCAGGGAGCTATCGCATGAACAGACACACAAGTATATTGACATGTGCATGAACTTATGCGTACGATGAAAGATGGCATAGCAGGCTAAATTAATGATGGAGACACTATATAAAAGTATTAGTAGTCAGTCATCCTGGTAAATAGAAACACATGATGAGCACACGGGAACACAAACATAGGAATGTACAAAGAGCTGATGAATTGCATGTACCTGAGTCACATGAGGATTAATCACCACTCCATACAAATAGGTCACGGTCACGGTCCTCCAGTTGTTCATCGATTTGCTCGAGCGGGCCCAGTAACGTCTCCATCGTGAGACTTGTTGTTACTGTGTTTGGCATATCGAGTATGTCACGGGTAGCTTGCCAGGCTCTGCCGTGCGGGCGAGATACTCTTGGTAGCTTGCCGGGCTCTCCGAGAGGGGCGGAGGAATCGAACTCGAGTTGGCCATGTTGGCTGCTTGCAAGGCAAACACCTTTCTGCTGTGCTGTCGCTCCAGCCCCTGAGCCTGCTGAGTGTGCCATACAAATAGGGACTTATTTTTTTTTTTGGCTTTTTGGGTCACAGCTGGTGATGCTCAGGGGTTCCTCCTGTCTCTGCACTCAGAAATTACTCCTGGCGGTGCTCGGGGGACCATATGGGATTATGGGGATTGAACCTGGGTTAGCCATGTTCAAGGCAAATAAATGCCCTACACACTGTATTATCACTTCGGCCCAGATAGAGACATTTTTTGGGGCGTGGGCCACACTCAGCGGTGTTCAGGGCTCACTCCTGGCCCTGCACTCAGGGTTCACTCCTGGTGGACTTAGGGGGCTGTGTGGGTTGCTGGGGATAAAACCTGCGCAAGCAGGGACGTGTGCAAGGCAAGTGCCCTAACCTCTGTACACCAACACCAAATTCTTACATTTTTTTCTATTTGCAAGCTCTTTACTTTTCTTTTTTTTTTGGTTGGGGGAAACAATGTGTGGCGCTCAGGGCTTACTCCTAGCTCTGCACTCAGGGACTACTCCTGGAGGTGCTCCGGGAGGCATATGGGGTGCGAGTGATTGAACCCTGGTCAGCCGCGTGCAAGGCAAGCACATTACCCGCTGTATTGCTCTGGCCCCAGAAGAATATTTTTAAGTCACCATTACTTGACAAAGGGTTGGGACCCCGCAGTTTAAGGAGCGATAGTACAATGGATAGGATGTTCGTCTGGCACCTGTCTGCCCTGAGTCGATCCCAGACGCCAAGTACGGTTCTCCAAGCCCTTGCCAGAAGTGATCCCTGAGTTCAGAGCCAGAAGTAAGCCCTGAGCACCACCTGATGTGACCCCAAAACAAAACAAAACAAACCCAAAACACCAAATGGGAGAGAGGCAAGGGGGTGCTGGGGATAGGAGGAGGAGAGAGAGAGGCCCACCAGGGGCAGCAACAGCGAGAGGATTGCCCAGGCAGCTCCACCCCAAGGGCCACTCCCAGCCATCTGTTTTGTTTTTTTAATTTTTAAAATTGAATCACCATGAGAACAGTCACAAAGCATTCATGTTTGAGTTTCAGTCATACAATGATGGAACACCCATCCTTCCACAAGCATACATTTTCCACCACCAATATCCCCAATATCCCTCCCCCAACCCAGCCTTTCTTCTGCCTCCGGGGCAGACAATTTCCCCCATCCTCTCTATTTTTGGGCATTACGGTTTGCAATACAGGTACTGAGAGGCTATCACGGTTGGTCCTTTGTCTACTTTAAGCACACATCTCTCCCCGGCCATCTCTGAGAGCTCTGCCAAACCCTTCTCAATCTCCTTCCCCAGTCCTAGAGGCCCCGCCCCACTGCCCAGAGGCCCCGCCCCACTTCCCAGAGGCCCCACCCTACCGCCCAGAGGCCCCGCCCCACGCACTTGGCCCCGCCCACCGCCCCCTGAGGTTCCTCCTTGAGCGCTAGGCCCCTCCCTGTCGCCCTTGGCGCTCCGTCCAGGTCCGTCGCTAGGCGGCTCCGCCCCTGTGCGCTTGGCCCAGTCCGCACCTTTCAGAGGCTCCCTCATTGGAGGCTCCGCCCGGAGGCTCCGCCCAGCCCTGCGCACTCGGCCCCGCCTCGCCGCCTGAGGCTCCGCCCCACACGCTCGGCCCCACCCCGAGCACTAGGCCCTGCCCCACCGCCCTAGGCCCTGCCCCACCGCCCTACGCCCCGCCTTCCAGCGGCCCCGCCTCATGCGCTCGGCCCCGCCCCCACGCTCGGCCCGGCCCCCACCTCTCGGAGGCTCTGTCATGGAGGCTCCGCCCTGCGCACTCGGCCCCGCCCCACCGCCCGGAGGCTCCGCCCCGCGCGCTCGGCCTCGCCTGCCGCCCGAGGCTCGGACCCGCGCGCTCGGCCCCAACCCATCGTCCCAGAGGCTCGGCCCCGCGCGCTCGGTCCCGCGCACAGCCCCTGAGGCTCCGCCCCGCGCGTTAGGCCCCGCCCATAGACCGAAGGCACCGCCCCACCGCCCGAGGCCCCGCCCCGCGAGCTAGACCCCGCCCCGCCGCCCGAGGCCCCGCCCCGCCGCCCGAGGCCCCGCCCCGCGCGCTCGGCTCGGCCGGCTCGGCGCAGCGGGCGGCGGGCGGCGGGCGGCGGCGCGCGCGGACGGCGACCCGCGGCAGCAGGTGGGCGGGGTGCGGGCCCCGGCGGCGCGCGGGGGGCGGCCAGGCTGCCTGGGGCCGGGCGCGGCCGGCCTGGGCGCGCCATGGACTTCAACATGAAGAAGCTGGCGTCGGACGCGGGCATCTTCTTCACGCGCGCCGTGCAGGTGAGCGGCGGGGCCGGGATGTGCGCGGGGTCGCGGCCGGGGGGCTGCATCCCGCCGCGGGGCGCCCTGCCGCGACCCCGCGCGCCGCGGGCCGGGACACGGCGCCCGCGCTGCCGCCGCGCCCTCCGGGCCCGGGCGGGGTCGGGCCAGGCCGCGGCCCGGTGTCCGGCGGGGCGCGCGGGGAGGTGGCCCCGGCGGCCAGGTTAGCTCCCCGGGCCCGGGCCCGCGCCGCCCGGCCGAGAGGGGAGCGGGCCGGGCCGGGGCGGACGGCGCCTCCCTCCCCCGCCGGCCCCGCGGGGACCGCGCCCGGCAGGCCGGCCCGGCCGCAGGGGCTGCCCGCGGCCTCAGTGTCCGCGCCGGTGCAATGGGCCGACGCAGCAGCCCCCCGCTCCCTCGCCCTCCCTTGGCGCGTCCGTCCGGAAGCCGGGGGGCCGGTCACTTCCTTTCTGCCCTGTCCGCGCGGGGCCCGTTTCCGCTGGCCGCCCCATCCCTCCCGGGAGTGGCGGGGTCTCGGCCGGGCCCTTCCGTGGGAAGCTGGCCAGGCCCACGGTGCTGACGCTGGAGCAGGCCCTCTCCGTGCGGCCGGAGAGACCGAGGCAGCGCCGGGTGCGCCTGCACCTCTCGTGACCTTGGGTGGGGGGCCTCGGTCTGTCCGTCTGGGAAATGGGGTGGTGGAGCCGAGGCTGGTGCCAGGGACGTTTTAAGGGGAGCCTGTGCTCCCGAGCTGCGTGACCTTGGGCAGGCTGTGCTCCCCGGGTGCGGCGCTGGCGGGTGGGCCTGGGGGCTGGCGGCGGGCAGAAGCCCGGGCTGTGGCCGGCTGGCGCCTGGACGACCATCTGCCGTGTTTACTAGAAAGCACAGCGTCCCCGGAGAGCCAGCGGCGCGCGGGTGTGCTGCCTGTCCCCAGCCGGCCGGGGGCTGCCTGTGTCCAGCCCCCCCTGGACAAGCCCCTGCAGGGCGGAGCCTTCGCTCCCCGCCGTATCTCTCCATCGGAGAGAACCTGATCTGCCGCGTTGCTGCTCCAGTGGGCCTGGAACCCGACCTGGCCGGCGCCTGCCAGGCCTCCCGTGTGGGCTGGGCTGGCCTGGCCCCGGGTCCCGCTGGGCCTGGCGCGCGCAGCACAGGTCCTGGGCCCCGGGAGGCGGGGGACAGCAGCTTTATAAATAGAGGCTGTCTCCAGCTTCCTCGCCCACCCGCTGTCTGCCAGCGCCCTCACACTCCGCCTCCGACGCGCCCAGCCGCCCCGGGCACGCCTGGCATCCTCAGGGCTGGCCCCTGGCCGCAGGACGGGGATCCTGGGGGCTTAGGGCCACACCGATGCCCGGAGATGCTGGAGCTTGTCTCTGGCATTGCTCGGGGATCATGTCCCAGACCTCCGAGCGTCGGCCTAGGGTGGGCTTCTCCTTTGCCCACTTAGTATCTTCCGGGCTTGTACCCGCCTCCAGATGGTGGGTGCCTGGCCCCAGTGCTGGGCCAAAGGGGGGAATGGCAGGAGTTGTTTTTTTTTTTTGTTTGTTTGTTTATTTTTTGGGTCACACCCAGCGATGCTCAGGGGTTCCTCCTGGCTCATGCACGCAGGAATCACTCCTGGAAGTGCTCAGGGGACCATATGGGATGCTGGGAATCGAACTCGGATTGGCCGCGTGCAAGGCAAACGCCCTACCCGCTGTGCTATCACTCCAGCCCCAGATGGCAGGAGTTCTTGGCACGGAGGTTCTAGACCCGGGAGAGTGCCCTGAGCTTGGGGGATCTGGGTGGGGGTGCTGGGGCATACCCCAGCCTGGCCCAGCCCAGTGGGTGGCACCAAGAGGGAGGCAGGGGCTGGGTGGGGCATGGGGGCAGCTGGGGTATGGGGGCTGCCAAATGCAGGTTTGGGGCCCCTGCAGGGGCAACCTGGCGGCTGGGGTCCCTCATGCACCCTAAGAACTGTGACCGATGAACACTAAGAACCCCAAGGCTGTGGCCGATGGGGACAGTGTGGATAGTGACCAGTGACCACTGACACACAGCAGGCCCCAGCCGGGTGCTTAGGGTGGCAGAGAAGGTGCCTTCCAGAAACTTCCCGGCAGCGTTGAGGGCAGCAGGTTCTACGCTGCTCTGTGCTCTGTGCCCTCCTCCCCCTGGCTGTGAGGGGGTGACAGGGTGGGGAGGGATGGGGGGAGGGGGAGGGTGGTGCCCAGAGCCACGGGTGCTGCAGGCACCGGCCCCGCCCGGAGAAACCCCAGCCCTGCCTGGTGCATAATTAATGGTGGCTGGCTGGCTGGTGAGGCGAGCTCACCCGCACCAGTGATTCACCCCTGCCTGGTCCTGGGAAGGGCCTGGTGTCTGCGAGGCTGCGGTGGTCACACTGTGATTGTTCCCGGAGCGTGGGGGGCAGGGGGTTGGTGCTGGGGGTCCTCGTCTCCCCTGATGGATCTGTCCTGCCACATGTCCTGCTGTGTGACCCCAGCCCCGGCCAGAGCACGCCGAGGGGCAAACAGGCCGCTCCTGCTGGGCCTGGCTGGTTTCTGGGTGTCTACTGGGACCCCCTGGAAACCCCCAAGTTTTCAGAACCGCCTTCTGCCAGCCCCCCTGCAGTGGCCTCTCCTGCTGCCTGTCCACTCACAGCAGCTGCAGCCCTGGGGGCACCAGCGACCACCCCCACCCCCCAACCTCCTCACTCCACATCTCCCACCCTGAGTCTCCAAAGGAGACACGAAACTCAACAGCCCGTTTTTTCTTTTTTTTTCTCTTTGGGTCACACCCGGTGATGCTCAGGGGTTACTCCTGGCTTTGCACTCAGGAACTGCTCCTGGCGGTTCTCGGGGGACCATATGGGTTGTTGGGCATCGGGGATCAAACCCGGAGGATTCAACCCGGGTTGGCCACACCCAAGGCAAAAACGCCCTAACCTCAGTACTATCTCGCTCCTCACTCCAGGGGCCCCCTGTTTGTTTGTTTGTTTTATTTTAGGGGACACACCCGGCGATGCTCAGGGGTTCCTCCTGGCTCTGCACTCAGGGATCACTCCTGGTGGTGCTCAGGAGACCCTAAGGGGTGCCGGGGATCGAGGCTGGGTCAGCCGTGTGCAAGGCAAGCACCCTCCCTGCTGTGCTCTCACCCCACATCTTTTATTTTTGCTTTTTTGGGTCATACCTGGCTATGCACAGGGGTTACTCCTGGTTCATGCACTCAGGAATTACTGCTGGTGGTGCTCAGGGGACCCTATGGGATGCTAGGAATCGAACCCGGCTCAGCTGCGTGCAAGGCAAACGCCCTCCCCGCTGTGCCATCGCTCCAGTCCTCGCCCCACATCTTTGAGCCCCAAGCCCCCTGCCCCTCCATCCCTTTCTCCACAGTCTTCCCTTCTTCCCTGCAGACCTGAAGGCCCCACGCTGGCCAGGTTCCTTGCTAGACTTTATACACGTGTGTGTCTGAGGTCGGAGCGGGAACCTGTGGCTTCTAGGGGGTTTCCAGAAGCAGCCGAGTCCCCCACCCCACCCGCCCCCGGCTGAACATCACTATGCCAGAGGCGGCCCAGCACCCGCTATGATTTGACAGAGGTCATGCAACGGGTCTGGAACTTTCTTGCTCTTAGGGCCTGAGTTCCAGTTGTGGGGTGTATGTGTGTATGTGTGTGTGTGTGGGGGGAGGGTAGGGACAGTCCTCTCCCCCGCCGACCCCACCCCTCTCAGTTCACAGAGGAGAAGTTTGGCCAGGCCGAGAAGACAGAGCTGGACGCCCACTTTGAAAACCTCCTGGCCCGGGCAGACAGCACCAAGAACTGGACGGAGAAAATCCTGCGGCAGACGGAGGTGTTATTGCAGCCCAACCCCAGTGAGTGCGGGTGCCGGGGCCGGGCTGGGCTGGGTGGGGGTGTCGCCCGTGGGGCAGGCGCTGAGGGCGCTGTTCCCGCAGGTGCCCGCGTGGAGGAGTTCCTGTACGAGAAGCTGGACAGGAAGGTCCCCTCGCGAGTCACCAACGGGGAGCTGCTGGCCCAGTACATGGCAGACGCGGCCAGTGAGCTGGGGCCCACCACATCCTACGGTGAGGCCGGTCCCAGAGTCTCTCTTACTTGGGGGCACCCCGGGGTGCTGAGGGATGGGTGAGGGGTGCCTGCCGCAGAGCCTGTGGTGAGCTCAAAAAGTGTGGGTGCAGCCGCACGCATTAAACCGTGACTATCAGCCGCGTCTCCACCCACCCCGGCCAGCCGCATGGAGGAGGGCACCAGCCCGCCAAGCTAGTTGGTGATCACAGTCACCGTTTATTCCAGTCTTCGTCTCCGTTCTCGACTCACACTGCCTCATTCCTGTTTCCAGTTTCACCCTCCCCCATTCCCATCCCCCAGCGTTAGTTAAGAGCCAGACATCAAAGGTCGGTGTAGGGGCTGGAGCAATAGCACAGCGGGTAGGGCGTTTGCCTTGCACGCGGCTGATTACTGTACGAACCCGGGTTCGATTCCCAGCATTCCATATGGTCCCCTGGGCACCGCCAGGGGTAATTCCTGAGTGCAGAGCCAGGAGTAACCCCTGTGCATGGCAAGGTATGACCCAAAAAGCCAAAAAAAAAAAAAGGTATGATAATTGCACAGAGGTGAGGTAGCACAATCAACATATATAACGCCTTTCTGGGAAGCTATGATAAAATCTCATCCTGCTAGGAGATCTGCCCAATTTCATCTAAGGGCATATTTCTCCTGTGCTTAGTCCAAATCCGTTTAAACAGTCATCCTAAATTTACTTCTTAATAATCTTTCTCTACATATTTTTTCTGGGGGGCCACACCCAGCAACGCTTAGGGTTTCCTCCTGGCCCTGCACTCAGGAACCACTCCAGGTGGTGCTTGGGGGACCGTATGGGTTGCCAGGGATTGAACTCGGGTCGGCTGCATGCAAGGCAAATGCCCAACCAGCTGTACTATTGCTCCAGCCCTTTCTCGTCATTTTGGATGGACACAGTAAGAGATATATTAAGCCTAAAGGGTGGCTTTCCTGGGGACATCTCGCTGTCTATCCCAGACTACAGTCCTCAGGCCAGGTTAGTCTTTCCTAACCCCAGCAGGATCCTTATCCAGTTACTTCTTTTTGGTGCCTGACAGAGTTTGTCCATGACTCTGCTCTTCACTTACAAGTTTTGTGGTGCTTGGCCTATCCCTGTTCGATGCCAGGGTAACTTACGGCTTGCCCTGGGTCCATCCAGTCCCTCGTAGGGACCCTGCCTTTGGGGGGCGAGGAACTAAGGGCAATTGAGGCTTAAGTCGAGTAAATATGATAGATGCCCAGGAGTAAATAGGATTTGGAGTCAATGAACTCCCAAGTTACAAAAGCATAGCATGAACTGTCTACCTGTGTCTCTACAGAAGGGACATTACTTTAACGTAAACTGGCATAAAGGAAAGAGAAAAGCAGTATTTCCCTTACAGATACAAAATCCAGCGATCGCTGAAGAATCTGACTTTACCAGTCACAGGGTTAGGGGAAATGGGTGATCCACAGATGTTAAAGATGAATGGGAGTGACTCTGACGGATGTAACTTAGTAAGCCTAAACGCCTTGCAGGGAGAAAGGACCACACCAATGTTCTCCAGCAGCCTATTTTATGTACTGCTATCTCCTCACCCCTCTCTTCTTTTGGGAGGGTGGGGCTTGGTGCCACACCCATCAGTGGTCCAACCTCTGTGCCTGGGGGTGACTCTGAGTGGTACCCACAGGACCTGTAGCACTGCGTTGTCCTGTCCTCCCATTGTTCATCGATTTGCTCGAGCGGGCCCAGTAACGTCTCCATTGGAGACTTTGTTGTTACTGTGTTTGGCATATCGAATACGTCACGGGTAGCTTGCCAGGCTTTGCTGTGCGGGTGAGATACTCTCGGTAGTTTGCCGGGCTCTCCGAGAGGGGCGGAGGAAGCGAACCCGGGTCGGCCAGTGCAAGGCAAACGCCCTACCCGCTGTGCTATCACTCCAGCCCACAGGACCCTGTAACCCGGGATCAAATGCAGCCAGCAAGAGCCTTAACCCTGGTTCTGCCTCTCCAGCCTGCCTTCCCCGCTCTCTCTTTATTTTGGTGGATGGGGGAGAGGGGGGGTGGCCACACCTGGCAATGTTCAGGGCTTACTCCGGACTCCGCACTCAGGAATCACTCCTGGTGGTGCTCAGGGGACCATGTGGGATGCCGGGGGTCAAACCTAGGTCAGCTACGTGCAAGGCGAGCCAGCCCCCTCTCCACTGTGCTCTCACTCCAACCCCTGCCTTCTCCTTTTCTGTTTTCATTCTTCTATGAAAAAAATTTGGGGGTAGGGTCAGAGAGATAGTACAGAGAGGGCGCTCGCCTTGCATGTGGCCAACCTGGATTCGATCCCTGCCATCCCACAGGGTCCCCAGGTCTCACTATTAGTGATCCCTGAGCACAGAGCCAGGAGGAAGCCCTGCACATTGCTGGGCGTGGCCCACAAACCCCAAAATAAATAAAAAAGTAAAGTGAAAAGGAAGCCTCCCCTTTGAGGGGGTACGGGGTGGGATTTGTCCGTGGGCCACATCCGGCAGTGCTCAGGGATTCCTCCTGGCTCTGCACTCAGGGATCAGTCCTGGCGGGCTGGCGGGGGAGGGACCTGAGGGGGTGCCAGGAATCGAACCCAGGTGGGCCGCCAGCAGGTCAAGCGTCCTCCCCACTGTGCTCTCTCTCCCCAGTCCCTGGGAAGTGCCCCGAAACCTTCCCTCAATTGATTTGCTGGACGTGGATTTTGTTGGTTCGCTTTGCTGTGTGTGCCGGGAAGGAACCCGGGGCCTGCCCTAGAGCCCTGGCTTTGTGTGCAGGAGACCTAGGCTTGCGCCTCGGCACCTACGAGCCCCCAGCACTGTTGGGTGTGCTCCAACATCCAAAGGAAAGAGAGATGATCGGCTGTTGTCCAAAATGGTCATGGTGTGGCTTTGCACCCCGCCAGCATGCAGGGCCGAGGCTCGGGGCTCCCGGCGCGTCCTGGTCGTGACTTCTGGCCATGTCATGCTCCCTCTCAATCCCCGCACTGCTGTGTGTTGGCATCCCGGGCCCGACTGTGCCCTGCTATGGCTTCTGGGCTTCTGGGCCTTGACGGGTGTCACTGATGCTGCCAGGGACAGAGGGTGTCCCTGTGGCCGAGGGTCCCCGAATGCTTCCCTGCCCCATGGGGCTGGAGCGGGCTGGGCTGGCCTTCCTGGTCCTGTTACCTCCACCATATTTGGGGGCCGCCGTTTGGGTCTGTGTGAGCCTCTTCCCAATGCACTGAGATCTGCCCGGCTCCGTGTTGTGCTGGGGGCCGCCAGGGCCACCCGCTGTCCAGCACTAGGGTCCGGGTGGTCGGTTGCAGGCTCTCAGCATGGGGCCTCACGCTCAGATCCCTGCCGGGCGGGCTCCGTGCTGGGCCTGATGTGGCCTCGTCTCCTCTCTAATTCCTCCGGGTTTGCTCTGCCGGGACCCAACCCAGGGCCTCACGCCTCTTCTTTGGCTTTCAAGCCTCTCTCCTGGGGTTGCTGCTGGGTGAGTGGGTATTGGGGGCTCAGACTGTACCTGGCCAGAGGCCGCTCCTGTCCTCCCCCACCCCCAGAGGCTTTCCTGCTGCTCAGCTCCGGGAGGTCCCAGTGTTCCAGCTTCCAAGCCAAAATGTGCATCCCCCAGCTTCAGTCGTGCTCATCTGTCTTCCAGGGAAGCCACGTCCCTCCACCCCCACCCTTGGGAGCTCCAGCACCACGGAGCCTGGATAGACGCCCCTGAAACACTGAGAACCACACTGCTCTCCTTGCTGCCAGGGTCCCTTGATCCTTTTATTTTTTTGGGGGGGGGTGGCCACACCCAATGATTCTCAGAAGTGACTCTTGGCTCTGCACGCAGGGATCACTCCTGGTGGTATTCGGGGGACCATATGGGGTGCCGGGAATCGAACCCGGGTTGGCCGCATGCAAGGCGAGCACCTCCCCGCTGGACTATCGCTCCGGCCCCTTCATCCTTGAATAGGTTATATTCTTTGCCTTTGAGTCCAGAAATTAAATTAGTTTGGTTTTTTTTGGGGAGGGGGTAGTGTTGTTTGTTTTTTGGCAGTACATAGGGGCTGTTCTTTTTTTTTTTTTTCTTTTCGGGTCACACCCGGCGATGCTCAGGGGCAACTCCTGGCTTTGCACTCAGGAATTACTCCTGGCAGTACTCGGGAGACCATGTGGGATGCTGGGAATCGAACCCGGGTCGACTGCGTGAATATAGGGGCTATTTCTGGGGGATGTTTCTGGTGCTGCTTGGAGGACCAGAAATGTGGTTTTTTTTGCCCCAACAGTGCATGGAAAGCTTTATTATTGCTTGGGTGGGGGCTGCTGTGCTCCTTTTTCTGTTGCTCTGAGACCCCCTGTCTCTTTCGGGGAGCAGCGCTCAGGGCCCGGGACCCACTTCTGGCCACACTCCAGCCAGCCAGGCCCGGTCACTGCACGCTTGGGTCAGGTGATGCCGCTTCTCTGGGGCCCCCCAAGTAGGGGACCATGCAGTACTGGGGCTGGTGCCCTGTGTGCCCCCAGCCTGGCTACGACTCCCTGACTCCCCCTGACTCTTTTGGGGGGGCTTCCCAAGTGACGTTCAGGAGGCCCAACACCCCGACCAGTGACTCTGTGCCATCCAGATCAGCAGTTACGTGCGTGCAGGGACCCGAGGATGTGGTGCCCCTTGGGGGTGTCCAGGGTCACACCTGGATGTGCTCGGGGGACTGTGCAGCGCCAGGAATCGAACCAGGTCCAGTGGAAGGCGTGTCTGGCGCTCACGCTCACTGACCCCGTCCTGGCTGGTCTGTGTCCCCAGGGAAGACGCTGATCAAAGTGGCCGAGGCCGAGAAGCGCCTGGGGGCCACGGAGCGGGACTTCATCCACACGGCCTCCGTCAACTTCCTCACGCCCCTGCGCAACTTCCTGGAAGGGGACTGGAAGACCATCTCGGTGAGGGGCGGCCCTGGCCACTCCCGCGCGTCCACCGGTGTCCGCGGCCGCCTTCCCTCACGGTTGCCTGTCCCCCTCGGCCCACAGAAGGAGCGGCGGCTCCTGCAGAACCGCCGCCTGGACCTGGACGCCTGCAAGGCGCGGCTCAAGAAGGCCAAGGCGGCCGAAGCCAAAGCCACGGTAGGTGCCGGCCCTGCATGAACCCTGACCTTGGGCCCGGCGGCGGCAGTGGCGGCAGTGCCGAAGAGGCCTGGCGGGGGTTCCTGGGCTGCCCCCGCCCCGCCAGAGCCCTGCTGTCCCGGGAGGTCAGGGCAGCCCCGGTAGCTTCTTGCATGTTCCTGCCCGGCTGGCCCTGCTGCTGCTGCCTCTGCTGTCCTCCCTCTGTCCCTGCCCGCCGCGTGACCAGCCCCCAGGGCCTGTGCTGGGCAGTCGAGAGGGGCTGTGGCCTGGGCCTGTGCAGGCTGTCAGGCCCGGCTGGAGGACAGGAGCTGAGGGTGGGCATGCCCGGCTATCCGGGGCCAGAGCTGGAAGTCCCAGACTCGGGGCGGGCCCAAGTGCTGTGCTGGGCGTCGGAGTTGGGGGCTCAGTCTGGGAGCCCTCCGTGGCCCCGGTGGCTGGGTGGGGGTGTAGCGGGCTCTCAGCCCCCCTAGGGGTGCCCTTGCCCCACCTCACTGCCGTCCCCCGTCACTCAGCCGCACTAACCCTCTGGACTAACCTGGCCAGGACAAGCTCCCCTCCCGCCCCCCCACCCGGCTACGCCCGAGCGTAGCCCCCCTGAGGGTCCCGAACCCCCCCGGCCACGCCCCCGCAGCCCTCTGCACCCAGAGGGGTGGGGCGTCTCGGCCAGCTGGCGCCCGCGCTGTGGACTAACTCTCGTGTTTTTTGTTCTTTCCGTTCTGCTTTGGGTAACTTGGCTCAGTGTGAGGGAGATGTGAGTATACCTGTCCCACGTGCTGTGCTGCTTGTGTGTGCCCGTGGTGGGCCCTTGTGTGTGCGTGTGACGCAGGGCACGGCCCCGCGGCCTTTTTGCAAGCAGCTGTTCTCCCTGCAGAGCTCCTGGTTGGGAGGGGACCCCCCTGGCACGGAAGCCCGGGAGGCGACTCTTTGCAAAGGCCTCAGGCTGTCACGGCCCATCTGTGCATCCATCTGTCGTGGGGAGGGGAGAGGAGGGGAGGGCAGGGCAGGGCGCACAGGAGCCAGTAGTGGCCTATGCACATTTGGGGCTGGAGGGAGTTGGGGTGCGGCAGGGGCACGGGGTGGCTGGGCTCCGGGAGGCGGGCCCGGCTGGTGGCAGGGGCCACTGGTTCTGGTGGTGACTGTGCCGAGTCCAGACCCCGCTGGGCTGTGTGTCCTCTCCTCGCCCAGTGGGCGGCTGGGCGGGCCCCGGGCCCCCGCGTGACGCCCTTCCGTGCCTCTGTTCCCGCCAGACGGTGCCTGACTTTCAGGAGACTAGACCTCGTAATTACATTCTCTCGGCCAGCGCCTCCGCGGTAAGCCCCCCCGCGCCCGCTCTCCCGGCCTGCCCGGCTGTGAGCGCTGCTGCAGAACTGAGGTGGGAGCAGCCGCCGCGCCCCCCGGGGTCCCGGCTGCCACCTGCGGGTGTGGCCGGGGGAGCTGAGGTTGGATGGCGCCGGGGAAGCTGTGGACGTCTGTCTCTCGTCCCGACTGTCAAGTCCGGGAGTGGCCGGCACCCCCTCCCCCACTGTGCTGCCTTTGTCCTCGCTGCCCCTCCTGGCCGTGCAGCTGGTGCTGGGCATCCTGGCCGGCTCGGCAGGCCACTCCCCACCGGGCGCCCTGGGGACAGCTCTGTCCTCTGCCCGCGTTTCGGGCTCAGGTTTCCCTCTGGGGTGGGGGCTTCCTCCCCACTTCCTGGGCCGGGTCGAAGCTCCCGGGACGGGCACTGCCCGAGTGGGCTCTGGGCACCGGGTGCTGTTCCCTCTCGGCCCGGCAGCTCAGCCAGGTGGGGTGGGGGGACGCTCGCTCTGCTGGACGCCCGGACCCGGCTGGGGCCGACGCTGCCAGCTGCCTCTGCCCCCTGCATGTGGCACGAGGGACCGCTGCCCCCTCACGCCAGGCCTCGGGAGGGGCCGGGAGGGCTGGGGCAGGCCTGGGGGTCAGTGTCCTCCCTCTTCTCCCTGCCCGCTCGCCGGTCCTGCATGGTCCCTGCAGCTCTGGAACGATGAGGTGGACAAGGTGAGTGTGGCTGCCGGCCTGGAGCTTGGGGCAGTGTGGGCTCGGGGGTGGCGCCTGGAGGGAGGAGGGCGCTGGCCCGGGGACGAGCGGAGCCCTGTGTCCTGCAGGCCGAGCAGGAGCTGCGAGTGGCCCAGACCGAGTTTGACCGGCAGGCGGAAGTGACGCGGCTCCTGCTGGAGGGCATCAGCAGCACACACGTGAGTGCGGCGGGCCGGGAGGGCGGGGCACGGCCGGGGTCTGGGCCACGCTGACCACTGACCACCTCGCTGGCCTCCCCCAGGTCAACCACCTTCGCTGCCTTCACGAGTTTGTGGAGTCTCAGACAACCTACTACGCGCAGTGCTACCGCCACATGCTGGACTTACAGAAACAGCTGGGCAGGTGCCCGGGGGACCCCGCTGTCCGTCCCCGCTGGCGGGGGGCCCGGGTGGGGTGAGGCGGGGCGGGTGAGGGGGCAGGCTGGGCCGCAGCTCACCCCTGCTTTGCTTCCCCGCATGCCGCCAGCTCCCAGGGAGCCACGTAAGTACCCGGCAGGTGAGGGTGAGCGGGGCAGGGGCGCTCGGGGGGCGCGGGCCGCTGAGCCGCGCCTACTCCTCCCAGGTTTCCGGGCACCTTCGTGGGCAGCACGGAGCCCGGCTCCCCACCCGTGACCAGCACATCGCCGAGCACCGCCACGATGCCGGTGGTGGCCCCGGGGGCTGGCGCGGCCCCTGCAGGGGAAGCTGCCCTCTGCCTGGAGGAGGTGGCACCCCCTGCCAGTGGCACCCGGAAAGCCCGAGTGCTTTACGACTACGAGGCGGCCGACAGCAGCGAGCTGGCCCTGCTGGCCGACGAGGTGTGTGGACCGGGGAGGGGTGGGGCCCGTGGGCGGGGCGGTGCCAGCCTGCAGATGCGCCTCTGCCCCCTGCAGCTGCTCACCGTCTACAGCCTGCCTGGCATGGACCCCGACTGGCTCATGGGCGAGCGAGGCAACAAGAAGGGCAAAGTCCCCGTCACCTACCTGGAGCTGCTCAGCTGAGGGGCGGGAGGCCAGCCCCGACCCGGCCCGCTTCTGACCGGTGGTCCGGAGCCCCCCCACCGCCTGCAGCATCGCCCTCCCGCTCCTGCCCGGGCAGAGGGGCCCTGGCAGGCGGGAGCCCCTTGCTATCTTTCCATCGCCCGCCGCAGCGAGAGAGTGGCGGGCGGGTGGGCGGGTGGGCACAGGGCTGCAGCCCACCTCACCAGTCACTTTTTCACGGTCTTTTTACTCGGCCTGTCTGCTTGCTGCCTAGCCAGTGACGAATAAAACCTTCCCTGCGCGTGTGCGGAGCCTCGTCTGTTGGGACTCCCGGCCTCACAGGCTGGCCCCGGGCTGGGTGAAAGCACCCCCCGCCCCCCCCAGGAGCCACCTTCCTACAGGGTGGGTGGGGCAAGAGGGCCCCCATGGACCCGTCTGCAAGACGCCACATGAGGGCGGTGGGGGGGCTGTGGGCAGGTCGGGTTGGCCCTTGGCCAGCATCAGGCCCTGAGAGCGGGCAGGTCCTCTGTGGGACCGACTATAATTGGAGCTCTGAGCGCCCGCTGGGTCCCACCACAGCATTCCCCTGGCACCCGCCGGCCAACGCCCCGCCCGGACTCCTGGGCAAGGCAGACCTGGGAGGGGCTGGCCGCCACCCGAAGCAGAAGCACGGCGCACACGCTCTATAAAGAGGGCTTTAATATCTGTATAAATAGACCACAGTATTACCAAAAACTGCAACAACGGAGCCTGGAAAGCAGCTCCTGCGGCCCAGGCCGGCCTCCGCGGACAGCACGTGACAAGGCTCGGGGCCAGGCCTGGCAAGTGCTGCGGGTGCAGGACGGGCGCCACCCCACTCCGGGCAGGAGTGGGCCGGCTCAAGGGTCCCGCCCCTGCAGTTGACCTCTTCTCTGTTACAAAAATAACGCCGTTAGTGAGGGGCAGCTGCGGGTGGGCGGGCGGGTGGGTGGCGCCCCGTGCCCCGGGGCACAGGCTGGTGGACAGGCAGCGGGCAGCGTGGCACCGTCCTATCTCTGCACGTGGCGGACGAAGGCCTGTACGAGCTGGATGAGGGGCTCCTGGCTCTCGGCGCCGGCCTTGGACGCAGAGCTGCACTTGCCCTGCGGGGAGGGGAGGACCCCCGCCGCGGGGGAGCTGGGGGCGCCCCGGCGGAAGTAGCGCGAGAGGCTGGAGAGCAGTGTGCTCTGGGGAGAGAGAGAGGCCGTGAGCCCCGCGGCCCAGGGACTGCCGCTCCCCCCCCCCCCCCGCCCCCATGCCCCTACCAGCTCGGAGCTGAGCTCCTGCTTCATGCGCTGCTTGTCCCGGGAGTGCACGGCCGGGTCCCGCAGGTAGCGCATCGCCTGGGAGATGAGCAGGTAGAAGCAGTTCTCCATGGTGAACATCAGCAGGGACCTGCGAGGAGGGCAGGGCAGTCGGGGGCTGCAGGGCTGCCAGTGGCCAGGGCTGGCCCAGCCCCCAGCTCCCGGGGGCGCCTTACTTGAGCGTTCGGCTCCCTTCTGCCTGCGTGCTGAGCCCCACAGCCTGCGTGAGAGGCTCCTTCTTCTTGTCCAGCTGTTGGGAGAGCGAGGAGCACGGGGTTCAGTCGCGGCGGCCTGGGGGGGGTCCTGCCCGGCTGGCCCCGGGGCACTACAGCCCCCACTCACCTCCCCAAGCATGTTGAGGGCCACGTTCACCGTGGCCAGCAGGGTCCCGAAGGAGGGGGCCACTTCGGAGTCAAAGGTGGGCGTGGTGAAGCTCAGGGCGAACAGGAAGTCGTACTCGGCCAGGTCCAGGGACTGCCAAGCAAACACGAGCGCTCTGGGCCCCGCCGGACGTCGGAGCCCAGGAGGCCGCGCGCGAAGCATGGCAAAGCCTCGGGCTGGCGCCGGCCAGCGGTACCTGGTCCAGCAGGATCTGGCAGACGTCCGGGCTGAAGTGGCGCAGCGCCGCCAAGGTCCTGCAGAGGATCTTGAGGAGGCCATACTGGACCGTGTGCAAGGCCCGCTGCTCCGAGGCCTCCGTGTCCGCGCTGGGCTGCCGGGAGGAAGCCGCGGGGGCAGCCAGTGGTCGCTGGAGGCGGGGGCCGGCGGCCGAGGGCAGGCCGTCCCCGTTCTTGCTCTGGGGGAGAAACAGCGGTGAGGGGGGCGGGGCGCAGGGGCGAGCGGGCGCCCCCCGGCCCGGTCCTCACCTGCAGGTAGTGCTGCAGCATCTTGCGGCTATGCAGGAGGGAGGTGCAGGCCTGGCACAGGTAGCCCAGGGTGACCTGCGACAAACACGAGGTTGGCGTGGGCACGAGGGGTCTGACAGGCTCTGCTCTGCTCCAGCCTGCCCACCCGACTCCACCGTCCCCCCAACTGGACTGGAGGGAAGGCCTCGGGGGGACGAAGCACGAAGCCCGGGGTCTCCCGTAGGTTCCCCGCTCCAGGCCTGCTCCTCGGCCCGGTGAGCCAAGGACAGAGCCCGGGTTCTTGGCTGTGGGGAGAGGGAGCGGTCCAGCATTGCTCCGGGGTCCCGGGGTCACTCCGGAACTACGCGGCCTGGCAGGGGGCCAGGCACCGTCAGGGATTGAACTCGGCGCCTCAGGCATGTAGCACACAGGCTCGGGCCTTTGGAGTCACGGCCCGAACGCGGCGTCTGAGCGTGTTTGTCTGGGATCCCTGCAGGCCTCGGGCATACGGACGCTGCCCCATGCTGAGCGGTGGGCCCGTGCTGGCTCTGTGCCGAGTGCAGGGGAGCCTGCGTGTGCCAGGAATCGAACCTGGGTCAGCTGTGTGCAAGGCAAGCGCCCTCCGGGCAGTACCGGCTGTCCAGCCCTCGGAGTGCACGTGCGGCGGGAGCTCCCTGGGGGACGCGCGGGGCCCCACCTGGACATCCCGCATCAGCCGCGGCAGGTGGAAGTGCCACTCCTTCCTGAAGGTGGACAGCTGCAGGATGAAGCCCACCGTGTGGTCCGCCTCCTCCAGGCAGGCGAGGCTCTGCACCGTCCTCACGGCGTTCAGGCACTGGGGAGACGGAGGGACAGGCCGTGGGGCTCTGGGCCCACCGACGCTGACTGGGAATGCCGCCGTGGGCCCCCGCGACATCCCCAGGCCCCACCTGCAAGGTGCGTTCCTGGTGCACCCCCAGGAAGTCCAGGGCCTCGGTCAGGAAGTTGTAGCGCAGCGTCTTGAGCAGCCGCTCCATCAGAGACAGGGACAGGCGGTAGACCCCCGGCCACGAGGGGGCGTCCAGCGACTTCCGAGAGGTGCCCGGGGTCTGCGGCAGAGAACGGGCGGGATGAGGGCGTGCGGGGCTGGGCGGGCCAGCCCGGGGCACCACCACTCACCTGCCCGGCGCCGTTGCTGCTGAGCTGGTACACGCTGAGCAGGGGCAGGCAGATGCTCTGGGTGATGCCGGCTCCTGCCACGGCTGCGGCCCCCTGGAGGGCAAGACCGGGAGTGAGTAAGGGGGGAGAGGGAGGGGGCCGGCGAGCAGGGACTGAGGCTGGGGGGAGCCGGGCCTACCTGCTGGGTCCGGGCCAGCGTGAGCAGCAGGTGCAGCGCCGCCTCGGTGCAGTGCAGGTTCTGCTTCAGGCGGAGGCTCACCTCCAGGGCGGTCAGGAGCGTGGGCAGCACGGGCAGTGTCCGCGTCACCTGCAGCCATGAGTCGCCGTCCTCGTCCACCTCACACAGCTCCTTGGCCAGGTGCAGGCCCAGGACACACACCTGCTGGGGCCCAGGGGGAAGAGGGTCAAAGGGAAGGAAGTAGTGTGTGTGTGTTGGGGGGGGGGGGGGGCGCGGGAGGCAGCAGCTCCCCACGCGGCTGCAGTTCCACAGGCCTCGGAGACTCCGCCTGCTGCAAAGTGCGGGTAGTGCCCCCGCTGAGCAGACCGTCCTGGGTCACTGACCCTTCCGTGCCTAGCACCCGAAGCCCCCTGTCCACATTCCCACCTTAGAAAGCCCTGGACGTTATCATTCGTTTTATCCCACTGTATGAAACGGGTGGGGCCCAAGCGAGCTCGTCTCCGACACAGGTCAGCCGGCACCATGTTCTAGCGAACAGACCCAACTCTCCGGTCTCCTGCCTATGCTCCTGACATGGGGCCTGGGCGTCATGGGGCCCGGGCATCCACGCCCTCCTGCCTGGCCCACAGCCCCAGGAAGCCTGCGGCCCTCCCGACAGTCGGCAGGCACGACGCTCCCCTGCACAGCCTGAGTCCGTCCCGGGGCCGGTGGCTCACCCCATCTCGCTGGTCTCTGTGGCGCGCCCGGGCGCAGTCGTCCGTCTCCATGCTGTCCTTGTCCTCGGTGCCGCCCGGGGCCAGACTGTGCCGGGTCTGGTCGAAGAGTGCGATCAGCTCCTCCTGCAGTGTCCCGCAGACGCTCAGCACCAGCTCCGAGTACTGGGGGATGTCGCTCACTGTGGGGCACATGGGGAGGGGTGGCCACAGGCACGAGGCGGGCGGGGGGTGGGGGGAGGAGCAGCCCTGCCGGGGTGCGGGTAGCGGGCCCTGGGTCTCACCTCGCAGCTCCTTCATCTGCAGCACCGTGATGAAGGCGGAGAACACCTTGGCTTTGGTCTTCTCCATGAGCTGCTGGTCAGCCTGCAGCACGGCCTCCAGGATCTCCGTCAAGGGCCCGAGGATCGTGTCCACCGGCCCCAAATCTCTAGAGAGGACGGAGGTAAGAGCCTCGCGGAAGGTCCCGAGTGCCTGCGCCCAGCCCCCAGCCCATGTCCGCCCGGGGGAGGGCGCACCCCTTCCACTGGCGCAGGAGGACCAGCAGCAGCGTGCACATCATGGACCCCAGGCGCAGGCAGTTGGCCGAGCCGGGCACCAGGAGCTGTGGGGAGAACAGCGGCGTCAGCAGGGCTGCCGAGCGCGCCCTCCACCCCCCGCGTCCCGAGGTCCGGGACCCGCCCAGACGCACTTACTAAGGCTTTGGTCCCGTCCAGCACATCCAGGAAGAGCTGGCAGCGCACCGCGGCGTCCGTCAGGTGCACGACCTCCGCCTGTGAGAGGCCCAGGGAAACCTCCCAGTCTGTTCTTTCCTTTGAGTGTTCAGGCCACAACAACACCGCTCAGGGCTGACTTGGCCTCACACACGGGGAACCAGAAGGGGGTCCCAGGGATCGCACCTGGGTTGGCCGCGTGCAAGTGCCCACCCTGCTGGACTATCGCTTCAGCTCCTATTTTTCTTTTTTATAATTTTGGGGCCATGCCTGACGGTGCCTACTCCTGGTTCTGTGCTGCGGAGACCATAAGTAGCGCCGGGGATCCGATGCGGCTCAGCCCTCAGTAAGCCCTAGACACTGCACTATCGCTCTGACCCGCACAGATCTCAGAGTGCAGGAAACAGTGTCCTGGGTCAGCCGAGCAGTCTCTCTCCGTGCTAGTCTGGGGCCAACCCTGCGATACAGCGGGACGACCCAGTCGGTCCCGGGCAGTCTGCTGAGCTAACCAGCTCGGGGACTGAGTGTGCAGCCACTTCCACTTCCCAGTTTCCACCTTGAGCCCTGGTACACTTTCCCCTCCTGACCACATCCTACTGGGCCCTTCCAGGGAGACAAACCCTCCCTCACTGCCCGGGGCATCCTTCTGTGTGGCCCTGCCCAGACTGCCCTCTCCCACATCCGCCAGCAGCAGCCAGGGTCACTGTGCCCAGCTCCAGGAGGGGGGCCCCAGAACACACCTGCCCACTTCACCACCCACTACCACTGCAGTGCATCTTCCATGCTGCAGTCACCACCCACTACATTGTATCCCATACGTTCCCCCCACACTGCAGTCACCACCCATTACTGCTGTATCTGGTGCATCCCCCAACGCTGCAGTCAGCACCCACTACCTTTATCCGGTGCATCCCCCAACACTGCAGTCACCACCCATTTCCACTGTATCTGCTGCACTGTATCCGATGCGTCCCTCCCCCCACACTGCAGTCACCACCCACTACACTGTATCCGGTGTGTCCCCCCATGCTGCAGTCACCACCCACTACCACTGGTGCATCTCCCCATGCTGCAGTCACCATCCACTACATTGTATCCAATGCGTTCCCCCCACACTGCAGTCACCACCCATTACTGCTGTATCTGGTGCATCCCCCAATGCTGCAGTCACCACCTATTTCCACTGTATCTGTTGCACTGTATCCGGTGCATCCCTCCCCTCCATGCTGCAGTCACCACCCACTACCGCTGTACCCAGTGCATCCCCCACACTGAAGTCGGCAAACACCAAGCCGCTCGGGGCCAGGGACAGGAGGGGGCACCCATGGGCAGGTGGGGATCCCACCAGCCTCCCCAGAACCTTACGTGGCTGGAGGCGACGATGAGCAGCACCCGCCAGGCGGAGACGAGCATCTGGGACTCCACTGAGAAGGTGCAGCCGCTGTCCTCCGCGCGTGCCGTGTGCGCCGCCAGTGACCCCACGTAGCCCGACCAGTAGGCGAAGCGCTTCTCGCTGGAGAACTTCCTGAGCGTGTCCTTCAGCGACTGGTCTAAGGAGCCCCTAGGGGGTCAGAGGGACAGAGCCCGGTCGGGCCAGGCGGGCGCTGGGCCGTGACGGGCGCGGACCCTGGCTGAGGCAGAGAAGGCGACCTCACATGGGCTAAAGGCCGGCGGCTCCAGGCTCGCTCCAGCGTGAGGCTCCTACTTCCCCGGGCTCCTCCATAAATCCCGCGCATGGGGCTTGCGGCACAATGTCGCTCTGACAATCATAAACGCCATCAACGGACTGGCCAGGAACAAGCTCAGCGGCCCCCCCAATGGCCCCAGACCAGCCGTCACCTCTACCTTGGGCCGCTGCGGTGTCTCCCCACCCCGCCAACGAGCGCGAGAGCAAACCCCCAGCAGGGAGAGGACTCACTGAACGACGTAGTAAAGCTCCAGGCAAATGATCTTCATGATCAGAGCGCAGGTCTCCAGGATGCTGGGCTGCAGGGGGCAAGCGGACGGTCACCGGGGACAAGCAGGGCCCCAGGCAGAACGCCCAGGGAGGCGGGAACGGCCGCACCCACCTTGGCTTACCTCGGATGTCTCCGAGGGAGGAGACAGGGATCCAAACAGGGGGCTGGTGAGATTCTCCCAAAACTTGGGTCTAGAAGGAAAACGCCCGTTGGAGTCCCGCAGCTCCTCGCCCCTCCCTCCCTGCCCCTGGGCAGGCGCCAGCCCCCCATCCAACACAAAAGCAGCCCAGCGGGGCCTAGAGAAACGCAGTTTCCTGGACCAGAAGACGTCTACCCCGACACAGGGCAAGCAGTCGGCTCGAAAGCCACATGCGCCAGGGCCGAGGCAGGCCTCTGACTCCTCCCTCCGTGCACAGGGCCCAAGGAGCCGGGGTCTGCCTGGTCACTCTCAGCGGGGTCTCCCATTCCTCAGCAACAGCAGGCCAGCTGAAGGGGCTTGCGTGCGGGAGGGCGCTGGGGCACCCACGGAAAAGGCATCGGCACCTTTCAGGACAGACGCCACCTGCTGGCGGCCACAGCAGACAAGTCCCACACACCCACCCACCAGCACCGTGACCCCAGCGACAGTCCATAGCAGAGAGGAAGAGGGACACCCAGGCGCCCGCCCCCACAACGGCCGGCAGAGCCCCAGGAAGGACGGTGTCCCGTCTGGCAGGCCAGGCCCCAGGCGGGGCACCTACTTGGTTCTGAGGACCAGCATGGCACTGTCCCGCCGGTCCTGCCACAGGGCGTGCAGGAAGGCAATGGCGGCGCGGTGCAGCAGCGGCGGGCACCAGTAGCGGTCCTGCTGCTGGCAGTCGATCAGCTCCAGCACCACGTGCAGGCAGCTCCAGGCCCCCAGGCTGAACTCCTGCGGGCGACAGCAGCGCCGTGACACCCCCACTGCGGCCCAGCGAGGCCCACCCCCGCCCGCCACGGGAGCACGTCTTACCTTGGAGCCATCGGCGCCGTCCTTCACCTCCAGGTTCAGGAAGAGCTCGATGAGGCCGGGCTGCGTCTCCACAGCGACCGTGAGGAACTCCAGGATCATGACTTTGATGCGCATGTCCTCGATCTTGCTCTGGAGCCGCGTCAGGAACGCATCCCGGATGGCGGCGGCGTCGCTGCCCAGGCAGGCGTACACCGACATGGGGGCCACCTGGGAAAGGGCACACAAGGCTGAGGGAAAGGAGCCAAGGGAAGGGCCCCACAGGTCCCTCTGGGTCTAAAGGGACCCCCCCCCCCCACAAGCTACCGCTGCCCCACAAATCGCAGGAAATGAGACTCGACATCAAAGGAAGAGTGGAAAGGAGAACAGCATCTGGAGGAGCAGGGTTTGCCGGAGGGAGGCCAGGGGGTTCTGTCCCCGGCACCACGTGGCTCCCCAAGCAACACGAACAGAGCAGCCTGTCCACAGCGACTCTTGGAGTGAAGCGATCACAGGCGACAGCATTTTTTTTTCTAAGTTACAACCATCTATAAAGTATTTAAATGCTTTAACATGAGTACAAAATGTATTTTGTAATCAGGAAAAATAAACTTTCACAAACACAATTTGCGCAAGGATGCATGAGTGCAGGTGTGTGCAATAGTCGGGATGGGCAGGAGCAACAGGACAGCGGGGAGGAGGTTTGCCTTGGATGCAGCCCACCCGGGTTCGACCCCTGGCATCCCATGCAGTTCCTTGAGCCCCACCAGGAGTAAGCCCTGAGCATCACCAGGTGTTCCCCTCACCCCCCCCCCCACAAAAAAGGTCAGAGAGGTTCAGGCAGATGATGCAAAGGACAAAGAGCACACGTGGTGCTGGAGGCCAGAGCTAAGTTGCCCGTCCTGTATTGGCTGACGCTGGTTCAATACCCGGGACTGCATATGATCCTCCAAGCACCCAAGCTCAGGAAGGACCCGGGTGCAGAGCCTCGAGCAGTCAGATGGGGCCCACTCACGCAAAGAAACAATGAAAAAGAGGGGCTGGAGCAATAGCACAGTGGGTAGGGCATTTGCCTTGCACGCGGCCGACCCCGGTTCGATTCCCAGCATCCCATATGGTCCCCTGAGCACCGCCAGGGTAATTCCTGAGTGCAGAGCCAGGAGTAAGCCCTGTGCATCGCTGGGTGTAACCCAAAAAGCCAAAATAAATAAATAAATAAATAAAATAAAATAAAAAAGAGCTCTGCTGCGCAACAGCCCCGGATATGCAATCCCAGCACTGTCTGGTCCCTGGGTACCCCGAGACGCAAACCCCAAGCACCGAGCTCAAAGCAGCCCCATAGCCCCCAAGTACCACTGGGAGTAGCACCCGCACTGCCCCGATGAAACAAAACAAGAAATGTGCATTCATCCGGGAGAAGCTGTACTGTGCAGTCAGCTTTCCTGTGATCTGGGGTCACGCCGGGTCCTACCGTGGCCAGACGCTTCAGCAGCTGGATAGCAAGTCGTGGCAAGGCCGGGTCGTGTTTGTGGTAGATATACTTGGCAAGGACAGCAATGAGATTGTTCCCGTGAGCACCTGAGGCGGCAAAGAAACAGCTCTGATGCCAGCAGGCCCGACTCAAGCTCTCCCCTCTCTTTTAATTTTTGTCTTTGTTTTTGGGATCAAACTGAAAGGCACTTGGGGGGGCCCCTCTCACTGGCGCTCATGCTGCCAGGAATGAGCCTGTTTCCTGCACACAGAACGTTTGTCCTAGTTCTCTGAGCCATCTCCCAGCCCCAAAGACGATCCCTACTCCTCCTCTCCTCCTCTTCCTCCTCCTCTTCCTCCCATTTTCCTACGCCAGGAATCAGGCCCAGGGCTTCACAGATATGAACAACCTGCAGCCACATCCTGGCCAGGACTCGGCTCCAGGACAAAAACGCAGGCTTCGATGTGGGCGCCAGAGTCTGCTCCCCAGTATGAGAGCCCCCATATAACTGACTGTGGTTTAAAAAGGGGGGGGCAGCTGGAGCAATAGTACAGCAGGTCAGGCATTTGCCTTGCACGCAGCCGACCCGAGTTCGATTCCCCTGAGCACTGCCAGGAGTAATTCCTGAGTGCATGAGCCAGGAGTAACCTCTGTGCATCTCTGGGTGTGACCCAAAAAGCAAAATAAATAAATAAATAAATAAATAGGGGAGGGGGGGTTTGCTCAAAGGAGCAGATCTATGTGAGGAAACTTGCAGGAAGGCCAGAGTAAAGCAGTGACCCGGGGAGCCAGTCCTGAAGGGAAGAGGGAGAACTTGGGAATAAACATTCTAATCTAACTAAGATGGGAAGAGATAGTCTTCTAGGTTAAACAACGACTTGCATCAAGGGCCCAGAGCAATAGCACAGCAGGGAGGGCGTTTGCCTGGCACACGGCTGACCCGTGTTCGATGTCCCCAAGCCCGCCAGGAGTACTCCTGAGTGCTGAGCCAGGAGTAACCCCTGAGCATCACCGAGTGGGTGACCCAAAAACATAAACAAATTCCCCCCAACTACCTCCAGGTGAGAAAAATGGTCCCAAAGAGATTAAATGAGTAGTTAAGGCCAGAAAGTAGCAGCGGTCAGGACTGCAGCAGCACTGGGAGGCCGCCCACACGCTGAGGGGACTGTCCGGAGTCCGCCGTCAGAAGCGGGCAGGTTACCAGGCTGGGTTAGCAGCGGATCCCCAGTCACACAGAGGGCAGGAGGCAAAACTGGAACCAAGGCGGGCTGGCTTTAACATCTGTCCTTCTTGGTCATACCCTGCAGCGTCAGGGATTAAACCCGGGGTCTTCTGCATGCAAACAGCATTCCCGCCTCCTGCACCATCTCTGGGCCCTCAACACGCATCTTTTGGTCTTGTTTTTGTGGTAGGTTTGTTCTGGATTCACTCTCAGCCGTGCTCAGGACTGACACCCAGCGCTCTGCTCCGGGGTTTACTCTGAGGGGTGGCAGGAAGACCGCGTGCCCGGGGAGTGTCCTAGCTGCTGTGCTGTCATCGACAGGAGGGAGAAGCGAGGGAGGAGCCAGGCCACTTGTCTCTGACCCCAGTCGGCGACAATCCCCAAATTTCCTCAAGGACCCGATCGGAAAAGTCACGGCTGGCTCCTGAGCCAGGCTGGGGCACAACCTTGGGCGGCCACGCGCTGGGGAGCCACATACCATGCTGGGTGAGGGCCTGCTCCAGGGGGGACACCACGCTGGATGGGGGTTTCAGTCGGATCACGTTGTTGGTGACGGAGAACGCCAGCTTCACGGTCTTGATCAGCAGCTGGCCCTGCCCGTGGCCGTCTGCCCCGTCGCTAGGGAGCCAAATGGAAACCAGAGATGACGGCCCTGTGCCGGCACTCATAATAACCTGTACCTCAGTTAGTGCCAGGGGAGGGGGCAGCGTCCCCGGTCTCTCCAGGCCCAGGAGTCCTACCTGCGGGGCTGCGCAGCCATCACCATGTCGATGGTGTCCACGCCGATGCCCATGATGTTGACGACAGTCTGGCCTGCTTCCGTGTAGGCCAGGCTGCAGATGCACAGGAGCTGCAGGCTCGGCGTGTGACTAGGAGAGATGCCCTGAGTTAGGGGGCCGGCTCGGCCACCTAACTGGTATAACTCCCTTCCCTCGGAGATCCAGTGTAATGACAGAGACTGTCAATTATGAGTGACCGGCAACGAACAGGGGGGTCCCGACTGAAACGAACAATGGACCCACACTCTGGAGAGCCACTGTCCAGAGGCAGGGTGCTCGCCTCGCACGCAGCTGACCCAGGTGCCATTCCCGGCACCCCACAAGGTCCCTCGAAACCCCAACAGAAATGAGCCCTAAGCACCACTGTGTGTGGCCCCCAAACCAGAAACAGAAACACAGGTCTACGTCCTAGCTTGGAAAGAAATCCCAGAGTGGGGCTGGAGCAATAGCAATTGCACGTGGCCAACCCGGGTTCGATTCCCAGCATCCCATATGGTCCCCTGAGCACCGCCAGGAGTAATTCCTGAGTGCAGAGCCAGGATTAACCCCTGAGCATCTCCAGGTGTAACTCCCCCCCCTCCCCAAAAAAAGAAAGTCCCAGAGTAATGAGAAAGAGCAAAGCCCAACAGCACATGCGACATGCGCGAGTCCCAGCTGGGATGCGCTCTGGGGCCTCTGAACAGAATCTTAGGACAGGCCCGAGGTCTAGGACAGCCATGGGAAGTGAGCCACAAGCGGGCGAGTGAGCCCATGGGGGGGCGATCTGGCCCCCTGCACTGGCTGCTCTCCCCAGAGGAGGGAGAAAGCGTCGGTCAGAAACCTCACGCCCGGGGCAACTGAGCCGGCACAAAGGGGGGTGGGGGCGGGGAGGGCCGGGTCTCCCTACCTGCTCTGCAGGTCCGTCTCATGGCACAGGTTGAGTATGGCATGAATCAGCTCCAGGATCAGGCAGCCTGGACGTGGGGGACAAGGGGGGGTACAGGGCTGGGTGCTGCTCGTGGTCGAGGAGAGGAGGAGCCGTGCGGGGCAGACGGGCAGCCCCGGGAACCCCCCCCCCCCCCCCGCCCGGCCCCCTTACCGATCTGTTCTCGCACACCGTGGGAGTTGTAGCGCCACTTGTGGTAGGTGGGAAGCATCTCCTTCAGCACAAACATGACGCAAGGCACCAGCCCTTGGCTCTGCGTGCTGCCCAGCTGCCCCTGCGAGGAACCAGACACGAGAGCTCGTCCCACCTCTGGAGAACTCGTGTGACGAGAAGTTTTGTTTGGGGCCGCTCTCGGTGGTGCTCAGGGCCCTCTCCTGGCTCTGTGCTCACGAGATCTTTCCAAAGGGCTCAGGGGGCCATATGTGTATGTGGGGGCCAGGGATCAAACTTGGGTCGCCCACACGCAGGACGAGCCCGCTGTCCTGCCATCCTGGCCCTGCTTCCTTATGCTGAAGGATGCATCCTCTGTTTACACGTGAACTTCGATGTCTACACGCGCGCCTCTACACAAATCCCTTTCTCCTGCATGCTCAGGCCTGCAGGAGTCTGCTGAGCGTCTTCCTGTGAGGCCCTCTCAGTGGCTGTCAGGAGAGACTAATCATCATGCCTGTTTTAGAGCTTCTGAGAAAAATCTAGACATCCCCAAGGTGATAACACCAGGGAACGATCACCCTGGGGGTGGGCAAGAGTGTTGATGGGATTTGCCTCACATGTGGTCAACACGGATTCATCCCCAGCATCCCATCTGGTCCCAGAAGCCCACCAGGAGTGGTCCAGGAGCACAGAGCCAGGAGGGGGCCCTCAGCATGGCTGGCTGTGACCCCAAAGCAAACCACAAAACAGTCCACCTGAGACACGAATCCGATTCCGACAGCCGTGCCATCTCGTCACGGACCATTCCACGCGTGGAAGTGATCTCAAACGTCCGTACTCGCTGAACTAAAATCAACCCGGCCGGCCCTCTAATCCCTGCCCAGCAGGCGCGGCCGCTCGAGTCTGGCCACCGAGGGCTGCCGAGGCCTGCACACGAGTCTTACCTTGACCAGAGTGGTGACCAGCCGCAGAAAGGCGACTGTGACGGCATACTCGCCCTGCGGCTGCTCACTGTTCATCAGGAGGTTCCCATAGCCGCCGGCATTCATCCCCTCAGCGCTGGGGAGAGAGAACGGGAGATGAGGGCCACGCACGGGCCAGGAAACTGATCACAGACACCATCCAAATGGCCTGGCATCTGTGAAGAAACTAAGGAAAACCAGCTGCCTTCATAACCAAGGAACATTAAGAACACGTCTGATCGCCCAACAGGCTTAATCAACACTGTCAAACACTGTCCTCCCGTTGTTCATCGATTTGCGCGAGCGGGCCCAGTAACATCTCCATTTTGAGACTTGTTACTGTGTTTGGCATATCGAACACGCCACAGGTAGCTTGCCAGGCTCTCCGAGAGGGGCAGAGAAATGGAACCCGGCTCGGCCTGGCTGGCTGCGCGCAAGGCAAACGCCCTACCGCTGTGCTATCGCTCCAGCCCAGAGGCTTAACAGACATCAGGAAAACAATTTTCCTGCATGAGCAACAGAGAGCAAGAGGAGAACACCAAGGCAGGAGCCCAGAGCCTGCGCACTCAGGACGTGCCGACTGGGTCAGGACAAGACATCCGGAAGCAGGATAGGGCGACCACGGCCGAGGACAGGGCGAGTGACCCAGGGCCAGGAATGAGCCCCAAGCACAAAGCCAGGAATCTGCCCTAAGCACAGCCGAGTGAGTGTGTGCGGGACTGGGGGGGCCGAGGCTGAGAGCAGAGACCCTGCGGGCATCCTTCTGAGCCCGAGCCACACTGCCGGGTAGCAGTGACTGAGTGGCAGAGCACATGCCTGGCGGGTCGGAGGCTGACTCCACCCTGGCACTGCCCGGCCTGAACACAGCAGGTGCACAAGCACTGCTGGCACGGCCTACCGCAAAGAGAAGGGAAGGGAAAGCTCGAGACCGAGACGCTTCTGGATTCTCCAGGGCAGAAGTGGAAACATTCTCATCGAAGCTGCTGAGAAGATACAAGATGCCTGGCCCAGCTCCACAGGCCCTTCCCTAGGGAGGAGGGGCCTCGGCGGGCAGCCGTCTGCGTGTTTGAATCCCACTATCTCCTCTCCCTGCTGTCCTCCACCTCAGCCAGATGGCTGAACAGGCAGGAGCAAAAATCAGCAGGAAAGTTTCTTCAGATCCATGAGCACAGGCTCTGCTCCCCAGAATCCGCAGTTCAATCCCTAGAACACCTGGTCCCCCGAGCAGCGCCAGGAGCGAGCCCTGAGCACATAGACGGGAGTAGCTCCTGAACACTGCTGGATGTGGAGCCCAAGGGAGAGGAGAGAGGAGGAGAGGGGAGGGGAGGGGAGAGGACGCACAGGGAACAATAGCAGCCCAGGAGCCGGGGAGCTGGCACAGCAGGGAGGATGCTGCCTTGCACACAGCCAACCTGGGTTCAATCCCCAGCAGCCCACATGGTCCCCGTAGCCCCACCAGGAGTGATACAAATGCAGAGCTAGAAGGAAGGCCCAAACACAACCAAGTATGACCCCAAATCAGAACAAAAATAATAACAAAAACCCAAAAGTGCAAAGGCAGCCCGAGCCTGAAACCCGCCTGGTACCCGGAAAGCCCAGCCTCACCTCAGCATATGGCTCATGCTGGACACCTGATGGGCCACGAACGGTAGAAAGCCCGTGTGACGAAGATCAGTCCAGACCTGGGGAGGGAAGCGCAAATTAGGGCCCAGAGACCACGTCTGGCTCGCGGCTGGAGCGCACAGTGGGGAGGGCGTGTTCAGCCTGCAGGTGACCAGCCTGGGTCCAGCACTCGGGGCCCTCCAAGCCCCAGCAGGCCTGATCCCTGAGCAGACTCGGGAGTGAGCCCCTGAGCACTGCCGGGTGTGGCTCCCAAGTCGACACAAAAACCCTAGAACACGTTAGATTTGTTAGGAGGACCTGACGTCTCTCTCACCTTCGCTGGGTTGCGGGCGGCCAGAACGGTCAGGCAGCTGACACAAGACGCAATGACATCCACGGGCGGCGAGATGACGGTCGTCAGCCTGGGTGGGCGGGGTTGGGGGGGCACGGGGCTCAGACAGACAGACGGTCCGACTGTCCCCATAACAGCCTTTCCGGTGCTCTCTGCCAAGGCCTGCCTCTAGGGGCGGAAACTGAAACTGCGCCCTCCTCCCCCTCCCCCTACCCCCAGCCCACGGGGGGACAGATGTCACACAAGGACCAAGAGTGGCCTCGAACCCGCCACTCACCGCTGCAGCAGCATGTAGATGCGGGACGTGATGGGCAGGAGGCCGTCTGCTATGGACAAATCTATACTGATGACCTTGTGGACCAGATCGATGATGGGCTTGACCCGCTGACAGTGCTGGATCACGTCTGGGGGGAGAAAACGCGGATGGCCCAACCATCCCTCAGAGACCCGGACCTCCGCAGGGCCATCAGCCGCCGTCCGGCTGGTTCGACCTGGGATATGGGCGTGGCCGAGGCCCATCCCCGCTGCCCCAGTGCTGACCGCCCACCTGCCGTGGAGACCACGTGTAGCAGCATCTCGATCTCGCAGGTGAACAGGGCCCAGCTGCTGTAGGAGTACTCCCAGCGCACCAGGTACGCCCGGTCGTCCAGCATGACTTGGCCCACAGTGCCCTGAGGTATCCGAAGGTTGGTCTGACCCCCTGAATGCGAGAGGCACAGGAAGGAGGTTAGTCATCGAGAACAAACAGGGAAAAGGCAACTCTGGTACCAGGGAACAATGTTATCTGGGGGGCTGTGGGCTCCCCCTGGCGGTGCACAGGAGCTGACCCCGGCTCTGTGCTGAGGCAACCGTGTCGCTGTCTCCAGCCCAGGGCAACAATCATCATGCAGAGATGTAGTTTGGTTTCCCAGTTACTTCAACGGCTACAAATTTTTCCACCAAAAGCAAAACAAAACACCCTTCCTGGTCATTTGGGGAAGGGAGACTTTGCATATGTGTAAAAATGTAAAGATAACTGTGTGTAGAGTGGCTCCCCCCAGCCAGCAAACAACTCTTTGAAGACCACCAACAGGACGATAGGATGGGAGGTGCCAGGGACGCCAACCCCAGGCAGTAACGCCCGCTCCTCCTGATTCTGCAGCTCGCACAGCCCAGACTACACGGGGCGAGAACTCAGAACCGGCCACTCCTTAACCCCGGCGGTAGGAACATCAAATGCTACAACTTTGTTGTTGTCATCTTTTTTGGGTCACACCCGGTGATGCTCAGGGATCACTCCTGGCTCTGCTCAGAAAATAGCCCTGGCAGGGCTGGGAGGACCCTATGGGATGCTGGGGGCCGAACCCGGGTTGGCCACATGCAAGGCAAACACCCTCCCCGCTGTACTATTGCTCTGACCCAAATTGGTACAACTTTTCTCCACGACTTAATATGGCACCATCCAAGTTCTTTAATCACTGTTTTTTCTAAATCACATTAAAATATATGCAACATAAAATCTGCCACCTCATTCGTGGTAAACGGCTGACTCCCACCAAAATCTACCCTCCCTCCCTCCCTTCCTTCCTTCTTTCTTTCTTGCTTTTTGGGTCACACCTAGAGATGCACCGGGGTCACTCCTGGCTTTGCACTCATGAATTACTTCTGGCGGTGCTTGGTGGGGGGGCATATGGGATGCTGGGGATCAAATCTGGGTCGACCACATGCAAAGCAAATGTCCTATCCGTTGTGCTATTGCTCCAGCTCACAAAATCTACCTTTCAAGTACACAGTCCCAGGCCCCCTGGGCCGCACATCCTGCGGTCACTACCGACCATTCACCCCAAGACCTTCTCACCGGGCAAAACTGAAACTCTGGGCCCATTCGCTTAGCACTTCCCATTCTGCCACCCTTAGGCTCCACCGACCACCAGCTGCCCCCCACTTTCCATCGCCGACCCCTGACTGCTCAGATCACTTCGTACAGTATTTGTCTTTCCAAGAATGTCTTATTTCACTTAGCGTAACTTGAACACAAGTTTCATCCATGTATCAGAATTCCCTTTCTAAGAGTGATACTCTACAGCTCACTTATACACATGCACACACATGCACGTGTGCGCACACACCCCCCCTCACATTTATTTACCCATGACATCTGGCAGTGAAAATCTACTGCAATTACAATTTGCAGTACGTCCTGGACCACATCAGGAGGTTCTCAGGGCTGCCTCCTGGCTCTGTGCTCAGGGACCACTCATGGCAGGGTTTTGGGACCATATGGGATACCGGGATCTAATTGGGGACAGAACCCAATCTAGCCACATGCACCACAAGTGCCTTTACCCACCGTACTCTCTGACACCCTCTTTCAAATTTTGTGCTTCTTTTATTTTCGTGGGTTTTTTGGTAGTGCCAGAGACTGAACCAAGGGCTTCACGTGTGTGACACAAGTGCTCTCACACTGACCTACATTCTGGCTGGCTTTTTATTTTTTGAGGGGGCTTCCCCAGTGGTGCAGGGGACCATCAGTTTCATCTGGTGCCGATATCCGCCCCGTGCCTGCGCATGACGGACACGCACTCCCACCCTCTGACCTCTGCCCCAGATGTTTAATGTGTTTACCCTTTTCCCCAACAATCCCACGGTGAAGACTGAAGCAGGAACGGAGCACCTGCACATAATCATATAATGATCCCCAGTGAAGATTTTATTTTTTTTGGGTCTCGGGGCCCCCTCCAGCTGTGCTCAGGGATCAGGGGATTGGGAGACCATACAGGGTGTGCCAGGCAGCAAACCTGGGAGAGCCGCGTCCAAGGCAAGCACGATTGCCCCAGCCCCTGCCTGTGACTGTATTCCCGAAACCCTTACATAACCTCAATGTCCTTAGAGAGGCAACGACAGGCAGGAGCGAGGGCACTTGCCTGGCATACGATCACTCAGTATCCGCCACTGGAATTGTATGTGGTCTCCCCTGAGCACTGCCAATGATCTCTGAGTACAGAGCCGGGAGAAAGCCCTGAGCACGGCCAGGCGTGGCCCAAAAATAAAAATGAAAGGGAGAGAGAAAACATCAAGGGCCAGAGAGGTAACAGGAGGATTCGTGCCCTGCATGTGCCAACTGTGGCTCTCTCCAACGCAAGGTGCCCAGCACTGCCGGGAACAGCTCCACCCACAGCCAGGAGCAGCCCCAGGTGCGGTCCAAGCCCCCCAAAAACCCCAAACATGATGAACCACCAAGAATGATCATCAGCCTGGAGAGGCAGTACTGGGGCTAAGCTGCAAGCCTTCACTGCAGCTGACGTGGGCTCACTTTGGCACCACCCTGAGACTCGCAAGCATTGCCAGGAATGATCCCGGACCACTGTCACAAAAATATCCTTGGAGAATGACTTTGTGAGAGCACACGGTCTAAGAGGACGCTTACTGGAACCGTGACATTATTCGATAGGTACAGCCTGGACCCTGCCAGGAGCAGTTCCTGAGCACAGAGCCAGGACTTGTAAGCCCGAGCACCACTGGGTGGTGAAGCCTGAAGCAGGAATAAAGCACGTGCACAAAACCCACCTCTCCCCTCACCGCCAAAAAGACAGTTCCACATAGATGAACTACTTAACATACAGCTCTGTCGGGATTCCCTTCTTACAATGAACATATTTTGTTTCATTTGGGGGCCACGCTGGATAACGCTCAGGGGTTACTCCTGGCTCTGGACTCAGGAATTACTTCCGACAGAGCTCATGGAACAAACGGGGGGGGGGGGGGGGGTACGTGCAAGACAAACGCCCTACAGGCTATCTTACTGCTACGCCCCGTCATCATTTTTTTTTCTTTTTTGGGGTCATATCCAACAATGCTCAGGTGTTACTCCTGGCTCTGCACTCAGGAATTCCTCCTGGCGGTGCTGGGGAGACCATATGGGATGCCAGGGATTGAACTCAGGTCTGCCGTGTGCAAGGCAAATGCCCTACCCGCTGTACTATCGCTCCGGCCTCTCATCCGTTATTTTCCCCCCAGAAATATCAATTCTATTTAATTAACATCAAAGACAGTATACAATAAAAATAAAAAAGGTATCCAAATTGAAAATAAGTAAAAATAACTATAATTATTTGAAAATGCATTGTTAATATACGTAAAACCTTATTTATTCAATTAAAAGACTACCAGAGATAAGTAACAGCAAAGTGGCTGTTATGAAATGTATGATAATAGTGGTGCTGGAGCGATAGCACAGCGGGCAGGGCATTTGCCTTGCACACGGTCGACCCGAGTTCAATCCCTGGCATCCCATATGGTCCCCCGAGCACCACCAGGAGTAACTCCTGAGTGCATGAGCCAGGAGTAACCCCTGTGCAATGCCAGGTGTGATCCAAAAAGAAAAGAAAAAGTAAAATGTGGCATTCCTATATGCAAATAAGAACAAGAAATTAATAAACCAACACCATTTAAAACTGAATCCAAAAGAATGCCTAAAAGTAAACTTAACAAAGGAAATGAAAGACCAATATCACAAATACTACAAAAATAGGAGACAAGGAACAAGACACAAAAAATTAGTCCATGTACGTTGATGAAAGACCTAATAAAAGTAAAAACGCCCATTCTACACAAAGAATATGCAGATTTTATGCAATCTAAATCAAAACTCCACTAATACTTTAAAGCAAGCAGAACAAAAATGTTTATGTGGAATCATAAAACTTTGAACAGCTAGCTAGAACAATTTTTAAAAAAAGAAAGCAAAACTAAAGCATACATTACCTGACTAAAAATCGTACTAATAAGTAATAGTAATAAAACTGTGCAGTGTTAGATTTAAAATACACAAACAGGTGGAATAAAATGGAAAGCCTACAAACAACCCACACATTTAACGGCAATTCATTTAACACGCGTTATTTTTTAAGCAATCCAGTGATGTCAAAAGAGAAACGACAATCAGCACTCAACAAGCACAGAAGGACGTGCGCGTTTCGTCCTAAGAAACACAGTCAGGACACAGGCGTGGGCTCTCACCGAGGGGGTAGAGGAGTTTGGACGACTGCCTCCGCCACAGAGTTCCGTCTTCGTGCGAGAGCACGTCGTGAGGCTTGTGCTTGTACAGCTCGTTGTAGAAAGACATCTTATCCAAGAAACTGTACACCTGCACGACACAGGACATGCACTCACCTGGGGGCTGCGCCCAGACCACCCGGGTAGACTCAGGTTGTTTACAGCTCCAAGTCTCTACCACCCATGAACAAGGAACTCAGTGCCCAGGCCCGAGCTGCCTCCCCTCTACATTAGAGGTCGCCTGTCTCTGTTTTTGATTCCTGGTAGTCAGACCACGCCTACTCTGCTCAGGACTTTAAGGACTTACTCCTGCCTCTGCACTCAGAAATCACTCCTAAAGGGGCTTGGGGACCCCAAGGGGTGCCAGGGACAGAACCCAGGTTAGCCACATGCAGGGCAAGCACCCTCCCCACTGGACTACTGTACTTTCTCTCTAGAATGCCAATCCGTGATTTTGAAGAAAACTTTTTGTGGAGCCACACCTGGCAGTGTTCAGGGGCCAGGCAGTACAGGGGCATCAAATTTAGGGTCTCGGATAGTCAAGATGTGCTCTACCTCTTCTTAAGGCACATACCCAGCCCTAACAAAAAATACCTCAATTATTTGTTATTAAATATTATTATTTATTTTATATATATTTATATTATTATTAAATTATTAAAAGGGCTGGAGCAATAGCACAGCGGGTAGGGTGTTTACCTTTGCACGCGGCCGACTGGGCTGACCCGGGTTCAATTCCTCCACCCCTCCCGGAGAGCCTGGAAAGCTACCAAGAGTATCTCGCCTGCACGGCAAAGCCTGGCAAGCTCCCCATGACGTATTCGATATGCCAAAGACAGTAACAACAAGTCTCACAATGTTACTGGGCCTGCTCAAGCAAATCGATGAAAAACGGGAGGACAGTGACAGTGAAATTATTAAACAGTATTTAAATTTGGAGGTCAAGGGGATGGTTCAAAGGTGGCTCAAAGGGCGGGAGTGCAGCATTGCACACAGGAGGCCTGGTTTCGCCACTGGAAACAACCCTCATACATTAAGGAGGGATTGACCTGCAAAATGTCTAAAAAGAATACAATTTTAATTTTATAGAACTGAGACGCTATCTGACTACAGACTAATTCTTGTTATGGTAGTGAAACTTTAACTGTAGCAAGCAAGAATCTTTTCTTTTCTTTTTATGTCTTTTTGGGTCACACCTGGCAATATTCAGGGGTTATACTCCTGGCTCTGCACTCATCAATCACTCCTGATGATGCTTGGGGGACCTTATGGGATGCCAGGAATAGAACCTGGGTCGGCTGCGTGCAAGGCAAGCGCCCTCCCTGCTGGACTATCACTCGGGCTCCGCAAAAGACATTCTTAAAACAACAATTCCCCCACCCTCTTTAAGCAACCAAATGAGCAACCTACCTTTTTGGCAGTAGATTTTCCTGATACAAGGGCTCGTAAGAGTTGCAGAAGTGGCGAGAGAAGATGGGGAAACATCCCGCATACACTGTCTAGAATGATCCCAAGGCCAGAGGTTGGCTCCTAGTAGTAGAAAGAGAGAAGTAACTGATCCTCCTTCACATTATTCACAAATAACACTTCTCCAAATTATCCAGAGATCATTAGGAAATCTAAAATTAATCCTTTCCACTGATAATATTGCTCTCTAGGAATTCCAAACTTTAATATTCCCACCGAGAACTCGACACCTGCTTCACTGGGACGTGAAGTGGCTCTTACTGTGCCTGAATGCTGATCCATCCTCTCATCCAACATCCCACCATCCCGCCATCCATCCTCCCACCCATCCATCCTTCTAACTCCCTAACCATCCACCCTCCATCCTTCCATCTATGCATTCATCCATCTATTCTCCCATCCACCCATCCATCCATCCATCCATCCACCCATCCATCCTCCCATCATCATACCAGCCATCCAGCCATTCTCCCATCTTCCCATTCACCCACCCTTCCATCCTCCCATTCATCCTTCCTTTCATCTGTTCATCTTCTCATCCATCAATCCTTTTACCCACCCACCCATCCATCCATCCATCCAACTATGCATCCACCCAGTCATCCACCCATCGATCTTCCAACTATCCATCCATCCCTCCATCCACCCACCCATCCATCCACCTACAGATCACCCGCCTCTTCCTCTTCTCTTCACGTGGCGCCTTTCTGGGACAGGCAAACCTCTGAACAAGCTGTCACCACTTGCGACTACCCATAAGCCATAGATGCTGCATCTCACAGTTTGCCCAGGACCCGCCAGGAACCCAGTGTTCCCACAGAGCGGATAGTGCCGCAGGGAAGAGCAAACCCAACCCACAGTGGTTCCTGTCTCACAGCATGAGACCGGAGCATTCTCTGCTGTCTAGGCCTGAGCTCCCACCCTGCCCCCGGAAGCAATGCAGCCACATGTGCAAGCACAACAAACTACGCGTGTCTGCAAAACAAAGGGAAGGAGGGCAGCTGGGGGTCAGACAGGTGACACCGTAAGGGAAAAACAACGTGCTCATGAGCTGCCCAAAGGGGGGGTTGCTGTCAGTGTGAAGACTGCGAGGAACCCCGGGCACAGCACCCTGAGCAGCAAGGGCACAATACTCGTGGCCCCTGGGTACACTCGGCCTAAGTGGCCAGGAGCCAGAACGACACTGGACACTCGGTGTGGAGCACAGGCAGCAGGCCCTGACCGGTAAGTCAACCCTCTCTCAAGCACAACCTTTCCTCAGAGGTGAAAGGGCAGGAAGGAAAGCATGCTCTTGGTAAACGCTCGTGAAGATGAAGTGAGAAAATACACGGCAATCCTCAGAATAGGGCCGACCTGCTGCGTTTGCTGCAGAGCACCTCACAGCAGGGCCGCCTCTGGCTGACTTACCGTCCCCCAGAACAGCTCCGGAAGAGAAGGGTCTGTCAGGACTTCACATGCAGTGTCAATCACATCCTGGTAGGAGAGGGGCAGGAAAACGGCTTAATTTTTGCAGTGGCAAAATATGGAAAGGATGGGGGGGATGGAGGGGTGGGAGGGATACTGGGATCCGTGGTGGTGGGAAATGGGCACTGGTGGAGGGATGGGTATTTGATCATTGTATAACTGAAACCCAAGCACAAAAATGTGTAAGTCTACAACTGCACCTCATGATGTCTCACTAATAAAAAAAAAAATGGAAAGGAAAAAAGCAGAGTTTAAAAGATTATATCCAGGGCTGGAGTGAGAGCACAGCAGGTTTGCCTTGCACGCGGCCAACCAGGGCTCGATTCCCAGCATCCCATATGGTCCCCTGAGCACCGCCAGGACTAATTCCTGAGTGCATGAGCCAGGAGAAACCCCTGTGCATTGCTGGGTGTGACCCCCCCCCAAAAAAAAAAGATTACATCCTACACAGGTTGTGGGATTGATGGCTAGGCCTCTGTACGCCTAAAAACTAGAAATAATTTTGTAAACCATGGTTTTATAAAATTAAAATGATTTGCTTTTGGTTTTTGGGCCAGCAATGCGTGCAATATGGACCACTCCTGGCTCTGCACTCAGGAATCACTCCTGGCGGTGCTTGGAAGACCACCTGGGATGGCGGGGATCAAACCTGGGTTGGTCATGTGCAAAGTAAGTGCCCTACCTGCTGTACTACACTCTGACCCACTCCAAATTTTAATTAAAAGTATTTCACTTAAAAAGTGCTTTGTGGGCTGGAGTGATAGTACAGCACGGAGGGTGTTTGCCTCGCATGTGGCCAACCTGGGCTTGATCTGATATCCCATATGGTCCCCTGAGCACCACCACTAGGAGTAATTCCTGAGTGCAGAGTCAGGAGTAACCCCTGATCATCGCTGGGTGTGACCAAAAAAAGCTAATAATAATAATAAATAAAACACCACCCAAAACCAAACAAACAAAACACTCCTGCTCGGAACATATGCATAAAGGCAAAAACTAAACTCCATTAGGAAACAACATATACATTGTAATTCCATTTCTAAAGAATGAGTCTATTTCTCAGAGGCTGGGTGACCCTGACGCGGCAGCTGTGACGTCCCGTCAGTACCACGCGTAGCAGAGACAAAACTAAACGCCACCACCGAGTGCGTCCCTACAGTTCCACAGGGGCAGCTGGCGGTGGGAGCGCTTCAGGGAAGCCGGACACTGACCTGCTGATTGCCCAGCGTGTGCAGCTCCAGGGAGGTGAGGACGAAGGAAAGGAGCCCGTAGACGCACATGCAGGCCGTGCTGGTGGTGCACTGAAACGCAAAGGGGCAGTGAGTGCTCTGCACGTGACTCGCCCACCACACCAAACCCCTATCAATTCTGTCTCCACGGACCGCAGGGAGGACCCACAGCCCCCCTGCCTTTCCTAATTCAGACCCAAGACCAGGAAGACAAAGGGACGAAAGACAAAGCAAGAACAACCACCAAAACTACCCTACAGGGGCCGGAGCAACAACACAGCAGGTAGGGCGTTTGCCTTGCACGCAGCCGACCCGGGTTCGATCCCCGGCATCCCATATGGTCTCCCAAGCACCGCCAGGAGTAATTCCTGAGTGCAAAGCCAGGAGTGACCCCTGAGCATTGCTGGGTGTGACCCAAAATACAAAAAAATTTTAAAAATTTAAAAAACTACCCTACAAATAACACAAAAGTCAAGAATGAAATCAAAAGGGAATCAGCAATCTGCAGCCGGCTGGAAGGAGAGAGCAGCCCTGCGCAGCTCTGGACGGTCCCGAGACGACCTGGGGCTGCTGGCTAAGACTTCCTTCCGGCCGGTCCCATTAGGTGTCACCCAAACCAAGGCCCAACAGGACCCCGAGGGTTTCCGAGCCGCCTTTGACTGCCAAGTAAGCCTACAGGAAGAATTCTCAGCCAACAGGGCCGGGGAACACCAACACCAACACCACACAGTGGATGGTGAAGAAGCCGACAGCAGACTCAGACTGTACCGCAACCAACTGCGGATCGCTGTGTCTGTGGCAACTTCCACAGACTGCGTTTTCAGTTCCCTGATGCGTGAAACAGGACTATGATCCCGACTGCAAAGAGGCGTCGGGGGCTGAAGAGAAACGCTGCACACGGAGCTCTCTTTTTAAGGTCGGCAGCATCTGTGCCTCGGGGTGACTGCCACCGGGCCCGCGCCCGCCCTCTGCCCGCTTGGCAGCTTCCACCACATGCCCGAGCCTCACGTCATTCCCCCCGCTGGCCAGCGAGCGGAGCAGACGGGTCAGGTACTGAAAGGCGTTCAGCTGGATGGCCGTGCCCCCCATCTTCCGGACAACACTGCTGGTCTCGTCTGGATTCAGGGTGTGTCGAAGGAGCGCCCAGGCCAGGAGCACCGGCGCATGATGCGGGATGTCCCCAAAGGTCAACATCAACGAGTCCATATCCTGTGAGAGGAAAACACATCTGCGTCACTACAGAGGAGGAGAGCCCTGCAGGGCGTAACCGATCGCCCACATGCACGGCACGCGCCCAGCCCCGGTGCTGACTCTTGCCCACACGGAGTCTCTAACCATGCGGAGTGGCCTCTCTTGCCCACCCTGAGCTGATCTTCCTCAAACCCTTGGCAATGTGCGGCCCATACTCCAACACCACTGAGCCCCAGCCCCGTCTTATGTTCCCCCAGTAACTCCTTCTGGGACCCACAATGCTTTTTTTTCTGATTTTACACAGGCTTCTAAGTCTATGTATATAGATATAAATACTTTTTTGTTTTTTGGCTTTTGGGGTCATACCCGGCGATGCTCAGGGCTTACTCCTGGCTCCGCACTCAGGAATTACTCCTGGCAGTGCTCAGGGAACCATACGGGATGCTGGGGATTGAATCCGGGACGGCTGCGTGCAAGGAAAACACCCAACTCACTATACTCTGGCCCCCTATATCTTTTCAAATGCAAACTTTCTCTGATCTTGTCTCCATTTCTACTTACTGGTGACATCGGCACTAACTTTTATGCTGCTTCTCTTTTTCCCCAGCGGGGTCACACCCAGCAGTGCTCAGGGCTTAGTCCTGGTTCTGCACTCAGGGGTCATTCCTGGTGGGGCTTGGGGTGTCAGGGATCAAATCCAGGTCAGGCATGAGCAAGGCAAATGCCCGCCCCACTGTGCTATGGCTCCAGTCCCAAAACTTTGCTGGTTTTGATACAGTTACTGCAGCTTCACCATCACCACCAAAGGGCTAACATTCTCCAGCACTGTCCTTACGCCACCGAGTCCACCACCTCCTCTGGCTCTGTTCACTCTCCCAGCGCAGACTCTCCATGATCACCTCTGTGGAGATCACTGACACCTGCACCTTCTCCCACATCCCAGCAAAGCTAACCCTATCGGACAGATGAAACTTCTCGATGGCTGCTCGGCAGAACCACGCTCCTAACTGCAAACCCTCTGCAGAGAAGCGTTTGTTCCCGAATCACCTGGCAGATCAGCCCGTCCTGAGCGAACTGGTGCAGCTCTCGTCTGTCATCCAAAGCACACTTATGCAAGGACTCGATATCCATGCCTTCCACCAGGATGAGCGCACTGAAGTAGCTGGAAGGCAAAAATAGTCTCATGGGTAAAGCCGGCTGAACCTCATTAGGAAGACAGAGTGCCAGAGAGATAGCACAGCAGGTAAGGAGTTTGCCTTGCACATGGCTGACCCGGGTTCGATCCCTGGCATCCCATCCCATACGATCCCCTGACCCCTCCAGGAGTAACTCCTGAGTGCAGAGTCAGGAGTAACCCAAGTACCGCAGTGTACAGCCCAAAAATCAAAAAGAAAATCAAACATAAGCTATTTCAATACAAAAAAAAAGTTACAATTTTCCAATCTTTTTCGTATGGACACTTGGAAATACAGTCTGCACTTCATACTCAGAGCACATCCAGTCACTTTCTGAGTGCTCCACAGCCACATGGCTGGTTCCTGCCCAGCACAGGAAAGGACTGTATGAAGGTTTATCTGCTCTAGTGTTCGGCTGTTCACAGATGAGATCGACCTCAGAACACAGACACAGTTCCTTGGAGGCCTTGGGAGATTGGTTCTGGAAATCCCTGCAGATATCAAGAGAAAATGGCAAATATCTGCACCTAACCCATGTACATTCTTCCTGGCATTTTTGGCACTTTACCTCTAGATTACTTAAAACATCCAAAGTGGGCCTGAGTGACAGTATAACAGGGAAAGCATTTGCCTTGCATGCAGGCGACCCAGGTTCAATCCCTGGCATCCCGTATGATTCCCAAAGCCTCCAGGAGTGATCCTGAGTGCAGAGCTAGGAGTCTGCCCTTAGTACCACCAGATGTGGCCCAAAGACAACAACAACAACAAAAATCTAAGAGCAATATAAATATTATGTAAAGAGCCAAACTGTGTTGTATAGGGTAAAATGTCAAGAGAGTGTGTCCAGTGCCTGGAGAGATCGGAGAGTGGGTTGGAGAGTGGGAGCGCTCTTGCCTTGCACGTGGCCAACCCAGGTGCCCAGCAGCCTATATGGTCCTCTGAGCACAGCCAGGAGTGATTCCTGAGCACTGCCAGGTGTGGTCCAAACAATAAAGAAATGAAAGGAAGCACTGTAGCACTGCCCTCCCGTTGTTTATCGATTGCTCCAGCGGGCCCAGTAACGTCTCCATTGTGGGACTTTGTTGTTACTGTGCTTAGCATATCAAATACATCACAGATAGCTTGCCAGCCTTTGCCGTGCAGGCGGGATACTCAGTAGCTTGCCGTGCTCTCCGAGAGGGGTGGAGGAATCAAATCCGAGTCAGCCGGGTTGACCACGTAGCAAGGCAAACGCCCTACTCACTACGCTATTGTTCCAGCCTTATTAGCACAGCGGATAGGGCATTTGCCTTGCACGCGGCCTACTCGAGTTCGATTCCTCCGTCCCTCTCAGAGAGCTTGGCAAGCTACCGAGAGTATCCCGCCCCCATGGCAAAGCCTGGCAAGCTACCTGTGATGTATTCGATATGCCAAATGCAGTAACAAGTCTCACAATGTTACTGGGCCTGCTCGAGTGAATCGATGAACAACGGGAGAACAGTGACAGTGAAATAAAAGGAAAAGTACCAAAAAACATAGAAAGTCTGTCCATGCAACATGGCCAACACAGGCCTGACTACACATTAGAGTAAGTGCTCGTCTGACGCCGTCAGTACTTTCTTGGAAACTTCACCTTTCAGCAAAAGGAAATACAAATGGAACCGAGTTTACCATATCATCGAACTCCTAATTCGAGATCCAGAACACTTACACTAATATTAAATTAACTGCTACCCCCACCTTTCAGGGCACTTGCTCCAGCCCAGGGTCCCAGGCTACTGGACTCTCTCCTCCCTGCACAGCGAGGCAGGAGTCCACCCGACACACACACGCACCAACACACAAAGACTGTGCAGGTGGGTGCTATCCCGCTGCTGTGCACATGCTGTCCTGGGACTCTGGTCTGAGGTTGGAGGGAGCCGAGGGGCACAGGTGGACCTGCCAGCAGCCTCTCAGACTCCGAGCAGGCCAGGGCACAGCACACACTCCCAGCGGACCCCTGACCTCAGAGCTGCTCAGCGCTTGCACAGGACAGCTACGCTGCAAGGTTTTGGCCAGTGAATACATGCTTTACATGACAGAAGCCAGAACAGACATGACCTTGGTTTGAGCCCGGTCCTTCCTGCTGGCAGTCCACTGCTGGGCCCCCTAAACACGGCAGGATTGCCGTCTCCTTCAGCCTCTCCATGTCAAAAGTGCACGCTCCCTCACAGGACCAGGATAATTATCACTCCTCTCCAGAGGTTCGCAGACTTTGTTAGCCTACTGCCCCCTTTTAAGAAATAAAATCGGACTGGAGCGATAGCACAGCAGGTAGGGTGTTTGCCTTGCACGCAGCCAACCCAGGTTCGATTCCCAGCATCCCATATGGTCCCCTGAGCACCTCCAGGAGTAACTCCTGAGTGCAGAGCCAGGAGTAACCCCTGTGCATTGCCAGGTGTGACCCAAAAAGCAAAAAATAAATAAATAAATAAATAAAATCACTCACAACCCACTGGAAATCTCCCTCTGTTAAGCAAACAGAAGGATCCCACCCTGGTGCACCAAGGCTCCTGGCCTTTCCCTGCCCCTATCCCAGGACCCCACCCCGAGGCCTATTTTGGAAAGCTCTGGACTCATTCGAGGTTCCAAGACTCCAGCTCATACAGACTTACCCGATCCGGTCCACAAAAGGGTCCATGGATTCATCCACCAGGTGCCTGTTGGTCTGCCGGCTGCCAAACCCTCGCTCCTTAAACAGCTTGGTCAGCACCAAGAGGTCACTGGGCGCCATCTCAAAGTACGCGTAGTAAAGGAAAATGATTTCTAGCAGCATCGACTGTTCACGAAGGCACTGAACAAACCACCGAGACACCTGGCGTTCAGTCTGTAGAAACGGTGAAGAAAATAGGAGAGAGTCAGAGAAAATATCTAAGCAACTTTCTGCTGTCGAAATAAAATATATATATTTTTTTACATCTTGATGATTAATTTGCTCGAGCGGGCCCAGTAACGTCTCCATTGGAGACTTTGTTGTTACTGTGTCTGGCATATCGAATACGTCACGGGGAGCTTGCCAGGCTCTGCCGTGAAAGATGTATGTGCATGTAAAATACTTATAATCGGTAATAAAATTTGTGTTGATAATTTGGGGGGAATAAATGAAATAAAATAATTTAAAAAACACAAACTTCTCTGGAGGGGAGAGAGAGTACAGTGGGAAGGGCTCTGGGTTTGCATGCGCTGACCGGGTTCAATCCCTGCCGGTCCATAAAGCCCTCAGCCTTGCTAGGAGTGATCCCCGAGCACAGCCAGATGTGAGCAAAAAATAAAAATTTAAAAAATCTCCAGAGGGGAGGGAGCTGAACTGAATTCACATCTCAGGTTGAGACGCAGACAAATTCCAAGACAGAGGTGCTTAACCATTTTTCAAGTAATGCACAAATGAACAGAAATTTCCAAGAGCGCAAGAGGGGCCAGGGAGATGACCCCAAGGGCTTGAGCACAAGCTCTTCAGAAGGGAAGCCCAAGTTTAGTCCCTGATCACTGGCACTGCATGGCATTATCAAGAATTACTCCCGGTGGGGACCTGGATTCAATTCCCAGCATCCCATATGGTCCCCCGAGAACTGCCTGGAGTAATTCCTGAGTGCATGAGCCACGAGTAACCCCTGCGCAATGCTAGAGTACTTGCTTTCCAAGTGGTCAACCTGGGTTGGATCCCCAGTACAACATACGGTCTCGTGAAACCCACCAGGAGTGATTTCTGGGCACAGAGCCACAAGGAAGTCCTGAGCACTGCCATGTGTGGCTCGAATTCTAAGGGAAAAAAAAAACAAAACAAAACTCCAAACCCTATCTGTAAGCACGGACAGGTATGGCCTAAAAACAAACCAAACAAAAAACAAGAGGGCAAACTTTCTTTGTTTGGGGGCCGTACATAGCAGTGCTCAGTGACTGGTGCTCAGAGACTCCTCCTGGCAGGGCTCAGAGCATCTGGCGTTGGGATCAAAGCAAGCCCTCAGCGCACTGAGCAATGACTCCAGCCCCAGAGCTCTAACATACATGACGCCAGGGATCACTCCTGGGTTGGGCACTGACAACACAAGCACCTTAGTCCACTTTCTACTATTTCTTTAGCCCACAGGGTTTCGTCTTTATAGGCAAGAACGTGGTATGAGGCCAGAGCGACAGGACAGTGGGGAGGGTGTTTGCCTTGCATGTGCAGCCAACCCAGGCTTGATGCCCGGCACCACACGCATTCCCCCAAGCCCTGCCAGGAATGATCCGAATGCAAAGCCAGGAGTAAGCCCTGAGCACTGCGGGTTGTGGCCCCCAAACCAAAATAAAACCAAGAACATAGAGGGTCTTTCCATTTGGCTGTGGTTTCTCTGAAAGGGTATTAGGGGAGCCACCATCAAACTATAAAAAGGACATTTTAATTTCAAAGTGTCTTCCTTTACATATAGAATTGTCATCTAAGATTACTCTTTGGAAATGGGTGGGGTTTTTTTGGTTTGTTCTTTCGAGGAGTTGTGGGGTAGGATTTGGGCCACACACAGGCAATGTTCAAAACTGACTCTGTGCTCAGGAATCAGCTTAGACTGTGCTTAGATTCCTGGTGAGCTCAGTGAGCACACGGGGTGTCAGGGATTGAACCCGGGTTGGCAGTGTGCAAGTCAAACACCCGATTCTGGTCCAATGTGTGTGCAGTTGTTTTATTTGTATTAACACATGGCGATGCGCAGAGATTATTCCGAGATCTGCACTTGGGGAACTATTCCTACTGGTGATCGGGAGACCATAAGGAATGTGGTGATCTAATCTGGGTCAGCTGCGTGCACGGCTGACGCCTTACCCACTGCACTATCAATTCAGCTGGCAATGTATGTTTTATTGATGGAGGAGGTCATACTCAGTGGTGTGCGGGGGGCGCTGGGTGGTGGGGATGAACCAGGGCCTTCAGAATGCAAAGTGTGTACTAGCTATTGCTCCAATCCAGAAATTTCTGCTTTCGTTACTATTGTAAGTGACCCACTTTCTTTTACTTATGAGTCTAAGCAGCTGTGGTCTATGCTTTACTATTTCTCCAGCCCTAGCTGAATTTTAATAAACATATTTTTAAAACAAATGTGGGGCCTGAAAAAATAGGACAGCAGGTATCTAGCTTTGATACCTGGCACCACTCGGAATCCCTGAGCACTGACAGCAGTGATCAGTGAGCACAGAGCCAGGAGTAAGCCCTGAGCATCACCAAAAATGAGTCACGGTGGGTGAAATAATCAGACGGTATCTTACACTTAAAAGACAACGTAAGAGAGAGGGTAAAGTAATAATACAGTGGGTAGGATGTTTGTCCTGCACGCAGTCGATCTGAGTTCGAGCCCCAGCACCCCCACATGGTCCCCAAAGCACCACCTGTCGTAATCTCCGAGTACAGGGCCAGGAGTACCCTTGGCCAAGCATGGTTCCCTGCTTCACTCCCCCCTTCTCCCCGCAAAAAAGAAAAAATAATTATATGGATGCTTAGAGTTAGTGAATAAATCCATTTGAAGAAATACAATCTCAGGAGCCTCAGAGGGAATGGTAAGCACATACCATGAGGTTCCCGTGTGTCTCCCAGGTGGGCGCTTCCATCCTACACAGCTCCTCAAACTGCTGCCTGTACCTGGTGACTAGCTCCTTCTCCAGCTTATCGACACAATCTGCATATTCGACCTAAAAAGCCAACACAGAGTGGATTAATACCTAGAGTGAACTGTAAACGCTCAAGTGAGGATGAACATCCTCATCTTTAAAAACAATTTAGAAGTGCTGCATTTTACAGGCTGCAGAGCAAAGAGGCCTAAATGCGCTTACCCTGTATGGGTGTCTTTCATCTTGGAAGTAAGTGAGAAGGTGTAACACACAACGAAGAATATAGGTTCTTTCTTCATAGTAATAATCTGCAATCTGTAAATACAAGGGTTCGTGGATCAGGGCAACAGGACTGTGTTCGCTTTCCCCGCAGCAGACCTGGGTTTGATCCCCAGCACCACATCTGGAGCCCTGAGCCCCACCAGGAGTGATCCCTGAGTGCAGAACCAGGAGTCAGTCCTGAGACTACTGGGTGTGTTTCCACTGCACCAGTTCCTGGCCTGGTTGACAAAGAATGAAGAATTCTGACATCAATACCACCTTTGCACAGAAGATACTAAAATTTACAGATGAGAGATCACTTGAGGATGTGAAAGTTCTATTATACAGACAATTACAAAAATAAAAACAACAGCCAGAACAAATGAAAGCTCAAGACGTTCATTAAATTAGGATACAAGGAAAGTCATGCAAGATAAATGAGATCACTGTTTAATGATACGAATGAGTATGTTCCCTTGCATGACTCATCTGGTTATGCAAGTAATACAGAGGAACACAAACTAACACATCAAATACATGGAAGTAATTACAAATTTTTTGTAACTAAGGTATTTGAGTCTCACTAAATACCAAATAGGAAACCACTTCAGAAGTCACAGCCAAGCTGCATCGTATCTTTTGGGCCACACTGGCAGTACTTTGGGGCATAAAACCTGGCGATGCTTGGGGAACCATTCGGTGCTGCAGATCCAAGCCAGGGGTCTGGCATGGAAGGCAAGAACCCTGTCCTCTGAGTATTCCCCGGCCCCAGGTTTAATCCCCAGAATCACCTGGCTTCTCAGCACGTGGCCAGGAAACACCCCAAGCACCACAGGGTTTGACTCCCCCTGCCAAAAACTCTATGAACTAGGGGCTGGCGAGAGCACAGGGGTTAAAGCAACCCCAGTTTTATCTCCAGCACCACCAGGAGCCAAAAATAGCTCCGAAGCACTGCAGGGTCTGTGACCCAAAAACCCAAAACAAAACAAAAATCTATGAAAATATTTCACCCCAATCTCCTTTGAAAAAGATCTCAGCTGTGGCCAGTAGGTAACTCTCCTTCACAAATGAATTCATAAGTTTCCTAAGACCTCAATGTTTAACCCCCACCCCCCCCCCAAAAAAAAAGGACAAAAATTAAGGACACAGAGATAGCTCACTGGGCTAAGAACCGACTCTGCTTGCAAGGGACCAAGATGCAGGTCAGAACAGTTCAGCCTTGCACTCGGCCAATCAGGGTTTGATCCTGGGTATCCCATATGGTCCCCCGAGCACCACCAGGAGTGATTCCTGAGAATCACTAAGTACAGCGCCAGGAGTAACCCCTGAGCATCACCAGTGTGGCTCCAAAACAAAACAAAAATAATAATAATTATTATAAAGAGACCAAGGTTTGACCCCCAGCACCTAAAGGTTCCCTGAGAGCACAGGGTTAGGGCCCAAAACAAGTCAAAAGCCAAACTGCTTTGCAGCCTAGCTTGCAGTGGACTGTAACCCCATACAGGGTTACCCGCTGGACACCACATAGGGGGCAGGGGTGGCAGGTGTCTCAGAACTTAATACGGGGTTTACAAGAATAGGTTAACAATTTTGTGTTAAGGGACCAGAGAGATCGAGCAGGGGTTAAGGCCCTTGCTTTGCATGTGACCCACCCTGACCCAATCTTCAGCACCACATAAGGCTGCCCTGAGCACTGCTGGGTGTGGCTCAACACACACCCAAATTTGTTTAAAAATACATTTCTTGGGGCTGGAGTGATAGCACAGGGGCAGGGCGTTTGCCTTGCACACAGCCGACCCAAGTTCAATTCCCAACATTTCATATGGTTTCCCGAGCACCACCAGGAGTGATTCCTGAGTGCACAGCCAGGAGTAACCCCTGAGCATTGCTGGGTGTTACCCAAAAAGAAAAAAATTTTTTTCTTTATGATATCAGTAAATGCTCAATTCGTTTATCTAATTGTTTTTTGTTAAAGTTTTCAGTCCACACTAACGATGCTCAGGGGTCACTCCTGGCTCAGCACTCAGGAATTACCCTTGACAATGCACTCCCGGGAGACCATATGGGATGCCAGAGATTGAACTCGGGTCAGCTGTGTGTAAGGAAAGCGCCTTACCCGCTGGACTCCTGTCTACCTAACCTTATATACCCATAAACCTGGGGTCACATACAAATCTCTCATGTGAGAGGCCGGAGTGATAATTCAGCAAGTAGGGCACCTGTCAGGTTTGATCCCCAGCACCCCATATGGTCCCAAGTCCCAACAGGAGTGACCCCTGAGCAGAGGCCAGGAGTCACCCCTGTGAACACAGCAGAGTGTGACACCCCCCCCAAAACAAACTACTCAGGTTTACTGTTTCATCTTCTGGGGTCACACCGGCAATGCTCCAGGGTGGTTCCTGGCTCTGCACTCAGTAATTATTCCTGGCGGCTCAGGGACCATACGCAACACAGGGGATTGAAGCCGGGTCTGCCCTATCAGGCAAATGCCTTACTTGCTGTACTACCGCTCCAGCCCTAATTCGCTGGTTTTTGAAAAAGGATCACAGTTAAAAACTGTTAAAGAGACTCTCCGTTAAGGATCAAGGGCCAGCGAGAAAGGACAGGGGCAAGGTGTTTGTCATGCTCGTGGCTGACCCCGGTTCTATCACTGAGATCAGAGATGGTCGCCGAAGCACCACCAGGAGTGTGCCCTTGGAGCACTGTACGAGGAACAGACCCTCAGCACTGCCGGTGTAGCTCAAGAAACCCAAGATAAAAAAAATAAAGAACCAGGTCAAGAAGCTGCTGCTCGCTTTCACGCCATCGGAGTGGGACGGTGACCACGACTCACCTTCAGGATTAAGGCCTGGCTCTGCCTTTCATCTTGCAGCACCGTCTGAGGGAAAAGGGATAGGCAAGAAGTCGTGTTACAAGCAAAATTCAATTGACAAGACAGCAAAGCTCTTTACCTCACCCTTCAAGGGGACAGCTGCCCACTCGTTGCTGGAAGCATTTTATTACCTAAGTAGATCCAAGTCTGGTCTCCACTGTAAGCCTTACCCACACCAGAAAAAGCCTTACCCACTGTAAGCCTTACCCACACCAGAGCTGGGCTGGCTGGAGAAAACCCCAGGTCCTTTCCAGCTCTCACACCAGGGTGGCATGGAACGGGTCAAGCTTGGAGCTCTCCACCCCCACACATCTGCCCCCTCAGTTATGTGGCTTTTTTCAAGCCCTGAGAGTCTTTCCTCAGGCCCCAGCGCCAGAGCCGAGACCACCTGCCTTGCAGACACAGGGCCATGAGCGTGAGTCTTCATTCTCTTTTTGTGTGTTTTTTTTTTGCTTTTTGGGTCATACCCGGTGATGCACAGGGGTCACTCCTGGCTCTGCACTCAGGAATTACCCCTGGCGGTGCTCAGGGAGACCATATGGGATGCTGGGAATCAAACCTGGGTCGGCCGCGTGCAAGGCAAACGCCCTCCCCGCTGTGCTATCACTCTAGCCCTGAGTTCTCATTCTTGGTGTCCAACATGTTCTCAGCATGGTGCGGCAGCTCTGCTGAGGAGCCCGGCACCCTGCAGCCAGGGAGCCCCAGAGCCAGTGATTCTCAGCCGCTCTGCGGCGAGGCACATGCGAGCGCCACAGAAAAAGACCCGCCCCCGGGCAGCACTGGGACTCCAGGGGCCTGTCAGCCAGGCAAAAGGACTTCCCGGGAGCACATGTGCAAGTGCCACCACCGTCACTGTTGCAGAGCAGCTAGAGCATGACCTGGGAGCACTGTGCACGCTGGCAACGGGAAGAATGCGAGCCCAAAGCCCACAACTGGGTGGGAGAGAACTGCACCCGGACGCATGCAGCTGGGTGGGAGAGCACTGGGCCCAGCTCAGAGACGCCCAGGCAAGGGCCACAAAGCACCACATCTGGGCAACTATGCAACCCCTGGTCCCAGCATAAACCAACGAAGGGAAGAGGGAGGGGAAGAAAGGAACACTAATAATAAAGCACAGTTGTTTTTTGTTTTCGTTTTTTTTTTGCTTTTTGGGTCACACCTGGCGATGCTCAAGGGTTACTCCTGGTTTTGCACTCAGGAATCACTCCTGGCGGTACTCAGGGGACCATATGGGATCTGGGAATCGAACCCGGGTCGGCCACGTCTTTTTTTTTTTTTGAAAGCACAGGTTTTAAGAACTTTGCTGTATTATTATCCCAATCACCAGCCCCAGCAGAGACCCCCAAAACCCTTAGGAAGGATAAAGACAGGAAGGGCGCGGAGAGCACTGACCTTGAGCGAATCCCGCGTGCCCCGGTAATCCTCCTGCAGGTAACACTGGAGTAACTGCACACTCTGCTCCTCATCAAGACCCTGGAAGGGAGAGGCTTGGAGTTAGGAGACTGGCTTAGATAAACAAGCCTTACTGGCTTGGTTGTTTGTTGTTGTCCTTTTTCCTTTTCATTTCTTTTCTAGGGGGGCCACAACCTAGGGGTGCTCGGGGTTCACTCCTGGCTCTGCACTCAGGTATCACTCCAGGTGGTGCTGAGAGGAACATGGGGTGCCAGGGATAGCACCTAGGTCAGCCACATGCATGGCAGACACCCTACCTGCCATGCTATCTCTCTGGTCCCAGAAAATACACAACATTCTAAAAATGTGTCTTTAGGAACAAACTCAGAACCTGAATAGACAAAAATTCTTTTATTTTTGGTGGGTTTTTTTTTTTTTTGGGTTTTTTGGTCACACCCAGTGATGCTCAGGGGTTACTCCTGGCTCTGGAATTACTCCTGGCGGTGCTCGGGGACCATATGGGATGCTGGGAATCGAACCCGGGTCAGCCGCGTGCAAGGCAAACATCCAACCTGCTGTGCTACTGCTCCAGTCCCGACAAAAATTCTTTTAAAAAGATGTCATGTAGGGGCCAAGAGAGATAACTCAGGGTTAAGGCACTTGTCCTGCATGCCGCCAACCCTGGTCCAATCCCCAGCACCACACGGTCCCCATAAAGCACTGCTGAGAGTGACCCCCGAGCAGAGCAAGGAGCAGTCCTCAAGTACTAGCTATAGTCCAAAACATCTAAAACTCCCTCACCCTGCAAAAAAAAATAAAAAGAAACAAAAACCCATATAGGACCAGACAGAAAGCTCAATGAGCTGAACACATGGTTCGCTGGCAAGAAGCCTGCCTGGGCTCCATCCCTGGGACCACAATATCCCATAACACCCCAAGGAGCATCCCTCCAAACACAGAGCAAGAAGTTGGCCCTGAGCATCACCAGGTAAGAGTCAAAAAATGAAATAACCAGGGCAAGAGAGACAGCATAGGAGTCAGACGCTTGCCTGGCAAGCAGCAGAACCCACTTTGGTTCCCAGCACTGCGTATGGTCCCCAAAACCCACCAGGGGTCATTCCTGAGCCTGTACAGTGCTAGGAAGAGCTCTTTCTTGCCCCTGTGGTTTAAAGAAAGAAAGAAAGAAAAACCCTCCAGAGTCAAGCCCGTAAACCATCTCTGGCACTGCCATGTAAGCTCATCCGCCGGCCCTGCTCCAGATACTCAGAAATAAAGCTCAGAAGAGTTCAACCAGCCACCACAAGTTTCTGGCCACCTGCTTATGGCTGAGATGGCTGGGGCAGCCCAAAGTGCAGTGGGTCAGCCCAGTGCTCACCCAAACAAAACCCTGGCAGCCGCTGCTCCTACACTCCCGAGTGACCGTATGCTCCAGTCGGGCTCCAGCGTCTTGGGACCAAGTTCCCAGAAATGTAGGCTATTGGCTCAAGAGGTAAGTGAAACCTCTGGACATGAACTGAGTGCTAATGGATAAGGGAACCATGGTGTGGTCATCTGGTAGATTATTATACAATAGTGAAAATGGTTGAGTGGCACCAGTGTGCAAAATGAAAATAAATCTGAGAAACACCTTGAATCAAAATAATATCTATATAAAAAATGCGATTCTCGGCCGCAGTGTACAGAGAGCACTGTACACTGTACATTACAGTACCCAGTAATGTCAGAGTCATAAAATTGTTATTTCAGAACGGTGTGTATATACTCTTTATTTGGGCTGGAGCGATAGCACAGCGGTAGGGCGTTTGCCTTGCATGCAGCCAACCTGGCCGACCCGAGTTCATTCCTCCGCCCCTCTCGGAGAGCCCGGCAAGCTACCGAGAGTATCTCGCCCGCACGGCAGAGCCTGGCAAGCTCCCCGTGACGTATTCGATATGCCAAACACAGTAACAAGAAGTCTCATGATGGAGACGTTACTGGGCCCGCTCGAGCAAATCAATGAGCAACGGGAGGAACGTGACCGTGAAAACCCCCCAAACAGAAACAAACCGAATTTTTACTGACAATAAAATCATGTACCTGCAGAAACAAAGGCTAACCTAACGCCACTCACCAGAAACTTGCTGATTCTTAGGCCCAGCTCCTTCAGTGGGGAAGCAACATCTTTGCTGGCTTTCACTTTCTCTGCCGAAGTTGGACTGGGAAAGGAAAAATGAATCATCTCCTCATTCTTAATCGTTTAAAATAAAAACACTGAAGAGATATTTATTACAAAGCCTATTTCCGCCTTTTGACGCCTAGTACACACACACACACACACACACACACACACACACACATATATACACTCACTCACTCACTGAGTTCATCTCTACAGACTTCATACGAGAAATCTATGCCTAAGTCCAAGAGTATGTGTCTGTCAGAACGAACAGTTAGAACATTAGTCAGGGCGTTAGGGAGCCCAACAGGCAGGAGCCACAGTCTGCCCTGGAACCACAGGGTCCCCAGCAATGAGCTAGGATTCATCCCTGAGCACTGCTGGGGATGGCCCAAAACAAAACCAGCATTATTTACAGATGTGTTAATTGAGATGAATGAGTTCTAAGAATTAGAACTACCTTAAAAGGCAAATATTCCCATTTCACAAATGGATTTGCCAACATTTAGGAAAAAAAAACCCACCTTTCCAAAAATCCTACAGCGGGGCCAGAGTGATAGTATAGCAGGCAGGGCATTTGCCTTGGACGAGGCAGACCCGGGGGGGTTCAATCCCCAGCATCCTGTATGGTCTCCCAAACACAGCCAGGAGTAATTCCTAAGTGCAGAGCCAGGAGTAAACCCTGCGCATCTCTGGGTGTGACCCGAAAAGGAAAAAAAAAAAAAAACAAACAAAAAAAACCCACAAAAATCCCACAGCTAATAAAAAAAAAAAGAAAAGAGGGGAAATATAATATCAGGTCTGTTAGGACCCACATATCTGCTCTCTCGCCAGGTCTGGCTTCTAACATCTCTAATAAAGCAGCAGGACTCGCCGCAAAAATGACTGACACTGGAGCGGAGCGATAGGACAGCGGGGTGGGCATTTGCCTTGTACACAGCCGACCTGGGTCCGATCCCTGGCAACCCAAATGGTCCCCTGAGCACTGCCAAGAGTAAATCCTGAGGGAAGAGCCAAGAGTAAGGCCTGAGTGTCACGAGTGTGGCCCCAAAATTGAAAAAAGAAAGTCATATTATAAAAGAAAAGAAAATACAAAATAGTCTTGAATATCTTGCATTATGACAACGTAAAGAAAGAGCCAGCAGAAGTTTGGGAGCACGCCCAAAGGACCAGAGGCTGACCTCAAAGAACAGATCTGAAGTCTAAAACAAATATCCATGTGTCTATAATGATAAGAGCAAGTGGAAAAATGAATGGGGGAGAAGGGAGAAGGCTTCCTTACAAGAGAATGACAGGGGCCAGAGCTATAATCCAGCAGGGAGGGCGTTTACCTTGCACAGGGCAAGCCGGGGTTGGTCCCCCGCTCACCACCAGGAGTGATCCCTGAGCACAGAGCCCAGAGTGAGCCCGCCACCCCCAACAAACACACAAGAAAATAAGATTTTTTTTTTTTTTTTTTTTTTTTTTGCTTTTTGGGTCACACCTGGCGATGCACAGGGGTTACTCCTGGTTCTGCACTCAGGAATCACCCCGGCGGTGCTCAGGGCACCATATGGGGTGCTGGGCATCGAACCCGGGCCGGCCGCATGCAGGACAAATGCCCTATCCGATGTGCTATTGCTCCAGCCCCCCAAAAATAAGATTTTCAAAAGAATTCCAAGTGATATAAAAAAATGTCACCACTCCACCCCCACACTGAGGGGCCTAATAGTGACTCACTTCCCAGACAATGGAGGAGGAGAAGGAAAAAGGGGATATTACAGAGGACAAACTCGGGTAGGAAGCAGACGGGCTTCCCGGCCCAGTGATGGCAGTGGGCACACGGGTGAGTGGAATTCCTAAGCACCCTGCTCCCAAACCCAGCCGCTGTCTACTGAGACAATCAGACAACGCGCAACTGGACATGCTACAAAATACCTGACCGGTCCTCCTTCAAACTGGTCAAGGTCGGTCATGAAAAGCAAGGAAAGACTGAGATCATGTGACATTTAAGAGTGAAGACGACATGACAAGTAAACATAATGTGGTACCCTGAACCAGATCCTGGGAGCAAGAACATAATTTAGAGGAAAACAAGCAACACCACCACAAGTTAAATTCAAATAAAGCCTGGGGCTGCAGCGATAGCACAGCGGGTAGGGCGTTTGCCTTGCACACCGACCTGGGTTCGATTCCCAGCATCCCATATGGTCCCCCGAGCACCGCCAGGAGTGATTCCTGAGTGCATGAGCCAGGAGTAACCCCTGTGCATCGCCGGGTGTGACGCAAAGAGTAAAAAAAAAAAAAAAAAAAAAAATCAAATAAAGCCTGCAATTAAAAAATAAACCAAAAAATAGACTTCAAAACCCATGGGTTTTGTTTGTTTGTTTGTTTTCAAAAAGAAGGTGAGGGCCCAAGTGATAGCACAGTGGTAGGGTGCCTGCCTGGCCTTTGGTCCCTGGCATCCCATACTGTCTCCTGAGCCTGCCGGGAGTGACTCCTGAGTATAGTCAGGAGTAACCCCTGAGCACTGCCAGGTGTGGTCCAAACAAAAGAAAAACAAAAAGAGGAGGCAGGGGTCGGAGTGATGGTACAGCAGGTAGGGCGCCTGCCTCACATACGGCTGACCTAAGTTCGAGCTTCAGCATCCCATAAGGTTTGCTAAGCCACCAGCAGTGATCCCCGAGTGCTGAGCCAGGAACAAGCTCTAAGTACCAGTTAGTGTGCCCCCCAAATAAATAAAGTCCTTTAAAAAGAGAGGACCAGGGGCAGGAGAGATAGCACGGCGGTAGGGCATTTGACTTGGACGCCGCCGACACGGGTTCGATTCCCAGCATCCCCTATGGTCCCCTGAGCACTGCCAGGAGTAACTCCTGGGTGCAGAGCCAGGAGTAACCCCCTGTGCATCGCCAGGTGTGACCCAAAAAAGCAAAAAAAAAAAAAAAAAAAGAGAGAGGACCAGAGAGATAGTACAGCAAATGAGGTGTTTGCTTTCCACACGGTCAGAAGGGGTTCAATCCCCCGCATTCCATATGGTCCCCCAGGCACCACTAGAATTCCTGGGCGCAGACCCAGAAATAATCCCTGAGCCTCACCAGGTATGGGCCAAAACATTTAAAAAAAAAAAAAAGAAAGAAAGGGGCTGGAGCGATAGCACAGTGGGTAGGGTGTTTGCCTTGCACACAGCCAACATGGCCAACCCAGGTTCGATTCCCAGCATCCCATAAGGTCTCCCGAGCACCGCCAGGAGTAATTACTGAGTGCATGAGCCAGGAGTAACCCCTGAGCATCGCTAGGTGTGACCCAAAAAGAAAAAAAAAAAGAAGAAGAAGAAGAAAGAAGCAAAAAGGGAAGAACTGGATGGCGAGCTCAGGCCTCAGGTTCTCAAGGACCCGTGTGACCCCACACCTGGCCCATGAACACCACTGGGACTGTGGTGACGCCCCAGGGCTAGACTATGTCACCAAAAAGGCACCAAAAAGAACCCCAATGCCACGAATGTCCATTTTGTCAGCTAAAGCATGTTGTTTTTGTAGGACACTTTTATTAAAAGGGACATAAGGCATGACAAGAAGGCTAAGTCTAAGGTTAAAAGGTCAGTGCTGAAAGAGGCGACATAAAGGTGACTAAGAACAGACACTGCAGGAGGACTGCCAGGCTCCAGTCCCGGCTCTAACCACTTACTAGCTGTGTGACCTTGGGCAAGTTACTTAAGCTCTTTGAGCCTCAGTTTCCCCCATCTGTAAAATGGAAACAATAACAGTAAAAATATCTAAATGTAATTATATAGTGATTATCTTTTTAAAAAAAAAGCTATGTGTTTCAGAGACACAGTGTTTACGGATTAGAAAGACATGATGTCTGGGGGTCACCGCAACATAACTAGGGGATGTGGAATGGCAAGCACCCCAACCGGGTGTGTGGACAGCACAAGCAAGCACGGGCAACCCCCAGGTCTCACAACGACCAAGGAAGAAGATGAGGGGAGAAAACAGTTATGGGGAGGTGGGGAGGGGGAGAACACAGCTCAGCGGCAGAACACACACCCTGTATGGGTGAGTCCAGAGTTCTATCCCCAGCACCACCAAAATAGCAAATTATTACATGGCGGAAGTTATTAGATGAACAAAAAAAGAAGAAGAAAAGAAAATGTTTCACTAACCTAAGAGAATGGAGATAGAAGACGAAGATGCAATAAAAATCAACCAATATTCAGAAGCAAAAGGGACATGAGGAGGGGGTGCTTGCAAACTACAAAGCTTAATAAAATCTCGGCAAGAAAATTAAGATGAGAGATCAAGTATACAAAGTCAATTCTCTTCTTTTTAAAGAACCTTCTAGACTGCTTTTCAGTGCCCAATAAACAGTATCTATCTCCAAGAACCGTTGTCAGGATTAGATAAGTTGAGTGCTTTGAGTAATAATTGGCCCGTACGTAAACATCAGCCTGACAGCGCTGTTCACTGCTAAACGCCAGCATTAAGTGTCCACATCATCTCAGACAAGTGGGGGAGCGGAATAAAATAGCAGGACTACTAACTGAATATTTAATAAATGTTCAGCCCTAATCGTAAGGGTTATATAATTGGGCCCAGCAATACTCTGTACCTAAAGAATTTCCCTTCCTTTAAACAGACAGAAAAAAATCCGCCCTCCTCCACAAATTCTCTTCTCTCTAACCTATTTAAGCCCGTACCAGTCACTCACTCGTACATGAGGATGGTTCCTACCTGCTGGCTCCCTGGGGACAGCACCCTAACACACAGGTGAACAGTCGTACCTGGGGGGTTTGTAGTAAGAAAGCCCCTCTAATAGCCGCTGCCAGTGTCTATTCAGTTCCGCTTCAATCTGATTCTGGAAAAGAACAAGAAAACCACACCAACGCCATTTTAATCACATTCCACGGTCACGATGAGAATGACATCCTCATTTGGAACCTTTATTTTATTTGCTTTTTTTAATTGGATCACTGTTTGATACAGTTACAAAGCTTTCATGATTGGTTTCAGCCATACAGAGATTGAGCACCCATCCCTCCAGCAATGCATCTTCCACCACCAATGCTCCCAGCATCCCTCCGGCCACCCCTACCCCATCCCACCCCGCCTCTGTGGCAGGTACATTCCTTCTTACTCTCTCTCTACTTTGGGCCGTTATGGTTTGCAATACAGATGCTAAGAGGCCATCGTGTTTGGTCCTTAGTCTACTTTCTTTTTTTCCCCCCTTAATCTACTTTCAAGCACGTATCTCCCATCCTGAGCGATCCCTCCGACCATCATTTACTTAGTGGTCCCTTCGCCATCCCATCTGCCTTTTCTCCCAGCAAATGAGGCTGGCTTCCAAACCATGGAGCAGTCTTCCTGGCCCTTGTCTCTACTGTTCTTAAGTGTTAGTCTCATATTACGTTATTTTATATTCCACATCATTTGGGGCTTCTAAATATCTTTTCTCCCACAGCTGAAATTACTTTGATGGTAAAATTCTGTAGTCCCTTTCCTTAACTTTCTAATAACTTCATTATGAATTTTTTTTTTCTTCTTGGGTCACACAGGGGTTACCTCTGGCTTTGCACTCAGGAATACTCTTGGTGGTGCTCAGGGGACCATATGGGATACTGGGAATCGAACCCGGGTTGGCTGTGTGCAAGGCAAACGCCCTCCTCACTGTGCTTTCGCTCCAGCCCCTACTTCATCATGAAAATTTTAACAAACATCATCTTAGTGATCTTATACTGGCTTATCAAGTGGCTGGATCATAATTTATTTACCATTCTTCTAGTGTTATATACACAAAGCTTTTTGTAGGTAGGTCTTTTTGTTCTTTTTGTTCTGCTTTGTTTGGGGGCAACACCAACTGAGCTCAGGGCTTACTTCTGGCTCTGTTCTCAGGGATCACCAATGGCAGGGCTCGGGGGACCATATGGGGTGCTGAGGATAAAACCCGCGTAAGCCACATGCGAGAAAGCATCCTGCCCATTCTTATTTTCCTGTTCCTCTAATCCTTTATGACTATTGCTGTGGTAGAGCTTTGTACACAAAAGTTTTCAGGATGTTTAAAAAGCTACGTTCCCAGAGGGCCAAGGAGTTGACTCAAAGGAGCTCTGCATTCAGTAGTCCTGCGTTTGCTTCTGAACACTGCTGAGTATGGCCCTGAAGGCCCCTGGGGGTGCCAGGGTATCCCCAGCACAGGAGGGCCGAGCAGTACTGCATTCTTAGGCCTGGGCACTGACCTGCTGGGGTGGATGCCCAAGAATTGCCAGCAGGGGCCTGACCTCCTGCGCGACTCCCGGGAGGCCTACCTGCCCGAGCCAAAGGGGTAGCTGAATGAGGTGAGCTCTGGTCAGGAGGCCGAGGCTTGAGCCCCAGCATTTAGGTGGTCCCCCAAGTACCAGGGGAAGCAACTCACAAGCACCAAGCATGCAGCAGCCCCAGCACCACCTGGCGCGGCCCAAACCAAACCAAAAGGGCTCACGGCCCACTTAGGGCAGCAGCCAGGCCACACCCACAAGGACCGCAGGACTGGCTCCAGCCCAGACCCCTACTTACCAGTTCTCTCAAAGCTGACCTTCCAAGCAGAATCGTCCACAGCTCTCTACTGCTCCTGGAAATGAACAGAGAAGAGGTGACCTTGCTTTTAGAGTATACAGACGTGGCCATTTCATCACTATTTTCTGAAAGCAAAAAAATTCAAAATGTGAAACAATTTGTTCTGACTTTAGACAGCAGGGCCAGGAGATGGCTCAAGGCCCGACACGACTGTGAGAGGGCTGAACCCTGATGCCACCCCAAGCACTTCGAGGAGCCCCCTCTCCCCGCACCACACCAGGAGGAGCCAGTCCCTAAGCACAGCCAGGTGTGACTCCCCCCACCAAAAAATAAGTAAATAAAAGGGCCTGGAGAGATAATACAGAGGGTAGGACAGTGGCCTTGCATGCAGCTGTCCTGGGTTTAGCCCCTGGCATCCCAAGCACCGCCAGGAGTAATTCCTGAGTACAGAGCCACGAGCGATCCCTGAGCACAGCTGAGTGTGCCCCCAAAACCAAAACTAAGTAGCCAGAGTTGGGATGTGGCGACACCCAGAGCCACCTCCAAAGCCTGAGCCACTAATACCACTAGATATAGCCCCAAAACTTAAAAAACAAGACAAACAAACAAAAAAAACCCCAGTAAAACTGTCGGGACTGGTCTTTAGGCTAGTACAGTCCCCCAGCACTCCAGGAGTGATCTCTGAGTACAGAGCTCGTAATGGAGTAACCCTTGAGCACAGCTAGATGTGGACCTAAAAACAAACAGAAATGACCAAAAAAAAAAAAGGGCTAGAACAGAAATAGTAAATTATCTACATTAGAAAGATCCATACAGGGGGCTGGAGCAATAGCACAGTGAGTGGGGCGTCTGCCTTGCATGCGGCCGACCCGGGTTCAATTCCCAGCATCCCATATGGTCCCCTGAGCACCACCAGGAGTAACTCCTGAGTGCAGAGCCAGGAGTAACCCCTGTGCATGTGCATCACCAGGTGTGACCCAAAAAGCAAAAAAAAAAAAAAAAAAAAAAAAAAAAAAAAAAGATCCATACAGGGGCTGGAGAGATAGCACAGCGGGTAGGGCACGCCACGGACCCGGGTTTGATTCCTAGCATCCCATATGGTCCCCCGAGCACCTCCAGGAGTGATTCCTGAGTACAAGGCCATGAGTAACCCCTGAGCATCACCGGGTGTGACCCGAAAAAGCAAAAAAAAAAGAGATCCATGCAAAGGACGGGGAATGTTTGTTCAAGTGGTGAAGTGCATGGGCAGGCTGGAGGGACAGCCCAGCGGGTAAGGCACCTGCCCTACACACTCGGCCAGCTCTGGTTTGATCCCTAGGATCTCATACCCTGAGCACCACCAGGAGTAATTCCTGAGTACAGAACCAGGAGTAACCCAAACTGTGATGGGTCTGCCCCCTACCCCCCTCAAAAGGAAAGAAAAATTTAAGCGCAAGAGTGCTGGGTTCAACTGCAGGCCCGGCAACAGCAAACGCATCCATGTGGCCGGAAGCTTCAGACTGAACACTGCCAAGAGAGATCAAGTTCTTCCCTGACCCTGTGTGGTTCTTGGTAGAGAGCTAAGACGGAGCCAGGCTTCTGCAGCAGTTCCTTGGGACGGCTGCGTTCCTCACCGAGATAACAAATCAGGGCAACCTAGGCCCAGAGCGCACTGCTTCCCAGGATGAGGTCACCTCTCTGGTGCACGTCAACCCACAGTTCTCATGGATGCCCCGCAACTTCTACCAACACATTAACTGAGAACAAGAGACACCACCCCATTCCCCCAAATGCCAGCATCCCAACTGGTTTTCTGCCAAACCCTGACAGGAGAATTCACATCATCTACACAGGCCCTGCTAGGGGCCCCAGGGCCACCTCAACAGGAGTCCACTGACTCACTGGGCTTTTGTTTTGTAATTTGGTTACTACTGAGGTTGCAAAAGTGTTGCATTTTATTCTCTTTTGCAGGGGGCATCAGGGACCCCATCTGGTGTGTTTATGGATCACTCCTGGAGAACCACAAGGGACTCCATGGGGTGCTGGGGATAGAACCTGGGTCAGCTGCATGCAAGGCAAGTGCCCGCTGGTAGCGCTGTACTATGGCTCCAGATCCCATATTTATGTGTTTGGGTTTGGGGGGGTTGTTATTTTTTTGGGGGGGTCACCCCTGGTGACGCTCAGGGGTTCCTCCTGGCTCTGCACTCCAGAATTACTCCCGGAACTGCTCGGGGTCCTATGGGATGCTGGGGATTGAACCTGGATCCACCCCGCCGTACGATGGCTCGAACTCCCATATTTATGTGTCTGACACACAAAGCTAATGCCCCAAACCTCGGTCCTGATGTGGAGAAACAGGTTCCGGTGCTCAGTGGACCAGTCTGAGGCTGCCTGCAGATCAGCAGGCGCCACAAACAAAACCAAGTCTTCTCTTCCTGAGCTGTCTGGCTGTTCCGAACAGTAAGGGGGTTGGTCACCAGGATGCCAGCACCAAAAGAAAGGACAAGGCCCAGGAGGTCTCAAAAGTGCTGAGCCTAAATTGGGGCCTGAGTGTGCACGCCTGGCACCCAGCATCCGGAGAACAGCAGGAGTGGGCTCCCACACCCCCAAATAAAGCCCAATGACCCTGCGGGCAGGGGCCGTGCAGGAAGCAGCCTGAGGGCCCCTCCACCTAGGAGAGTGCTGGAGGCCTCTGGGGAGGATCAAAGCAGTCTGCAGACAAACCAACAACGCTTTCCTCCCCTTGTTCTTTCCCATTAAAAAGAAAAAACACACAGGGGCGGGAGTGACAAGACACCGGGCAGGGCAGGGCGTCTGCCTCGCCTTGCACACGCTGAGCCGGTTCCGTCCCTGGCATCCTATAGGGTGCCCCCCCCCAGCCCCCACCCAACACGGCCAGGCGTGATCCCTGAGAGCAGAGCCAGGGGCTTAACTAGCCCTGAGCATCGCCACAGGTGTGGCCCCCAAACCAAAAATAATGAGAATTTGAAACTTAAGCTATAACACGGGTGACTGCTGCCGGATGTCACACCTCGCCCCGCAGCTCTGCGTGACCCGAGCCCGCGGGAGACGGCGGGAGCCGGCTGAGAGGAGGCGCAGCGGCGGAGCTGTCCCCGCGCGTCCCCCCCCCCACGCTGGACCGCCCCTGCGCGTTCCCTCCCGCGCCCCTCCCCGCGCCGGACCGTCCCCCGCGCGTCCCGCCCGCGCCCGCCCGCCCGAGCGCGGGCCCGCGAGCGGATGAATGAGAGGCGGCCCCGGGGCGGCCGGCGGGGCCAGCTCGGCCCGCAGAGGCTCCGTCCGGCCGGCCGGCGCAGAGGGGCCGCGGGTCGCCGAGGGGTCGCGCCCGCCGGAGCCCGGGGCTGAGGCGACCGCCCGGCGCCCCCCAGCGCCCTCCGCGGCCCGCGCGCGCGGGGACCGTTCGGAGCAACCGCTTCCCGCCCTGTCGCCCGCCCGCCCGGCCGGGCTGCGCCCCGCCGTCGCCGCCGCCGCCGCCGCGACCCCCGGCCCTCGGCCCCGCCCCGCCGAGCCCCCCGCGGCCCCCAGCCCAGCCGAGCCGCCCGGCCCCCCGCACCTCACGCACGGCCCGCCGGCGGCCGCCGCCATCTTCGCGCGCGCGCGCTCCAGCCCCGCCCCCGACGCGGCCCCACGTGACGGCGGGGGCGGAGCGTCGGGCCACGTGACGGCGGGCGGGGCCAACATGGCGCCGCCCAAGGACGCGGGGAACTCGCGTCGTGCGCGGCGGCGGCGGCCGTGAGACTCCGCGGGGCTGCGGAGGGGCGGCGTCTCCGGCGGCGGCGGCGGGAGGTGGCGGAGGGGGCCCGTGTGGCCGGCCGGCCGCGGAGGGGGACCTGCGGTGGCGCTCTCCTCCTCCTCCTCCTCCTCCTCCTCGGCGTCCGGGCGGCGGGGAGACCCCCGTGCGGGCGGGTCGCCGCCCGGCGGGGGCGACGTGCCCAGAGCCCCAGGCGACCCTCGGCCCCGGGAAGCCCCGGCCTCGAGGCATGACCCGAAAGTGCGCGGCCCCGGCCGCGGGCGCCGCGGCGCCGCTGAGCGGGTCGGTGCTGGCCGAGGCGGCCGTGGTGTTCGCCGTGGTGCTGAGCATCCACGCCGCCGTGTGGGACCGATACTCGTGGTGCGCCGTGGCCCTGGCGGTGCAGGCCTTCTACGTGCAGTACAAGTGGGACCGGCTGCTCCAGCAAGGCAGCGCCGTCTTCCAGTTCCGAATGTCCGCCAACAGCGGCCTCCTGCCGGCCTCCATGGTCATGCCTCTGCTGGGCCTGGTGATGAAGGAGCGCTGCCTGGCGGCGCAGAACCCCTACTTTGAGCGCTTCGGCATCGTGGTGGCGGCCACCGGCATGGCCGTGGCCCTCTTCTCCTCGGTGCTGGCGCTGGGCATCACGCGGCCCATGCCCACCAACACCTGCGTCATCTCGGGCCTGGCGGGCGGCGTCATCGTCTACATCATGAAGCACTCGCTGAGCGTGGGCGAGGTGATCGAGGTCCTGGAGGTCCTGCTGATATTCGTCTATCTCAACATGATCCTGCTCTACCTCCTGCCGCGCTGCTTCACGCCCGGGGAGGCGCTGCTCGTGCTGGGGGGCATCAGCTTCGTGCTGAACCAGCTCATCAAGCGCTCGCTCTCGGTGGCGGAGAACCAGGGCGACCCCGTGGACTTCTTCCTGCTGGTGGTGGTGGTGGGCATGGTGCTCATGGGCATCTTCTTCAGCATGCTCTTCGCCTTCATGGACTCGGACACCTGGGCCTCGTCCATCTTCTTCCACCTCATGAGCTGCGTGCTGGGCCTGGGCGTGGTCCTGCCCTGGCTGCACCGGCTCATCCGCAGAAACCCCCTGCTCTGGCTGCTGCAGTTCCTCTTCCAGACCGACACCCGCATCTATCTCCTCGCCTACTGGTCCCTGCTGGCCGCTCTGGCCTGCCTGGTGGTGCTGTACCAGAATGCCAAGCGGTCGTCCTCCGAATCCAAGAAGCACCAGGCCCCGACCATCACCCGGAAGTACTTCCACTTCATCGTGGTGGCCACCTACATACCAGGCATCATCTTTGACCGGCCTCTGCTCTATGTCGCCGCCACCGTGTGCCTGGCCGTCTTCATCTTCCTGGAGTACGTGCGCTACTTCCGCATTAAGCCCCTGGGTCACCTTTTGCGGAGTCTCCTGTCCCTCTTCCTGGACGAACGAGACAGCGGCCCGCTCATCCTGACGCACATCTACCTGCTCCTGGGCATGTCTCTCCCCATCTGGCTCATCCCCAGACCCTGCACCCAGGACAACCTGCCCGGCGTGAGGGCCCTCGTCCCCTACGCGGGGGTCCTGGCCGTGGGCGTGGGCGACACCGTGGCCTCCATCTTCGGCAGCACCATGGGGGAGATCCGCTGGCCGGGCACCAAGAAGACTTTCGAGGGGACCATGACGTCCATATTCGCCCAGATCATCTCTGTGGTTCTGATCTTAATCTTTGACACTGGCGTGGACCTCAACTATAGCTACGCTTGGATCTTGGGATCCATCAGCACTGTGTCCCTTCTCGAAGCCTACACGACACAGATAGACAATCTCCTTTTGCCCCTCTACCTCCTGATCCTGCTGATGGCATAGCAAGCCGCAAGAGAAGGAACAGGGACATGGGCCGGAGGGGTGACTGGAGCCCCGGGGTGACAAATCAGCTTGAGTTTTTTTTCAGTTGACTCAGATCCAGAATAAAAAGGAAAAAAAAACGAAGCTCTCCTGGTTTTCGGTGTCAGTGGTGTTTCACAAAGCCAAAAGGACGGAGAGCACACAACTGGGAGAAGCTGCGTGTGCAGGGGCCCCTCTGCCCCCCACTTGTAGGGAAGTAGCAGAATGATTAACCCTTTAGATTCCTCTGTCAATGTAGAGTGAAGCCTCGGTTGTCTCTCCTTGTTGGCTGTGTGACGGGGGAGGGGTTTGTCACCGAACCCTTCTGAGTCTCTCACCTGCCTCAGATGGGGCTAGGGAGAGCCGACCTGCGGGGGGGCAGTGAGCATTAGGGGAGGGGAGATGAGCAAAACGTCCAGCCCAGGGCCCACCGATGCAGCAATGGACGGTCTCCTCCCCAGCGAACAGCCAGGAAATGGAAGCGTTTTACAGCCTTGGCCTTGGACAATGACCTTTATTCCCTTAGCTTCTGCGAGAAGCCAAGCGGAAACGGGCCAAGCATGTGGTCTGTCCCATGCGAGCTCAGGAGCGTCCAAGGGGAGAGGGTGGACTGGCCTGCATGGCGGCGATGGGGGGACTTCCTGTGTCACGGCCCCACTTCCGGCCCCCACTCAGTGCTACAAAGTAAGCTGCTGTGCTTGTCCAGGGTCTTTCCCCCCAAGACCCTCTTACACCTGCCACTGTCCGAAATCTGTGCTGTTCTCTTTTGGTTTTTGGGTCACAGCCGGCGATGCACAGGGGTTACTCCTGGCTCTGCGCTCAGGAATTACTCCTGGCAGTGCTCAAGGGACCATATGGGATGCTGGGAATCGAACTCGGGTCGGCCATGTGCAAAGCAAGCGCCCTACCCGCTGTGCTATTGCTCCAGCCCCTGTGCTGTTCTCTTGAAAAGAGGCTGGAACTGAGGGGCTGGTAAGCGTTTCCCAAGTTCAGAACGGCTCTTCAGAAGGGCCCCTACTCCAGACTGGCCTTCCTAACCCCAGCTCCCTCATGTCCGTGCCGCAGGACACACAGCAGGGACTGGGCAGCTGTCACTGGACAGATAGAAAGGGAACAGCGGACTCCCCAGTTCTCACAGCCTGCCTGAGGGGCGCAAACCACCACGGCCAGAAACCAAGCATGGAGTGCTGAGGAGCGTGGGTCCTGCCCACCAGCGCTGCTGAGTGCCATCCCAGCAGGAAAGGGGATGACGTGGAGGCCAGGCAACGAGCCGACCCGCTCAAGCCCAGCCCTGGGCTTCAAACCCTGCTGACTGAGCTGGGGACGGCCACCGCTGCCTGGCCTCCGGCTTACGCCAGCTTGGCTCCTGTGCTGTAAACGGTCTCCTGAGGTTTTCGTTCTGTTTTATGTGAGCCCAAAGCAAAACAAAAGTCTGGGCCAGCCAGGAAAGGCCACACTAGAGGTCACTCCTCGCAGGGCTTGTGGGGACCGTAACGGGGTGTCAGGGAGCGGACCTTGGTCAATAGCATACGGTCCTGGTGCGGTTCTCAGGGTTGCTCTGACCACTTGGGGGACCAGGGAGGGTTGGGGTCAACTTGGGGCTTCTGCCTGCAAAGCTGACTCAGCTCCTTGAGCTACCTCAGGGCTCCTCAAACGGGTTTTTCTTTTGTTTTCAGGCCACACCCGGTGATGCTCAGGGGTCATTCCTGGCTCTGCACTCAAGAGTTACTCCTGGTCGTGCTCAGGGGACCATGTGGGATGTGGGGGATTGAACCCAGCTCGCTGGCTGTGTGCAAGGCAAATGCCCTCCCCGCTATCCCATCACTCCTTCCCAAGGTTTCTCCTTTTATTTTTTTCCTTTTGGGTCACACCCGGCGATGCTCAGGGGTTACTCCTGGCTCTGCACTCAGCAATTACTCCTGGCAGTGCTCTAGGGACCATCAGGGATGCTGGAAATCGAACCCAGGTCGGCCACATGCAAGGCAAACGCCCTACCCGCTATGTTACCACTCCCGTCCCCAAGGTTTCTCCTTTTAATCCCCGGAGGCTCAGACCAAGCGTATCTGGCACCCCAAATCCTCCAGGGGCCCTGGGGCTACGGACTAGGTAGGTTTGGGGGTCTAGTCACAGTTCCTAGGGCAGGTCTGAGCAGGAGGGACCCTGGAGGCTGAGTCTGGTGTCCCATGGTGGGTGGGAAATCGGGGTGGGGAGCTATGCCAGGCTTGGGTTCCAGTCCTGGTCTTGGGTGCCCTCCCCAGCGGGGAGCTGGCGGAGCGCCTGGGCCAGGCTGCCTGAGGGCACGCGCGTGGTACTGTGGAAACAGAAGGACCTGGCCGGGCAGCCAGGAAAGAGACACAAGCAGCTGCTCTGGGAGCGTTTATTCCGTGTCTTGTGCCATCCAAAAACAGCATTGGAGGGAGGCGAAGAAGTCCAGGTACGGCGGGTGTGGGTGGGTGCGGGTCCGAGCACGTTGGTCCCCTCGGAGGCTGCCCTGAGGTGGGGAATCCATGAGGGTGCCCACCTGCCTTGTGCAGCCGGGAGGAAAGGAGCCACTCACAGGGGCTGCGCAGCCTGGTGGGTAGCGCGCAGCCAGGCGGGCCCTCCAGGGCTACCCCCGGGACTCTCAGGAGTACAGAGGCGGGAAGGGCAGTTCCGCAGTGGGCTGGAGCCTGTGGACAGCAGAGACAAGCTGCAGGGGCCAGGCGGCCTGCTGGGGCCCGCGAGGACAAGGGGGACCCCGCTCCCAGCCACCTACCAGTTGTCCGGGCTCCACACGGTGCCGGCGGCCTCCATGAGGTGGAAGGTGTAGGCCTGGCGGGAGCGGTCCGAGAGGTTCTGCTCGCTCTTATGCACCACCTCCCCGTGGATGAGCACCAGGGCGCCTGCGGGGGCACGTGCACAAGGAGGATGTGGGGAGGGAGGTCCCCTCCCTCTCTCCGGGTCCCAGGCCCAGAGCATCCTCCCCACTCTGGCTGGGACAGGAATGCCAGGCTCCAGGGGGTCTGCAGTTCCCTGTCCCGTGCCCAGTGGGCCGCACCAGACAGTAGCGGAACCAAGAGCTCTCCAAGTTCAACTGCTTCCCTTCTCTTCTTCCTTCCTTCTTTCCTTTCTTATTCCTTTCTTTCTTTCTCTTGTTTTCTTCCTTTCTTCTTTTATTTTCTTTTCTTTTTTTCTTTTCGGGTCACACCAAGCACTGCACAGGGGTTACTCCTGGTTCATGCACTCAGGAATGACTCCTGGAGGTGCTCAGGGGACCATATGGGATGCTGGGGATCGAATCCGGGCCGGCTGCACACAAGGCAAACGACCTACCCACTGTGCTATCGCTCCAGCCCCTCTCCCTTTCTTCTTTTATCTTTCATTCTTCCTTTCTTTCCTGGGGGTTTCTGGACTCCAACCCAGGCCCTCTCATGCACACTAGGCCAGTGCTCTGCAGGGCCACCCCCCCACCGCCCCCTCATGAGCCACGCTGGGACACTGCACACTCGGGCTCTGTGGACACATCCACGCCACGCCACGTCTCCTGCAGGCATGTTCTCTACTGCTGTGGGGAAACTGAGGCTCAAAGTTTCTGCCCAAAGAGATGGTCCTGAGGGAGCAGAGTATGAATTCTTTTTCTTTCTTTATTCCTTTTTTTTTTTTGGTTTTGGGGCCACACTTAGAGATGCTCAAGGCCTACTCCTGGTTCTGTGTTCAGGGCTCACTCCCAGAGAGGCTTGAGGAATGGAACAAGGGTCTGCCACAGGTAAGGCAAATGCGCTGACCTTTGTACTTTCTCCTCAGGCCTAACCACTGTTCTATCTCCTTGGCCCTAACCATTGTGCTATCTGCTCAGCCCTAAAGATTCCTTTTTTTTTTTTTTTTTTGCTTTTTGGGTCACACCCGGCGATGCACAGGGGTTATTCCTGGCTCTGCACTCAGGAGTTACTCCTGGCGGTGCTCAGGGGACCATATGGGATGCTGGGAATCGAACCGGGGTCGGCCGCATGCAAGGCAAACGCCCTACCCACTGTGCTATTGCTCCAGCCCCGCTAAAGACTCTTTTAAATTTTGTTTTTTTGCTTCTTCGGGGTTTTCTGTTGTTGGTTACTTTTAATTTTGGGACCTCCCTCCTCAGTGATGCTCAGAGCTTACTCCTGTCTCTGTGCTCAGGGATCACTCCTGGTAGGGTTTGGGGGACCATCCATAGTGCTGGGGATTGGCCATGTGCAAGCAAATGCCCTCCCCAAATACTATCTCCCCATCTCCCCTCTGCAACTGACTTTGGGGGGCCATCCCCAGCGCTGCTCAGGACTGCTCCGGAGTCACTCCTGGCAGTGCTCAGGGCACTGCATGGCACTGAGGAATGAACCTGGGTCCCTCCTGCATGCCATGCCTGTGCTCCAGGCCACCAGGTCACCTCCCTTGCCCCAGAGTCTGCATTCTAACCAGCAGGGGCATCGCTCACACTCCCCAGAGGCCGCCTGCACCCCGGGGGGGGGGGGGATCAGGGCCAGCCCCAGCCTACCTCTCGGCACAGGCGCAGGCACAAAGAGGCTGTGGTCGCGGGTGGGCTCCGTCCCCAGGAAGCTGGTGGGCATCTCTGAGCCAGCGGGGGTCCGCACCATCCTCCTGGACACGCCCCCTGCAGAGCGAGGTCAGCCCCTGGCATCTCTCTGCCAGGGGCTGGCAGGGCATCCGGGAGGAGGCAGGCCTGGCCGGGTCCTCACCAGTGTGGGAGCCAGGGATGAACCAGAGGCAGCCGTTCTCCACGGTCGCGTCTTCCAGCGCCAGCCACACGCCCAGCACCCGACCCAGCGGCTCCGTGAACAGAAAGGAGGCGTCCTGATGGGAGGACACTGGGGAGGGGCGTGGGCAGGGGTGGGGGTGGAGCAGCAGGAGCCCGGCCCCTCCCTCTGCCCCCAGACCCCAGATCAGGGTCCCACAGCTCCCCTGGCCCACCCCACAATCCTAAACCCTAATGCCAGGCTGGAGCAATAGCACAGCAGGGAGGCAGCAGACCCGGGTTCGATTCCCAGCATCCCATAGGGTCCCCTGAGCACTGCCAGGAGTAATTCCTGAGTGCAGAACCAGGAATAACCCCTGAGCATCGCCGGGTATGACCCAAAAAGCAAAAACATTAAAAGATTAAAAAAATAAACCCTAGGAGCTGGAGTGATAGCACAGAGGGTAGGGCGTTTGCCTTGCACGCAGTCAACCCGGGTTCAATTCCCAGTATCCCACAGGGTCCCCTGAGCACTGCCAGGGGTAATTCCTGAGAGCAAAGCTAGGAGTAACCCCTGAGCATTGTCGGGTGTAACCCAAAAAGCAAATAAATAAATAGATAAACCCTAACTCACCCCCACAGTCCCTTCCTTCGCAGGTTCACGGCAGGACCCCGAGACCGTGTATAAGATACACCAGCCCCCACCCAATAAGAAAAATAATAATAATACAGAATCTTAGGCCTGGAACCCTCCCAACTCAAGATCATAGAAACAGAGCCAGAACCCAGAGGCGGGGGGTCAGAAGCCGGGAACTCATTCACAGCACAGGAATCTGGGGGTGCAGAACCAGTAGCACTTGTGCACAGCCGGCCCTGCACCCCGATTGACAGCTCTGGCCCAGGAACCTGCTTATCAGCGGCCAAGGCGCTGCCCGCTCAGGAGCCCTTTGGCCCACAGCCTCAGGGCCCTCCTCCCGGCCCGCCCGACTGAGGACCTGTCACCCACCCTCCTTCCTGACCCCGCCGGTCTCACCTTCTCCTCCCAAGCGAGGTTGCTGCAAGAGAGAGAAACAGAGGGTCCTTGAGGCCCCTGGACAGCAGGGGGCGCCAGAGCCCCGTCTGTCTCATGGGTGCTCCTGCCTGGCCAGGGAGGCTTAAGGCCTGAGATTCCAGTTCAGCACCCAGCCAGGGAGCATGACCAGGATGCCCAGGGACGGCCAACAGGGGGTTGCCAGTCCCAGGGGACATGCCCAGCAAGGCAGGCAGAAATGAGGGGCAGAAGGAGAGGTTACAGCCAGGTCAGTGGATGAACCTACTGAATCCCATGGTCAGAGGGACCAGAGATGGGTCCTTCCCAGGAGAGCGGGAAGGCTTCCTGAAGGAGGTGGCATGGAGCTGGGCCTTAAAACCCAGAAGTAACAAAGGGAGGCAAGGGCCCTAGGAATCTCCTTCCCTCGTACCAGCATAAGTGTGTGTGTGTGTGTGTGTGTGTGTGTGTGTGTGTGTGTGACTGTGGTCCAAACCTGCAGTGCTTAGGGACTTGCTCAGGGGACCATGTGATTTCTGGGGATTGAGTCTGTGCCTCCTGCATGCAGCGCAGGAGCTCAGCCCATGGAGCTCTCTCTCTCTCTCTCTACCCAAGTAAAAAACAACTGGGGAGGTCACCTCCAACTCTGTAGTTGGGGTTCCTCCTGGTGGTGCTTGGGGAATATCTGGTGCCAGGGATCGAGCCCCGGGCCCGGGGAGGACCCTGCAAACGCAAAGCAGACACTTAGCCCGGTGAGCTATTTCACAGGCCCTCAGCCTCAGCAAATTTTAAGCTGTGGGGCCAGAGCGATAGTACAACCGGGAGGGTGTTTGCCTTGCACACAGCTGACCTGGGTTCCATCCCCAGCATCCCATATGGTCCCCCAAGTACTTACTTCCAGGAGTAATTCCGGAGTGCAGAGCTGAGAGTAAGAACTGAGCGTTGCTGGGTGTGACCCAAAACAAAAAAGTGTGTGTGTGGAGGGGGTTAGTGAGGGTGGGGGAGGTGTTGGATGGAGGAGCTTGTATAAGCCCCATCACAGAGGGTAAACTGAGGTGCAGGTGGGGCTCACCTTGAAGATGTACATGCTCTGCACGACCACTGGCCTCTGGAGGCCCAGGCTTCTGACCAGGGCCTGAAGTGGGGGGGGAAGAGGTCCACGTGCTGCATGGTCCAGGTGCCCAGGCCCCGCCCATCACACCCCGCCTCGGGCCCCGCCCCACACGCCCTTCCAGGCCCCGCCCAATCACGCACCGCCTCCGCCCAGGCCCCGCCCCATCGCTGCAGCCTGGCCCCGCCCCACCCCGCCCCAGGCGCTCACCTGCATCTTGGGGGAGTGTGTGACAGACTTGAAGACGGGGTCCCTGGCGTGCAGCGCTGCAGGACAGAGCGGGGCTGCAGGGCCAGGTCCCTCTCCCACGCCCCCTTTCCTCACCCCCGGGGTTCAGACCACACCCGACTCCATGCGGCAGCAGCCCCTCCTCCGTTTGTCTCATGAGCCTCAGTTTCCCCTTCTGCACAGTGGGGCTGGAGGACAAAGGCCCCATCTCCCAGGCTGCCAGAGGACCCCGTGGCCTGCTGCCCATCAAGCCCAGATCAGGACCTGCCACCATACAGTCCCTCTCATCACGGGTTGCTTTCACTGCTGGGATGCCAAAAATTAAGGGTTGAGGGGCCAGAGTCACAGTACAGTGGGCAAGGCACCCTGCATTCAAACCTTCAGCACCCCATAAGGTCACCTGAGCACCACCAGGAGTGAGCACAGAGCCAAGAGTAACCCCAGAGCACAACTAGGTGTGTACAACCCCCCCCCCAGGAAAAAAATTAATGGTTGAATGCTCAGGGGTTACTCCTGGCTCTGCACTCAGAAATCACTACTCCTGGCAGGCTCAGGGGACTGTATGGGATGCCGGGGATGGAAGCCAGGTCGGCTGTGTGCTAGGCAAACGCCCTACCTCTTGTACGGTCACTCGGGCCCCTCTTGATGGTGCTGAGGGATCTTTTTTTTTTTTGCTTTTTGGGTCACACCCGGCGATGTTCAGGGGTCACTCCTGGCTCTTCACTCAGGAATTACCCCTGGCAGTGCTCGGGGGGACCATATGGGATGCTGGGAATCGAACTCGGGTCGGTCGCATGCAAGGCAAACACCCTACCCACTGTGCTATCACTCCAACCCCGCTGAGGGATCGTTCTTGGCAGTGCTCAGGGAACTGTGTGGTGGCCGTGATCAAAGTAGGGCTCCTCTGCAGGGCAAGCACCAATCCCTGTCCTGCCTCTCTGGGCCTAAACTGTGCACTCTGGAACAGGGACAAGACTGGGGTGGGGCCCAAACGCTCAAGCCAGTACTTGGCCTACAGGAGGTCTGGGCTCCATCTCTAGGACTCTGTGGTCCCCTGAGCACCGCCAGCAGCAACCCCTGAGCACAGAGCTGGGAGCACTGTCAGATGTGGTCCAAAATAAACCAAAAAGTAAAACAAGCGAAGTTACATTGGAACACATGAGCACTGCTGAGTGTGTTCCTCAAAACCCAAGCCCCGCGTCCCAAAGCAGCCTAGGTCACTCCTCACTCCATGCTCACATCTGGCTCACTTGTCTCCGTTTCTCCTCTGGCATAAGTCCATACTGGAGAAGCCAGGGGCTGGAGCAATATCACAGCGGGTAGGACATTTGCCTTGCACGCAGCCAATCCGGGTTCTATTCTCAGCATCCCATATGGTCCCCTGAGCATTGCCAGGAGTAATTCTTGAGTGCAGAGCCAGGAGTAACCCCTGAGCATTGCTGGGTGTGATCCAAAAAGTTAGAAAGAAAGAAAGAAAGAAAGAAAGAAAGAAAGAAAGAAAGAAAGAAAGAGAAAAGAAAGAAGTCTGGGGCGTGGACAGCCGCAAAGCAGGTAGGGCATTTGCCTTACATATGGCTGACCTGGGTTTGATCTCTGGGACCCATAGGATCCCTGAGGCCGCCAGGTACATTCCCTGAGCAGGAAAGAGCCCTAGGTTCAGCCATAACTGGCTCCCAAGCCCCCAAAAAAACATACATGGGGGGTGGGGGGAGGCAGAGAGAGTCCATCAGGGAGGGCGCTTGCCTTGCACACGGCCAACCTGGGTTTGATCCCCAGCATCCCCTGAGCCCACCAGGAGTGATCTCTGAGCTCAGAGCTACGAGGAACCCCTGAGCACCACCCCGCTCCCTCCAGGGAAAAAAAAACAAGCAGTCTGGAGGAGATGACAGGTGGCCAGAGAGCAGGGCAGGCAGCAGGCTGACTTAATTGGTAGGGGTGGACGCGACGTCCCCTGAACCCTACAGGCCCTCAGTTTCCTCAGGTTCCCACTTACCATGGCCAATTTTGTTGATGGATTTCTCCGGAGGTACCAGGAAATTTCCTGCAGCACAAAGGACAGATACAGACTGCTGGATTGCTGGTATCTGGCATCCCACGGGCAGCTGCCCTGAGCATCCCTCCCACCTGGGAAGAGTTGGGGGTTGGGGGAGGGGCTCCCGGCCCAACCCAGCCCACACCATCAGGGTCCAGTTTTGATCGAACCTTTCTGGTCAAAAACGCCTTTCTCGAAGAAGAACCGGATCTTGTCGCCGCTACTCAAGAAGTAGTCTGTGCTGCCCTGGGGGTAGAGGCTGTGAGTGGGCAGGAGAACAGCCACCAGGCCCACGGAGAAATCCACCCGAAATCCCTGCACCAAGACACTAGGGGGCGCCAAAGAGATAGACGGGAGGGGATGGCACTTGCCTTGCATGCCACATGCCCTGGTTCAATTCCTGGCACCACCATGTGGTTCCCCAAGCACCCCCAAAAATGATCCCTGAGTACAGAGCCAGGAACTTCCATGTCTGGCCAAAATCGCCAGGTGGGGGGAAGGGGAGACGGACATACATAAAAGCCAGGATGGCATTTTAATTTGGGGGAGGGGACGACTACTTACAGCAATATTCTGGCGTTCCTCCTGGCTCTGAACTCAAGAGTTACTCCTGGGCAGTGTTCGGGGGACCATATGGGGTGCCAGGGATTGAACCTGGGTTGGCAGTGTGCGAGGCAAGTGCCCCAATGCTATACTATCTTTCCAGACACAGCCTTGGTTTCTGTGGGGAGGATATTCCTGGTTCTGTGCTCAGGTGTGGCCCCTGGCAGTGTCCGAGGGACTATTTGTGGTGGCAGGGATTCAGCTGGAATCTGCTGCATGGAAGACAAGCGCCTTAGCCCCTATACTGTCTGATAGATGGTATTTCTTGTTACTTTTGCTTTTTTGTTTGAGAGGGGGTCACACCCGGTGATGTTCATGTGTTACTCCTGGCTCTGCACTCAGGAATCATTCCTGGCGGTGCTCAGGAGACCACATGGGATGCTGGGGATCAAACCCAGGTCGACCACATGCAGGCAAGTGCATTACTTGTGGTACTATTACTCCGGCTCCAGATGGCATTTCTTGGAAGTCTCTAATAAGTCACATGCTGGTTTTTGTGGGGTCCACACATGCAGCAGTATTCAGGAGCCAACATGCTGAGGATGAACCGGTTTACAAACACCGTGCTCCAGCCCTTCCTTCGGAGTTTCTCCCTGAGCCCTACCAGGACCTTTTACAACCCTTTCCTCCCAAAACTGAGCCGCGTTCCTCCCCCACCCCATTCTTCCCTCCTCTGCACTGAAATCAGGGTTGGGAGACCCATCAGAAACATTACCGATAGGGGCTGGAGTAATAGCACAGCGGGTAGGGTGTTTTGCTTTGCACGTGGCCAACCCGAGTTTGATTCCCAGAATCCCATATGGTTCCCTGAGCACCGCCAGAAGTAATTCCTGAGTGCATGAACCAGGAAGAACCCCTGTGCATAGCTGGGTGTGATCCAAAAAACAAAAAAAAAAAAAAAAAAAAAAAAAAAGAAAGAAAGAAACATCACTGATAATGATGACATTCCTAGGGGCTTGACAGTACAGCTGGGAGGGTGTTTTCTTTGCTAGACACAGCACACCCAGGTTCAATCCCCAGCATCTCATATATTTCCCAGAGCAGCGCCAGGAGTAATTTCTGTGTGCAGAGCCAGGAGGCACCCCTGCTGGGTGTGACCCAAAAAGACCAAAAAATTAAATATAAATCAAATGAAATAATATTCCTGGTGACATTAAATGAAATAGGGTGGGAGCAACGGCACAGCAGGGAGGGCATTTGTCTTGCATGCTGCCAACCCAGGGTCAATCCCCGGCATCCCAGATGGTCCCCCGAGCACTGCCAGGAGTAATTCCTGAGTGCAGAGCCAGGAGTAAGCCCTGAGTATCTCCGGGTTGGCCGCAAACCGAACCAAATAAAGACAATGAAGCTCCCACGAAGCAGATCTCTGTGATTTAGCGGTTTGCTCACTGGGAACCAAAAATATGCAGGGTGAGGATGGCCAGCCGGGCACTTGGTTTGAATGCAGGAGACTCCATTTTTTTTGTGGGGGCTCACACCTCACACCCGGCGACGCACAGGGGTTACTCGGGGCTCATGCACTCAGGAATTACTCCTGGCGGTGCTCAGGGGACCATATGGGATGCTGGAAATCGAACCCGGGTTGGCCGCGTGCAAGGCAAACGCCCTACCCGCTGTGCTATCGCTCCAGTCCTAAGACTCCATTTTGATCCCAGGCAACACATATGGTCCTCTGTTGGATATTAACCCTAAGTGTTTTAGGCCTCATCAGTGAATTGCCCCTCAGAGGAGTTTACAGTGCTCTTAGGAACACCCCTCCTAAACCTGAGTTTATCTTTAACTTTCTTTTGTGTTAGTCACTAGATTCCCCAAGTCAGGGTTGGTTACTTATAAGTCAAACCTTCTGATGACTCTGGACTTTGTATTTGTAATGAATTACTTGATTTTCCATTTCCCTTATAACCTTTTCGTATTTTACTATAGAGCAGTGTTCTCGGCTTAAACACAGAAAGGCCATTAATGCTGTGCTCTTAAGATATGGGAGTTGATTGACTCTGAAATATAACCATGCCTGAGCATCCGTCATAATTACTTGACTCAGGCTTCGGTTGTCGTAGTTCCTAACACCCCAAAAAGAGGCAGCAAAGCTACGCTGGCATTGAACTGGTACATTCTAGAAAGCATAGAAGCACAGTCTTGATGCAAGCTGTTATGACTTAAGAAAGAAGACCCCATGGGGTAAAGGAAAAGTTAAACCTGCCTGAGGATTTTTTTTTTTTTTGCTTTTTAGGTCACACCCGGCAATGCACAGGGGTTACTCCTGGCTCTGCACTCAGGAGTTACTCCTGGCAGTGCTCAGGGGACCATACGGGATGCTGGGAATTGAACCCGGGTCCGCCGCGTGCAAGGCAAACGCCCTACCCGCTGTGCTATCTCTCCAGCTCCCCTGTCTGAGGATTTTACAGTAAAAGTCTTGCTTGCCCTCAGAGTCCAGAGAACTACGTTTTGGAATCTACGTCTCTTACTGTGTATATCCAAATAACTGCAAGTATTAATAAGTGTTATTATTTAATATGTACTAGCAGCAAGGGAAAGAGAAAAGCAATATAGATGCCCCAGGGAGACAGAGTATCTCCTGAGTTAATCCCCCGGAGAGAACTGCCTCCATTGAAACACTTTACATCTGTAAATGATCACTCACACCTACCTGCAGCCCTGTCTCTCAAACCCCCTCAGAAGTTCAATGATTAGTATGCCGAGAGCTCTGCAGTAGGCGGGCGGTTTGGACCACCATCTGTGGGATGGTCCTCGTCTCTCTGTGCCTCTCTTGGAGAAGCCTAGAAGTGGCTCAGCCACTGAACGCCCAGCGCACCTGAACTCACAGTCCCCCGCCACGGTCAGCAGTGCTCTCTGAGCACAGAGCCAGGAGTAAACCCTGAGCACTTCCAGGGATGACCCAAAGAATAAACAAACAAAAATAGTTAAGAGGGTGGCCAGAGGGACAGTCCAGCGGGCAGGGCACTTGCCTCACATGTGACTGACCTGGGATTGATCCCCATTATCCCATATAGTCCCCTGAGCCCACCAAGAGTAATTCTTTCATTTATTTAGTTATTTTTGCTTTTTGGGTCATACCGAGCATTGCACAGAGGTTACTCCTGGCTCATGCACTCAGGAATTACTCCTGGCAGTGCTCGGGGGACCATATGGGATGCTGGGAATCAAACCCGGGTCGGCCACGTGCAAGGCAAACAACCTACCTGCTGTGCTATCACTGCAGTCCCCAAGAGTAATTCTTGAGCACAGAGCCAAGAGTAACCCCTGAACAGAGCTCAAGGTCCCCCCCCCATATACATGTGAAATACTTATTTTTAAAAAGTTATGAGGTCAGAGTGATAGTATAGTGGGTAAGGCACTTATCTTGCAGCCAGGCTTGCTTTCCGGCTTATGGTTCCCAGAGCCCCACCAGGAGTGTTCCCTTGAGCACAGAGCCAGGAGAAAGCCCTGGGGACCACTGGGTGTGGCCCAAAAACCAAAGTAAATAAATCAATGAATAATACTTAGAGGGAGGGGCTGGGGGCAGAGTACAGAGGGGAGGGCACTTACCTTGCATGTTGCTAACCCAGATTCAACCCCTGGCCCCCAAGAGGCCCCCTGATCCCCACCAGGAGATCAATGAGCACAGAGCGAGGATAAACTCTGGGCACTACTGGGTATGGCTCAGAAACAAAAGAAGTTGAGTAAAGCTTTATTTATTTAATTTTGTTTTTTTTTTTTTGGGGGGGGTCACACAGTGGTGTTCAGGGCTGATTCCAGACTCTGTGCTCCGAGATCACTCTTGGTGGGCTTGGAGTACCATAAGGGGCACTAGGGATGGAACCCAGGTTGGCCGTGTATGAGGCAAACACCCTCCCTGTTGTATTATCTCTCCGGCCCCAGAAGTTGGGGAGAATATTTTAGTGATGGGGAGTCTCCCCAGGAACTTAACTCTAGTTTACCTTAGTTATCCCTGAAAACCTTGGCTTTGGTTGATGCCCCTTCACTAATAGACTTCAAGTACCAGGGGCTGGAGCGGAAGTGGATAAGAGGGTAGGGTGTTTCATTTGCCTTGCATGCGGCCAACCCAGGTTTCATTCCCTGCATCCCAGAAGGACCCCGAGCACTGCCAGGAGTGATTCCTGAGCGCAGAGCCAGGAGCAACCTGGCTGACGCCAAGATTTCACTGATTCTTAGGAAAGGGGAGGGAACTGGATGAATATGGATTTTTTTTGCGGGGCGTGCTACATCTGGAGGGGCTTGGGGCACCCTATAGGGTGCCAGGGATCAAACCCAGGCTGTCTGCTGTACTTATCTCCAGTCTAAGGCCAGTCTAGGACAAAAAAAAACCTTGTAAAATAAAAATACTCACTTGGGCCAGACATAGGGCTCACAGGACTTGAGTACATGCTTTGTATGCGGGAGGCCTGGGTTCAGTGTCCCACAGCATGGGCTCCTGAGCACTGGGCCGGGAGCAGCCCCCAAGCGCCTGCAGGTGTGGGTGCCCTCCCGCAAGCACCCACTCCGGGCGTTCCCAGCATCACAACGAAGCCCCAGCCTGACAACCGGGGTCGGTGCTTTCTTCCCCATCCTCCCTCCGCCCTCACTGGCCGCTCAGCATCCTCACAGGCAGCCTGACCCGTCCAAAGTTCGCCCCCTTGCTCGCCAAGGCCTCGGGGTGACTGTCTCTAGCCTTCTACAGACAAAAGGGGCAAGAAGAAGCCAGCTAGGGAGGAAACGTGTTCCGCGCCTCCTCTCTGGGTCCCGAGGCTTCTGCTCCTGTAATTTCCTTTCTGTCCACCAGGTGGCAGAAGCTCCGTGGTGTGAATGTGAGCGAGGGAGGCGGGGAGCTGGAGGTGTGCGTGGGGGTGGGGGGCGTGTCTGGTCTGGACTGCTGATGTGGTTTTTTTGTTTGTTTTTTTTGCTTTTTGTCTTTTTGGGTCACATTCGGCAATGCTCAAGGGTTACTCTTGGCTCTGCACTCAGGAATCACTCCCGGTAGTGATCAGGGGACCTTATGGGCTGCCGGGGATCGAACCCGGGTCGGTGCATGCAAGGCAAATGCCCTACCCGCTGTACTATCACTCCCACATACAGATCTGGGTTCAATTCCCGGCTCGAGCCACGGCCGACAGCATGGTTTGGGGGTATGTGGGCCGAGCCTCATTTTCCCCTATTTGTGACATGGGGGCAATAATGCTTAATGCATATATCTGTGACCAGAGGCTGGAGGGACAGTGCAGGGAGAAAGGCGCTGGCCTTGCAGGAGGGTGACCCCACACCCAGCACCATACTTCAAGGTTTGGGCCCCAAAGCAAAAGAAGTCAATAGAACTCGTGTCCTTGATGTAGTGGGGGCCCCCGGAAGCTGTGGGCTGGACTCAGGAGCACTGTTACCCCTGGCTCGGGGGCTTTCTTTGCTGCTGCTATTCTGCGGGGGGTTGGGGGTGGCTGGGGCTGAGCCCCCTAGAAAGTGCAGGCCCTGCCCCGCTCAGCTCTCACCTGGGCTCGCAGCTGTTCCTCCTGCTGCGTGGAGAACTCCGTGCGGCAGTGCGGGGGTACTTCCATGGTTGCCACGAGCTCCCTGATCCTCTCCTGCAGTGCCGCACACTCCTCGGCCGTCAGGAACCCCTCCAGCACCAGGAAGCCGTCATCCCGGAACTGTAGGCAGGAGGGAGGCTTAGGGGTCCCCTCCACACACTGTCTGAGCAACAGGGGGGCAGGCCTGTGCACGGCTGCCCTCCGTGGTGCGTGTGGGGGCACTCAGAGGGATGCCCCCATTGTTCTTCCTCTCCCAGGGCCCCTGCAGGCCCTCTGGGTCTTCATTCACATTAACACAACTGGAAGGGGAGCCCGAGGCATCGAGCACAATGCAGGAGGTTGGGGTTCTGACCCCAGGATCACATGGTTCCCCCAGCACCGTGGGGAAAACTCTGGACCCAGGTGCCCAGAGTAGGCCTCCCCACACCACTAACATAGGTGTGGTGAGGGACTGGCGCTCTCGGGGCACGGAGAGCCGGCAGAGCAGGGACTGGCCTGGCAGGAGCTGGGTTTGGCTCTGAGCCGGGAGGGCCGGGTCACCAGGCGGGTTCAGGCACAGGCTTAGTGGGAAGTGCCTCTCTCTGAAGCCGCAGATCCGGGAGGCTGGAGAGGGTGTGCTTCCCAGCAGATTAGAAGAGCTCTCTCTCTCCCTCGTTGGTGACTTCCCTGCGGTGCCTTGGGTCCAGCCCACGGCCTCACACCTGTGGGTCCAGCCACACCCTGGCCCTGAACTGCTGACTCAGCGCTGACTTCTGGCCGTGCTGGAATTGGGCATGATTCCCGCCCCAAAACTCTCCATCTTAGCAGGTACATCAGAGGCTGCTCTTGAAGTGACTCTGCAGGACCTGAGGACTGACCCTCCCCAGGCCCCCACAGGGGGCTGTGGAACATTCAAACACCCTCCCCTACCCTGGGGTTCTGCCACACTTGGCAGCCCTGCGTGTTAGCACCCCCAGATCCAGCCAGATCCTGCCAGGACTTCCCTGCAGAAAAGCAAAGCCAAGGGAAGAAACTGGGAAGAGCTGAGAGCTGCTACAAGCCCCAGGTGAATTTCAAACCCCACTGTGGGGGCGGAACCACGGAGGAGGGGGCGTGGCTGCGGGTAACGGGAGACTGCTATGGTGGGGCGGGGCCAACGCTGATAAGGGGGTGTGGTTTAGGGTTCAAGCGAATTTATGGATGGGCAGAGCCAATGCTAAACAAGGGCGTGGCTTAGGGCTCATGCAGCTTGTTGGGGATGAGGCGGAGCCAATACTAGTGGCTTAGGACTCATGCAGACTATTAGGGATGGGGCGGAGCCAATACTAAAGAGGGCGTGGCCTAGGCTCATGCAGATTGTTGGGGATGGGGCGGAGCCAATACTAAAGAGGGGCGTGGCTTAGGGTTCATGCAGATTAACGGGGATAGGGCGGAGCCAATACCGAAGAGGGGCGTGGCTTAGGGCTCAGAGAGACTGATGAGGATGGGGCGGGGCCAATGCTGAGAAGGGGCGTGGCTGCAGAGCCCGAGAGGACTTGATGCGGGAACTTTGCATTGACTTTTTTTTCCCTCCCTTTGGTTTTGGGGCCACCACCGGTGTTGCTCAGGGGTGACTCCTGGCTCTTGCGCTCAAGGATCATTCTGGTGGGCTTGAGATCCCTATAGAAATGCCGGATGTTGAACCTGCGTTAGTCTCGGTGCAAGGCCAGCACCCTCCCCACTGCGCAATTGCTCCAGCCCCTGCATTGATTATTTTTGGGTTTGGGGCCACACTCAGCAGTGCTCAGTAGTGACCAGATCAGCTGCTCAGGAGCTGCCTCTCGGGGGCAGGGCAGGGCTCCAGTCCCCTAGAGCTGCTTCTCAGGCCCTAACCGGCGTTCTAGGGTGGCTCAGAGCTCAGGGGACGCTGCAGTGCCTGGGATGGAACCTGGGTAACCTCCCGTTGTCTCCTGCACACAGAAACATGGTGTCCAGCCCTCTGAGCCGGCAGGGACCTTTTAAGGATCCAGGGCTGCACATTAATAGCAATATTTACATATTCTCTAAGCTCATCTGCGTTTTCTTTTTGCATTTTGAGCCAGTCCGTGCTGTTCCAGACTTAATTCCTGGCGGGCTCGGGGAACCCTCAGGAATGCGGGGGATCGGACCAGGGTGAGCTGTGTGTGTTATCTCTCAGCACTCTTCGGCCTGTTTCTCTTGCCATGGGGACAAATACCAGGCCTGCTTTTAATTCCCACGGGTTAGCCTCTTCTGCGGGAAAGCAGGCGGAATGCAGACCTGGATCCGGCTTCTAGGCACTGGGGCCGTCTGACCTCATTGGCCCGGTTCTCCCGGGATCCGCCCCCTTGCAGGGCCTGGGCTGGGGCCAGGCAAGGCCTGGAGGATCCTGGGGTGGGGGAGAGGGGTGTCGCACACTCGTACCCACCCCACCTCAGCTTTGGTCAGTGGCCTGGACACTCCAAGACTAGGGTGCAAAAGTTGGGGGGTGGTGGATTTGAAACCCTCAGGGCTCTGTCCCTAAAGATTCCCCCTTCCGCAACCCAGGGTGCGTTGTTTGCGGGCCTGCAGCTGGGGTGAGGGGGTCCCACTCTCCCTGGCGCTCCCCCCACCCCCGCCCTTGCCAACCCCTACCTTCTGCAGCTGCGAGGGGCTCAGGCTGGCCATGAGGACCTCCCGGGTGCGTGCGGCGGGCACAGGATAATCTGTGCCGTACTCTGGGTCAGAGGAGAAAGTTCAGAGGAAAAGGCTGGAGGCTTAACCCGGCCCAGGTCAGAGGAAACCCAGGCCCAGCCCCCAAGCACTCTGGAGGCCAGCCTGGCCCCCTGCCTGCGCCGGCCCCCTGGGGCTCCCTCACTGAACGCTGCCCAGCCCCCTCCCTGGCGGCATCTTGCCCCCTGCCCTCGCCCCTGCATCAGGGCTCATCCCCAGCCTGGTTTCTCCTGCCTGCTCCCTCCTAGTTTGAAACGTCCTGAACCTTCTGCGCTGCCTCTCCCAGGAGCCCGGAGGTGAACTGTGCGCCGAACCCCGGGAGCCAGATGACCACTCCGCCCTCTGCAGACAGGGGAGTCCTGAGGCCACCATTCCAATGTCGTGGGTGGGGGCTGGAGTGATAGCACAGCGGGTAGGGTGTTTGCCTTGCATGCTGCCCGACCCGGGTTCGATTCCCAGCATCCCTTATGGTCCCCCGAGCACGGCCAGGAGTAATTCCTGAGTGCATGAACCAGGAGTAACCCCTATGCATCGCTGAGTGTGACCCAAAAAGCAAAAATAAAAAAAACAATGTCGTGTGGGGGTGGGATGGGATGAGGAGGGGGGGGAGGGAGGGCAGTCAGGTCCGTGCCCCTCCTGACTTGGATCTTGATCATCCGGGGCCCAGGGAAGATTCTGGAAGGGTGTTGCATTAGCCCTCAGCTCCCAGCAAGCAAGATGAGGAGCAGATGAGGCCTGAGAGCCGGGCCGAGGGGCACCCTGGTCCTGGGGGGAGGGGCGCGCCTCCTTTCCGCCTGCAGGCCGCCGGGCAGCAGCTCTGGTCAGGCGGCCCCGTGGACCTTGGCACAGCAAACCGCCACCCCCTCCTGCCAGTGAAGCAGCTGACCGTCCTGGCGACAGCTTCTGAATGCCAGCCACTGGCCTTCCCTGAAATGACGCTTTCTGAATGGCCAAGGGACAGAGTGTCTCGGCCGCAGGGGCGGGACCCAGCTCAGACCTAGGGACCTGGCCCCGGGTCAAATCCTGTTTTCTGGGCCACCAAATTGAGAATGTGGGGAGCAGCCCCGGGGTGCCTGAGGAAGGAGGAAGAGGATGGCGGGAGGACGGAAGAGGTGGGCAGTAGGCGGTCAGCTATGCCGGCCCCTTCTGATGTTAGCAGGCACGCAGGCCCCAGGTCAGCTCCCCTCACTAGGGCCCAGCCGGGACCCCCAGTGCGCAGACAGCGGTGGTCAGGCTTTGCTTCCCCCACCAGTGACTGGGGCGCCCAGGAGGAGGCGGGAGATGAACTCGTCGTCCCGGGGCCAGGAAGGGGCCTTGAGGATCAGCGTGAGTCACAGGCCTCCGCAAGAGCTGTTCAGATGGTTCCATGCGGGATGGAGGCAGTTTTTGTTTGTTTGTTTTGGGGCCACACCCGAGGGGCCCTGGAGAGGATCAGGAGGGGCTCGAACCCTGGCTGGCCACTTGCTAGGCACCCCCACCTCCCCGCTGTGCTATCGCTCTGGCTCCCTGACACTTTTTGTTTTCTTTTCTGGACTTCCTTCAATTTTCCAAGAGCAAAGCCCACCTCTGCGGTTTTCAAGCGGCTTGGGGGGTGGGGGGGGAGGGCTGGGCCCTGTACAATTTCTTCATTCATTCCACACACACAGGCTTGGGGCAGTGGGCGGGCGGTATTTCCACACTGTTGTTTTTTCCAGAAGCTTAACCAGCTCCAGATCAAACCCTCCCACTTCCAGGGCTGGGGGTGGGGGCCGGGAGGGGCGGGCCCAGGAGAGGTGAGGAGGGGACAATCAAGGGGGGGGGGAGAGGGGGGGAGGAGAGGGGGATGACAAACCTCCCAGCCAGGTCATGGAACCCAGGGAGGGGGAGGGAGGGAACCCAGTGACTCAGTGCACGGATCAGAGTGGGGGGGGGGGAGGAAGGCCAGGTCTGTGCACATGCAGGTGTGCAAACCACTGTCCCTCGGGCTCCCGGCTGGGGCCACGGCCAGTCCTGTGGACAAGCCCCCACCCCGCAGTCTGAAAGACCTGGGGCTGCCCCCCCTCCCCCGCCGCCGTCTGAGTAACCAGCATGACTAAGTCCCAGGGCCACATCAAAGGCCAGGCAGGGCCCGCCAGGAGGGCAGCTGAGTCTGAGCCTGTTCTTGACCCCGGCCCCTGTGGTAGGTTTTGGGCTCAGCTCAGCCCTCAGGGCCCAGGGCTCTGCTCTGCATAGGAGTGCAGGTGCCCACGGCACAGACCGGGTGGCGGGGGTGGGGGGTGGCGGCCTGCAGAGGGAACGGGGTGGGGGACGCTGCAGGCTCAGCACACGGGTGGGGGGGGCACATCAGGCAGAAGACACGGCGACAGCAAGACCCCGGCGGACGCTGCTTTCTCGGATACGTTTATTTGCGATCTGAGCCGAGTCCCCCGGGAGCAGAGCCCCAGGGAACTACGCACTGCTTCGTGGGTGCTGGGCGCCAATGTGCACGAGTTCTGAGGGGCCACGTCCCAGGACACGAGGCAGGAAACACAAATGGACGACGGGGGGCGGAGGGGGACACAATCATCGAGACCAGAGACGCTAAAACGTGCCTTAGTGTCCGAGTGATCGTCTCCGGCGGGGGACCCTCCCCCGGAGATGGATCTAACAGGAGTGGCTTCCCGCTACGGCGCCGGGACACTGTGGGAGCCCCCGGCACCTGGACAGGAAGTGGGGGCCACAGGACAGGACGGAGCGGGGGAGGCAGGGGGGGCTGCTGGTGGCCCTGGCAGAGTCCGGGCGGAATGCGCGGAGGGAAAGCGGTTGGCCCCGCTCCTTAACACTGGACAATGGGGGGGGGCCTCCCCACCCCCCTCCCCTCCGGGCTCCCCTGGCCAGCAGCCACAGAAGTGAGCACCCGCCAAGACGTGGGGGAGAACGAAAAACAAGACGCCCCAAAAGGAAAGGTGGCAGAGGACCGAGACCCCCGAAAGCATCCCCTGGCCCCGGGCCGAGGCAGCCGGGTCCCCCTTGCTGGCCTTCAGTGTCCCTTTTTATTTTTTTTGTGAAGTTTTATTTCCGTTTAATACCCAAACCATTGCTTTTTGAAGCTTTTTTTTTCTTAAAAAAAAAATTTGGTTTCTGTGTTTTCTTTTTCACTAGAAAAGAAAAAGGATCTAAAACGGATGCAGTAGAAGCCGCAGCTGGGCCTGGCCACCGGGCGGGCTGCTGCCCGGGGCCTGAGCCCAGCCTGGCACCCGGGGGTCCCCGACCCACAGCTGGCGCCCGGGGGTGGGGGCGGGGGTGGGGGGTCGCGGCCCAGAATCCCGGCGGCTCCCCAGCCCCCGACTTCCTTGGGAATGTCGAAGCTCCCCGCAGGAGGGGCGAGAGCGCAGGGATCCCGGGTCCCTGGCGCCGGTTCGGCCCCCGCCGGGGGGCCTTGATTGTCAGTCTGGACACGGGGGCTCCGAGGAGGGCGGCGAGGGCGGGGGTCTCCCGACAGCGCCGGGCCGGGGGCGAGTCCCGGGAGCGAGGGGCCAGCCCCTCGGCGGGGCGGGCGGGCGCGGCGGGGCTCAGGCCTGCTCCTTGTCGGCCTTCCAGAGCCGCTCCTTCACCTCGGGGGGCAGCGTGGCCAGCAGGTCCTCCTCCACCACCAGGCCGCTGCGCCGCAGCAGCGGGCACTCGCCCAGCTCCACGGGCAGGCACTCGAGCCGGTTGCCGCGCAGCTCGATCTGGCTCAGGCTGGTCAGCTCGCCCACGCGCGACGGCAGCGACTGCAGCACGTTGTTGCCCAGGTGCAGCGTCCGCAGCTTCCGGCACTGGAAGAGCTCGGGGGGCAGCGCCTCGATCTGCGGGGGCAAGGAGGGCGCGCGTGAGCCCGGGAGAACGGAGGCGGAGGCGACAGAGGCCGGGCGGACAAGGGACTGGACCCCCCCCCAGGTTGCCTCCTCCAGGCAGCCCTCCGGGACCAACTTCCACAGCACTGGCCTCTCTGCAGCGAATGGCACCGCCCCTCTGCCCCCAGGACGGGCCCCTGACCCAAGGCAGAGCAGCAGGGAAGCTTCTAGAGCTGGGCAGGCCGTGCTCACGGCAGCAGCTCCTGCCAGGGCCTCCAGGTCCTCGGTCAGGGAAGGGGACACGTCACACGGGAAAGCGGCCCTGGCAGGGCCTCGGGAAAGGCCCCTCACACAGTCACCGGGCCGCCCGGAGAGCCGGTCCCCACATCCAACCCAGCCCACGGGGGCAGCACCCCCAAAGGGCGGGATGGGGCGGGGCAGGACAGGACAGGACAGGTCGAGGCAGGACAGGGGCCCTGGGGACAGGAAGCTCCCTGGGCCCTGCCCATCCTCAGGGGAAAGTCCAGTTCCCGGGGCTGCTGCCAGCCCTGCCCCCTTCCTTCCTGGCCCACAGAACCCACTTCTCTCCCCGAGGCTGGCTCAGGGGTGGCGCCCCAAGGCACCGCTGGGGCGAGACAGCAGGGTGGGGTGGGGGTGGCGTCAGGAGAGCCAGAGGCCGCCAAGAGGGGGTACGGGTGGCAGGCCAGCAGCATCAAGGTCCTGAGCTTGAAGCCCAGGGCAGCCAAGAGGGTCACGCCCAGCCCGAGTCCACCCGGAGGCTCCCGGCCAGGCCACACCCAGGACACAGAAGCCACCAGCTTCCACCAGCGGGAGGGAGAAGGAAGGGGAGGGGGGGGGTGGTCCGTGTGGAAGGAGGAGCCTGGGGAGCCCATCCCGGCTGCTTTTTTTCCCTAAAAAGGCTCCGGGTGCCGCGGGGTGGGGCAGGATGTGATGAAGGAGCACCTCAGCGGGGAGGCCAAGGGACCCTTCCCGGGACAGCCGCCAGCCCCTTCCTGTGCGTGACATCAGCAGACAGGCATGGTCTCGACCGCCGGCTGGCAGGCACGGGGGCGTGAGCAGCTGGGGCGGGCGACCAGGCCCAGGCAGGAGGGGCACAGGCCGGGCTGGCCACACCCAGCCTTCCCAGGAGCCACGTGGAGGTCCCCAGGACTCAGGGAGGGCGGCTCCAGGCCCTGGGGAGGGGCAGTCCCAGGGTGGCCAGGGAACCTACAGGGTACCCAGGGGATGGCCATGCTCTGGGCCCAGAGAGGGACAGCGGAGGGTCAAGCCCCACCCCCTCACTGCTAGTCTCCCCCGGGGGGGAAAAAAATAAAACAGGCTCCCCAGACCCGAGCAGGAGTGAGGCGGGGAGGACACGTGCCCTGCACGCAGCCGACTCGGGATCGATCCTCGACACCCCGTAGGTGTGCCAAGGCCCACCAGGAGGACTGATTTTTGAGCACAGAGCCAGGCGTCGGCCAGAAGTGGCCCCCAAAGAGCGGGAAAAAAAAAAAAGAAAGATGTGCTGAGGTCGGAGCCACAGCCCAGCAGGCCGGGTTCGATTCTCGGCATCCCACAATCCCCGAGCCCCACCCGGAGTCGTCATCCCTGAGTGCAGAGCCACGAGTCTGCACTCCTGGGGGCCTCCCCCCACCTCCCCCACCCCCGGAAAAAACCCTCCACGCCCGCAGGGGGTGGGGTCTGGGCTTCCTCCCGGGAACTGCAGAGCAGCCAGACCACCTGGCCGCGGGCGCCCCCTCCCGGCAGCACCGCGCCTGTCCCCAAAGGGCTCTGGGCGGGGCTTCCTCGGCACCGGAAGGGGTGATCCCTGGGGGGGAGGGGAGGAGCCCACCCACCGTACCCGGGGTGTCGCCTCAGAAGCAGGTGGCACCAAGCCGCCCCCCCCCCCCGTGCGGGCCCCCTAAGACCCCAGCCTGGCGGGAGCCGGCGGGGCTCAGCAGCGGCCGGTGGTCCTCACCCGGTTGGCCGTGACGGCCAGGTTCTGGAGGTTCTGCAGCAGGCCGATGTCGGCGGGCAGGAAGGTCAGGTTGTTGTGGCTGAGGTCCAGGTGGCGCAGCTTGCGGCAGTAGAAGAGCTGCGTGGGGACCTTCTCGATCTTGTTGCGGTTCAGGTAGAGGCGCTCGAGGTTGGTGAGGTTGCCGATCTGCACGGGGATGTAGGCGATGTGGTTGTACCAGAGCTTAAGGCAGGTGAGGCGGTGCAGGTGCTGGAAGCTGATGATCTCCTCGATGGTCTTGAGGTTGTTGTCCTTGAGGTCGATCTCCTGCAGGTTGTGCAGGCTGAAGATGGAGTGCGGGATGCGCTCCAGGTCGCAGCGGAGCAGCTCCAGCTCCGTCAGGTTCACCATCTTCTTGAGGCTGTTGAGCACGATGAGCTTGGTGCCCTCGTTGTTGATGGAGAGCTTCTGCAGGTGCACGCCCACGTCCGTCACCACCTGCGGCAGCTTGCTCAGGTTGCTCTTCAGCCGCAGCACCTTGAGGCGCTTGAGCTCGCGCAGCCCGTCGATGACGATGTAGCGGTTGTTCTCGGCGCTCAGGTTGCCCGTCAGGTGCAGCTCCTCGAGCGTCTTGAGGCTGTAGATCCACAGCGGGATCTCCTTGATGTCCGTGAACTTGATGTGCAGGGCCCGCAGGTTCTCGCGCAGGAAGGCCAGCGCGGGCGCCTCGATCTTGGCCGCCGTGTGGTAGAGCCACAGCTCCTGCAGGCCCGTGAGCTGCGCGATGCTGGGCGGGATAGTCACGTCCGGGATGAGCTCCAGCTTGAGGACCTCCAGCTCGCCCAGGTCGAACACGGTGTCCGGGATGCCGCTGAGCATGAACAGGTGCAGCTCCAGCTTGTCCTGCGCGTTCTTGGTCAGCCGCTGGCGCAGCTTGTCCAGCGTCCACTCGTTGTTGAGGTTCAGCTGCCGCAGCTTGTTCTCGCTCACCTCCGACAGGAAGACGGCGAAGCGCTTGGAGTAGAGCGGGTCGTACTGGTCGATGAGGTGCAGCATGAAGGCGAAGTCGTTCTTCACGTCGGGGATGTCGCTGTAGCTGCTCTCCTCGCGGATGGACTCGAACGAGTACTTCTTGAGCGAGCGGCGCAGCATCCAGCCCAGCGTGTACATGCAGATGAGGCCGTAGAAGATGACCAGGCTGATGTAGAAGGACGCCAGGATCTTGAAGAGCGTGGCCAGCGGGTGGGCGCAGCGGTAGGTGCGGTAGCCCGTCAGGCTCTCGATGTCCACCGTGCAGTCCACGTCGAACTTGATGTTGTGCACGTAGTAGACGGTGTAGCAGATGATGAGGATGAACTTGACCACCTTGATGATGGTCTGGCGCATGTAGAGCCGGTACACGATGTCGCCCTCCTCCACGTGCGTGCGGAACTTCTTCACCTTCTCGAAGAGCGCCTTGGCCTGCTCGCCCTCCTTCTTGTCCAGCACGCCCGTCTCCGAGCGGTCCACGATGCCCTGCTCCAGGCGGGACTTGGTCCGCTGCAGCATGGGCACGGTGGCCTCCACGTCCTCGCTGACCGTCGACGCCTTCTTGTCCACAGAGCCGTTCATCTTGCTGAAGGCCGGCTTGGGGTCGCTCTCCTCCACCACCGTCTCTGACAGGGCCCGCGTGGTCCAGGGCGAGTCGAAGCACTTGAGCAGGATGGACACGAAGTGCTCCAGCTTCGAGCTGGTGCGCGGGAACTTGAACCAGAAGTTGCTGCAGGCCAGGAAGATGAGGGTGTGCAGTAGCACCAGGTAGGGGAAGTACTTGGCGAACCAGTGCAGGCGGTTCTCGTAGCACACGGCGTCCACGTAGTTGTACTGGTGCCGGTCCAGGTCGTACTTGATGCCCGTGGGGCCGGCGTCGGGGCCGCTCAGGAGGCTGGCGTTGAAGTAGGCGTGCTCGGGCGCCGCCCAGCCGCGGAAGGAGTCGTTGCAGGCATCCCGGGTGACCCACTTACAGGGCAGGCAGATCATCTTGTCCTGCGTCACCTGCAGCGTGCCCCCGAACACGGCGATCATCAGCATGACGATGGAGATGTAGTCGGTGAACACGTCCCACCACGGCTTGAGGATGCGGTAGGCCGGCTGCGTGTCCGCAAAGTAGCGGAGCTCCGTCACCGGAATCATGGCTCCTCCTGGAAGGGACGCACAGGGGCGGTCACTGCCGGGCCTCGCCGCGGCCTGGAGGTCGTCCCCGCGCGTGGGGACCGCGTTGGGGGAGGCTCATGCCGGCCCGGGCGCTCGCTGCCCACGCTCTGCTCGCCAGGGGCCCTGCGTGGCTGTGGGGCAGAACCCGCGACCTGCCAGATGGGGCTGGGGCCGCGGCAACCCCGAGGGAAGGGACGCTCCATCCCGAGTTCCCAGATTCCCCCAGGGAAGCAGGCACACTGGGCAGGAGCAGGTGGGCAGCAGGAAACACAGCCAGGGCCAGCCGGCCCGCAGATGCTCATGCAGGACGTGGCCTTACCCCACGGGGCCCCGAACCAGAGCCCACAACATAAGCGGCCCATGAAGATGCCCCGTCAGCGGGCAGGGACCCTGGCGAGGGGATGGGGAGGGGAAGAAGCCGGGGGCCGGTGGCCTGGGCTGCAGGGGCTGAGAGGCCGCGTTTGAAGCCAGTTCCGTCTGGCCCTTTGCCCTTCCTGACTCCTGGACCGCAGAGCCAACAACGGTGTTTGACAGGTAGGCCTCTCGGCCTCCTGATGGTCCAGGGTGCTGACAGGGAAACTGAGGCCGCAGTGGGAGCCTTCCACCCACAGCCTCACGAGGGCCACAGGAAGGGAACGGAGTCTGGGGGGTCCCACTGCCTCGCACCTGCAGTCGGCGGCGCTCAGGTCACCGGGGGGCCAGTTGACGCCGCTTATCCTGGCCAGCGACGGCAGCCCAGGCCTGGCCCTCGGGGTGAGGCGGGCTTCCACGCCAGGGCAAGTGCCCGTCCCACAGGAAGGCCTGGGCCCGCTAATGACCAGCTGCTCCCCACCCCACCCACACTCCTGGAAAGTGCCACCAGGGGTGGGGTTGGGGGTAATCTGGCCGGGTCCCACGGCCTGTGTCCAGCTGACACCTGGACGGGGTTCGCTCCCCTCCGGCTCCCTGAGTTCACGTCCAGATGGACACCCAAAGAGGGTGGAGACAGCAGCCCAGCTCAGGAGAGGCGGGGCGGGCTGCCAGGAGGAGGCGGCGGCCACCAAGCAGGAAGTGGTGGCTCAGGCAGGGCAGGGCGTGTCCAGGGGGAAACACCCGCCCCCAGCCGGGCCTTCCAGCTGCTCCCGCCCAGCGCCCGGCCCAGGACAGTTATGGGGAGGTTCCTGGGGTTCCAGGGGTTCCTGTCCCTGGGTGTGACCAGGACAACTGGGCTTATGCCTGGAAGCACCTTCCAGCCATGCGGGCAGGGCTCGCGGGTCCCTCCGGCTCTGCACAATTCTGACACTCCCCCCCCCCCCCCCCCGTGGAATCTCTGCTTCTATTTTTATTTTTGGCTTTGGGGGCCACACCTGGCAGTGCTCAGGCCCTCCGCCTGGCTCTGCACTCGGGGATCACTCCTGGGGTGCCGGGGACGAACTCAGGGTGGCCGTGTACAAGTCAAGCGCTAACCATTGCGCCACCTCTCCAGCCCCAGACCCTGTGTGGGCACTTTCTGGGAGGTAGAGCCCAGCTTTGCACACCAGAGACCCGGGCGCCATCCCTGGGCACGACCGTCTGGTCTCCCAAGCACTGAGCCAGGCGTGACGACCCCCTCCAAGCACCACCAGGTGTGGCCCCCAAAACAAAATTCTGTCTTTGGTGGGGACAGCAGTTTGGACTGGGCCATGCACCTGCAGCCCCTGGGAAGCCGCTGAGACACAGCAGGTGCTCAGCGAGCTCAGGACCCCAGAGGGAGGGGCAGGGCCGCTGCAGGAAGGGCGCGCCCGCCTGGAGAGAAGTTTCAGGGGATGTGGGCTGGGTGGGGCCCTCCCGCCCCGCCCCCCACCCCGGCTGCCCCATTCCCACCCTCCCAGCCAGCGGGTGACTCAGGGTGACAAACCCCAGGCTGGAGCTGCTCCCCGCAGAGAATGGGGCGAGGGCGGAGGCGGGGCCATGGGGTGCACAGTCTCTGCCCCTGGCCCCCTTCATCCTGTTTTGTCCTTCTGGGCCTGGGGCGTCACGAGGTGCTGGGGCCTTCTCCCCAAATGTGCTCCGGGTGTGCAGGGGACCCTGGGGTGCTGGAGATGGAGCCCAATCATCTTGGTGCAGAGCCCCCCGCCACTCCCTGGACCATCTTTCTGCCCCCCCCCCCCCTTTTGTTAAATGGCTCCTGGAGACCTGGAGACGCTTGGTTGGCCATATAGGACAGATGGGCGCTTTTCTTTTTTTGCTTCTTTTGGGCACACCCAGTGACGCTCAGGGGTTCCTCCTGGCTCTGCACTCAGCAATTACTCCTGGCGGTGCCCGGGGGACCATATGGGATGCCGGGGTTTGAAGCTGGGTCGGCCGCGTGCAAGGCAAACACCCTCCCCGCTGTGCTCTCTCTGACTCCAGCCCCCCAGATTGGCACTTTCAACCAGATGCGTTACCTTGTGATGGAAAAGCAAGGCAGAGGACTTAAAGCAAACACAGCCACACGCAAAAAGACAAGGAAGTTCGGAAGGAAGCTGAGACGGTGCTTTTGCTGCTTTTCCGGCAGAGGGGTAGGGGGGTGGCGTGCTGCCCTCCCTGGTGATGCTGGGAGAGCCGGGTGGCGGCTGGGACTGTGCAGTCCCGCCCTGAGGCATCATCCCCACACGGCGAGACACTCGATGTCTCAGAACACGGGTGGGCTTCTCCCGGATTTTGTTTGGGGGTGGCGGACACCCCCCCACACAGCCTGGTGAGTGTAAGGATCACCGGCCATCCTGGGTCCATGCAGAGATGCGGCCAGCTCGGGGCTCGTGGGTGCCCCAGGGCTCCAATGGAAGCCACAGAAGGACGAGCGGTCCTGTCTCCCTGCGGAGCGGACCCCCAGCACGGTGGGGAGAGGAGAGGAGAGGCAGGCAGGCAGGCAGGCAGGCAGAACCCAGCAGGGGCAAAGTAACCGGCGCCCAAGGAGCAGACTCCTGGGGCAAGGAGAGATGACGGTGGATGCAGAAGGACTTGGTATCTCCCGTGACCCAGAAACTTCTCTCCAGGTCACACACCAGGGTTGGCAGAAACGTCTGCTGAAGACTCGCCACCCTCCCGCGCGGGGAGAGTCAACCTGGAGTCACCCTGAATCCCCTTCGGGGGCACGGGGCGGGGCGGCCCAGTGGCCACTGAGGAGACATGTGCTGGCATGGTTAAGCCTTCAGCATGCAAGCCGGCCGCCACCCAGTGCCAGAAAGTTCCGCGGTGCAGATTATGGGCCGACCCAGCAGGCGGAGGCGCTTCCCCTGCGTGCACTGAGCCGGGTTTGATCCTCGGCCCCCAGAAGCTCCCCCAAAGCCCCCCAAGCCCCGTCAGACATGATTTCTGGACACAGAGCCCTGAGTACACGCAGGGGGTGGGGGGCTCTGGGCAGCCAAAAACCAAGCCAGGGTAGCCCCAAATAAATGCGGCGAGGTTGTCTGGATCACCCGGCCAGCGGGTGGAGGCCTGGTCCTACAGGCCCCGTGGCCTGGGCAGGGGACAAGGGCGGGGCCTGCAGATGGGAAGAGGAGAGGAGAGCAGAGCCCGTGCTAGAACAGGAGGTGGGCACCATGGAGGGGGGCACATAGGGGACCCGCCCAGCCCAGCCCCTCCCCACAGGACAGGCAGGCGACCCAGCGAGCCCCCAGTCCCACCTCAGGCACTTCCCACTTGGGGGAGAGCGTTGCCAATCTGAGATCCAGGGGTTCCCAGGACTGCACTGAGCCGGGAGGCTTCCTGGGACCTGGGAGCACTGGTACCCAACTTGAAACTTTCGTACTTTTGGAGGGGCCACCCCTGACAGTGCTCAGGCCTGGCGCCTGGCTCTGTGCTCAGGGGTCACTCCTGGCGGGGCTCGGGGACCCTATAGGGCGCTAGGAGTGAAACCCAGGCAGGCCAGTGACTGACCCCTGTGGCATGTCCCTGGGTGACAGACCTGGGGTCTAAGGGGTCCCGGCAGGCGTGGGGGGGGGGGGGCACACATGTGAGATCACAGTCACCCGCAACCTCAGCGGCTACAAACGGGTTTGGGGGTGATGGCGGGCGGTGGGCCAATGTCTCCGGGTCTCCCACGCCTGGCACAGGAAGGTGCTAGACCCACCTGCCCTGAAAACCTCCCACAGTTCACGAGTCAGACGCCCCGTGAGTGCTGAGCTGAGGGGCCCAGGTGCCACCTAGTGACCTGGAGGAGCCCCTCATACCCAGGAAGGCTGCAGATGGGGCGCTGGGGTCCAGGGCAGGACACGCAGCCCCCGGCCCACCTGTGGGCGGCTGCAGAGGCTGGCAGGTGGGCGCTGAGCCTGGCACAGAGGCCTTTGTTCCCACGCCAGAGGCACAGGACCGGGCCACAGCTGGACAAGGGGGAGGGAGCTGTCCCCGGCCAGAGGGAAACAAGGGATCACTGGCCTGTCCCCAGGACCCCCCACACGCTGAGACTGACCAAGAGAGTCAGTGTGGGGGGAAGGGCAGGGTCAGAGTGGGGGAGTGGGGTTGGGTCAGTTCTGAACGTCCAGGGCAAGTGGGAAGCGCCCGGGAACAGGTCCAGGCCACCCAGCGGGGGTGCAGGGTGCAGAGGGAGCAGGTGCCCCCAACACCCAGTCCCTCCCCCTGCAGTCCCAGCTGGGAGCACTGTGAAAGCTGCGGAGTGAGAACCCCAGGAGGGGAAGAATCCCGGGCGGGCGGCAGACCAACCATCAGGGGCTCAGGAGGCCCAGAGAGGCTGAGGGACCTGCCGGAGGCCACCCAGCCCCGAGGAGGTGGGCGCGGTCAGCAGGTCTGACTGTCCTTCCCTGGGTGCCTCAAAGGCAGCAGGTCGGGCCTAACGGGCACCAACCTCCGGATGGCACCCCCAGGACAAGGCCCCGTCCTGAGTCAACAGTCTTGTCCTTAAGAGGCCCCGGGCGAGGAGTGCCCGGCCCACGGGATGGGGTGACCCCAGGGCTAGAGATGGCCCCGCTGCCACCGCTTGGCAGCGAGCTGGGAAGTGGCATCCAGGCGCCCCGGGGTGACCGTCAAGAGTGTCCAGTGACACGGGAGCACCCTGCGATCTGCTCCCCCCAAGTCGCAGAGCATCTGCTGGGCTCGCAGCTGGAAGCCCTCGGAGTCGGTAAAGCAGAACCGGGATGGAACACCAGGGAGAGGCGGGAAGCGGGTCTGGACAGACAGACACACCCAGGCACAGACGGACAGCACACGTGGACAGTCACCAAAATCCCAGGCCTGGAGACACCCCCAGGCCACAGTGGGCCCTTCCCTGAGGGCTTCTTCACAGCGCCGAGCCCAGCGCCGTGACTCCGGGAGCACCTGACTGCGTGTGTGAGGGGAGGGGATGGGCTCATTTTCCTGCATCTCTCACACACACACACACACACACACACACACACACACACGCTAATACACACACATGCTAACACTCTCACACACGTACATTTTTCCACTCACACACACACTAACACTCTCATACACTCACACACGCTAACACTGACACTCAGACATCATCACACACACACGCTAACACACACGCTAATACTGACACTCATACACTGTCATACACACGCTAATACTCTCCCGCTAATACACACATGCTAACACACGTACACACACACGCTCTCATACATGCCAACACTGCCACACACTGCCACACACATGCTAACATCCTCCCACTCCCCCCCCCCACACACACTAACTCTCACACTCTCACACTCACACACTCCCTCTCACATACAACTCCTGTGAAGTGAGCCAAGTGCAGATTCCGGGACCCACCCCCTGGCCCGGTGCAGTTCCTGGGGCCCGGGGAAGCTGCCTTGCCGCTTCAGCCTCTGGTCTGGTTTCGGGCCACACCCAGAGGTGCTGACAGTCCGGCGCGTGCATCTGGGGACCATGTGGTGCTGGGGCCGAAGCCTGGGGCTGCCACGTGCACAGCCCACCTCTACCTGGGGTGGCCACGTCGAGGGGCCCTGGCGCCTGCACACAGCTATGCTGCTTCCAGCTGGGCAGGAGACCCCAGCCTGTAGGCGGAGGGGACCTCCCGGGACACAGTCTGGGACGAGGGGCTGCCGTGTGGGCTGCATGCAGCCCTGCACCTGGGGACCAGTTATAAGTGTCCCCCACAAGAAGGCAGAGACAAGAATGGGGGAGGGGAGCCTGACCCAACGAGCCGTCCACCTGCCCAGCTGGCCTGGGGCAGAGACTGAGCTGAGCCTGGAGGGGCCGGGTCTGGCCTGGATGGACGCTCAGACCTGCTGGCCTTGCACGTCAGAGCTCCTCAGAAGACAGGAAACCCACGTCAGGACAGGCCCTGGGGGCGCGAAACCCCGCCCTGCTGGGGTGGGGGGGCAGGGGATGGCGCCTGAGGGGAGGTGGGGGACCCTCTAATGAAACGCAGGCCAGGGCTGGAGCGACAGCACAGTGGGTAGGGCATTTGCCTTGCATGCGGCTGACCCAGGTTCAATTCCCAGCATCCCATATGGTCCCTTGAGCACTGCCAGGAGTAATTCCTGAGTGCAGAGCCAGGAGCAACCCCTGTGCAATGCCGGGTGTGACCCAAAAAGCAAAAAAAAAAAAAAAAAAAAAAAGAAGCACAGGCCAGCTGAGTCAGCGCTGGACATCGGTCCCTCTGAACAGGTGAGCGAGGAGAGCCCCTGGGGAAACGGGCCCACGCTGGAGCCGGAGCCCCGAACCAAGCCATGGAGGAACCAGGGGCCCAGCGCCAGCCCTGCAAGCGTGCGGTCACGAGTTGGAGTCTCCGATGTCCCACATGGGTCCAGACAGTACAGCTGTTGGTGATTTCTGGCCACGACACCGCCCGTGCAAAGGGGCAGTGGAGGAGAAGGTTCAGCCTGAGAGGCCGGGCAAGAGCACAGCGAGCAGGGTACTTGCCCTGCATGTGGCTCTGCGTGGGGCCCCTGAGCCCCCAGAAGTGCTCCCTGAGCACTGCCGGACATGGCCCCAAGACCAAAGATGTAAAAAAAAAAAAAAATCGTGAGCGCCACAGCCCGGAAGTGCAGCCCTGCCAGTGCCGTGGGGCACCACAAGAGTGACTGAGTGGCCCCGGCCCGGCGAAAGGCAGCACAGGACACGGAAGGGAGGGCAGCGAAGCCCGTGGGTGCTGGGTTGACACGCAGAGGGCTGGGCGCGGCCCTGAGTCTCACCCTAGCCCCACGGAGTCCCCAGGGCGCCAGGAGACTGGGCCCAAGCCATCTGTCAACGTGCGTGGGCACGCGTGGCGGGGCTCTGAGAACCCTGCCAGCCCCTACAGCTCCGTGAGAACAGCTGCCTCACACACGTTGGGGCCCTGGGTTCCATAACTGTACCTCCCCACCTCCCTAAGACCCCCATGCTGCCCTCCCGCCGCCCCCCCCCCCCCCCCAGCATACACACACACTAACCCCAGCAGGGGAGGCCTCGGGCAACCCTGAACAGACAGCAGAGGGGGGAAGTGACACAGGAGGCCTCAGGCCAGTGACAAGGACCCTGGGCTGGGATCCCAAACAGGGTCCAATCCAAAGCCCCTGCTCCCTTCCTCTCCAGCGAGTTTGTTTTGTTTTGGGGGCCACACCTGGTGATGCTCAGGGGTTATTCTTGGCTCCATGCTCAGGAATCACTCCTTGGAGGACCTATGGGCAGCTGGGGATCGAAGCCAGGTCGGCAACGTGCAATGCAAGTGCCCCCACCCCCACTGTGCTATGGCTCCGGGCCGTCCCCTGGAAGCCTGGACAAGTTGCTTCCTTTCTCCAAACCTCAGTTTCCACATCCGTAAATAGGGGTAAAGGCTGCCCGTGCCGAGGCTGGAGTGATAGCACAGCGGGTAGGGCGTTTGCATTGCACACGGCCAAACCAGGTTCGATTCCCAGCATCCCATACGGTCCCCCGAGCACCACCAGGAGTGATTCCTGAGTACAGAGCCAGGAGTAACCCCTGAGCATCACCAGGTGTGACCCAAAAAGCAAACCGCGTCCCTGACAGAGGGGTGTCTCTGGGCTGCTGCAAATACCCAGAGGCGGCAAGGGGCTCTCCGCAGCTCCTTCCCAGAAGGGGGGAGTCTGGGGGTCTGAAGGACCAACAGCAGCAGCTAGTCACACCCGCAGCTGGCCAAGGGCCCTGAGTGGCAGGCTCGCTGGCCACTGGGAGCCCCTTCCCAAAAGTCAAGGCAGGCCAGACCCCAGGGGCCCCTGTGTGAGATCCGGGAGGGTCCCCTGGCCTGTGCCCACACCCCCCCAGCACCACGTGTCCCACGGACACTGGGGCTCCCCCAGACATGTGCTGGGCAGCGGGAGCCAGAGTGAGTGAGGGCGGGGGGGGGGGGGGGAGGGCAGCTCTGAGGGTTGATCACGGGCTTGTACTGTCCACCCGGAGGACAGTCGCTGGCCCTGCCTGGCCCGAACCCTGAGCACTCCACATCTGAGTCAAAAATAAACGAGGGCTGAGCAACAGTCTGGAGGGGAGAGCTTTTGCCTTGCACGCGGCCGACCCAGGTTCAATCCCCGGCATCCCGTATGGCCCGCCCCACCCCCAAGCACCGCCAGGACTGATTCCTGAATGCAGAGCCAGGAGTCACCCCTGAGCATCGCTGGGTGTGACCCAGAAAAGCAAAATAAATAAATAAATAAATAAATGAGGGGTCGAGCGACAGTCCAGCGGGGAGGGCGCATGCCTTGCACACGGCTGATCCAGGTTTGATGCTCGGCACCTGTATGGTCCCCCGAACCCCGCCAGGAGTGTTCCCTGAGTGCAGAGCCAGGAGTTACCCCCGAGCACCTCCAGGTGTGCCCCCCCCCCAACCCAAACACACAAATGAAACCGAGACAGGACCCGGCCAGTCCCAGACTTTGCATGCAGCTGTGGCACCGTCGACTCCAGATGGAATCCCCAGCGCCACATCTGGTCCCGGAGAGCAGGACAGGGGTCACTCCTGAGCTCAGAGGGCGGCCCAGCCCTGAGGAGCAGCACAGCCAGGTGTGGCACCAAGACCCCCCCCAGCTGGCAGAATAAGGAAGCCGCCCCAGCACTGGAGGGTGAGCGGCTCGCACGCGTGCAGACTTACCTAGTAGTGAGCGCTGCTATCTGCGCGCTGGCCGTCGGGGGTGAGGCTGGCCCGCGTCTGTCGGGGCAGGGTCCGGGCATTCCTCCCGCTCCATGGACGAGGCCTCCCTGGGAGGAAACGAGAGTCAGTCAGTGGGCACAAGGGGGCCGCCTCCTGGGCGCCCACACCACACGTGGCCTCACTGACTGGGCCTGCGTGGGTTGGGAGAGAAGACAGGGGGGTCCATGCGCGTGTCCCGGGAAGAAGCGGTCACATGTGTTTGCCTGCTGGGTGGTTCTCCGTGGCCAGCTCTGGCTCAGCAGGGCTGGGCCGGCCAGGGGCAGCTCCCGCCCCCACAGCCCCCGGAAGCGTTGGCCCGGAACCCCCGGCCAAGTCAGTGGGTGGGGAGGGGCGCGGACCCCAGTCTGCAGCTGGCCAGGAAGGAGGAAAGAGGGGTGGGGGCCCAGGCAGGAGCTGGCCAGGAAGGAGGAAGCAGGAGGGGAGGGCAGGCAGTCAGAGGGGCCCCTTGAGGGCTGGAGCAATAGCACAGCGGGGAGGGCGTTTGTCTTGCACACGGCTGACCCAGGTTCGATTCCCAGCATCCCATACGGTCCCCTGAGCACCGCCAGGAGTGATTCCTGAGTTCAAAGCCAGAAGGAACCCCTGAGCATCGCCAGGTGTGACCCAAAAAAGCAAAAAACAAACAAACCAACAAAAAAGCAGAGGGGCCGGTGGCCACGGCCAGGCGGAGTCCACTGGTGCTGAAAATGCCCACTCAGCACCAGGCAAGAGTGACGGGCAGATGTTCCCCCGGGAGACAGATCAGCACCTACCAGGGGTGACGGCAACGGGACAGCCACGGGGGGGGGGGGGGGGGGGGGGGGGGAAACAGCGGGGACAGCACAGAGGCCCAGGAGCCCCCTCCAGCACAGCGCCCCCTCCCGGGCTGCCCTGCTCCTGTCCCCAGTCCAGCCCCCACCGCCTCCTCTGGGAAACAGCCATGGAGCAGCCCGGTCCGGCCCAGCCCCTTCGACACCCGGGCCCTGTCTTCCTGTAAACCCGCTCCTGGCCAGCCACCGTGGGCCAGGCTGTGGGCCGGAACTAGCGCTGGGGAAGAGGCACTTACTCAAGCCAGCGCTCCAACTTATGGGGTCTGCCAGCCCCTTCCAGAAATAAAAAAAAAAAGGGCGATTAGTAGCCCCCAGGAAAATCGACCTGTGTGTGTGTGTGTGTCTGTGTGTGTGCGCGCCTCCCCTGGCAGTGCTCAGAGCATACCCCCGACTCTGTGCTCAGGGAATCACTCCTGGCAGGGCTGGGGATGGAACTGAGGTACAAGGCAAAAGCTGGACCCTCCTACCATCTCTCTGGCCAGATCTTTATCTTTTTTTCTTTTTTTGGTATTGGGGCCATGCCTGGCGATGCTCAGGGGTCACCCATGACTACACTCAGGAATCACTCCTGGCAGTGCTCAGGGGACCATATGGGATGCCAGGGATTGAAACCTGGGTCAGGCAAGGTAAACACCCTCCCCCCTGGACTATCACTCCAGCCCCAATCTATCTTTTTCATTGATTTTATTTATTTTTTTTGGGGGGGAGGGTCATACTCGGCAACAATGCTTGGGGATCACTCCTGGTGGTGCTCGGAGGTCCATACGGGGCGCTGAGGAGCAAACACCCTCCTCACTGTGCTATCATTGCTCTGGCCCCGCAATATACCCTCAGTTACACCTGAGGCTACTTCTCACAGCTCCAGCACCCCAGGGTGACCCGCGCTGGGACACTCTCTCTAAAGGCCAGCTGGTCAAGGGACAGAGGACAAGCTGGCACGGGGCCCCACCTCCTCCCGCCAGGTCCCCTGAGCTCACACCTCAGTGTCCCCACCAGGGTCACCTCCACTCTGGGAAAAGCCAGGGCCAGGCCCAATCAGCCCTCCCCCCCCCAATCCGGGCCTACAGGGGTCACCCTCGGGAACCCCCATTCTGCCCGGCAGCCACTCACAGCTCACAGAGAAACTGTGGGAGTGGGGACCACCTGCAAAGGCTCCATAGAGCAGGGGCCAGCACCCAGAAGGGGCTCTCCAACCAGACCGACAGCCCAAGGCAGGCAGTGCCTCCCCCCAGCTCAGGCACACTTGACCTTCAGCAAGCCTGAGCCAAGATCACCCCGGCAGGGTCCTTCGGGCCACCAGCCACCCCTGAAGGCCCGCAGGAGGGTCCCCAGCATACCCCAGCCTCGGTGTACCCCTCTGCTTGCTCCCGGACTAGGGGGGCGGCCAGGCAGAGGTGAAAGGGACACCTCCCGGCAAGGGTGAGGGAGACCCCCGACCCCCCACTTCTCCGCGCCCCCCAATCTCTCTACAACTCAGGCGCCCGGCTCCCTCCTCCCCCTCCTCCTCACCCCCAGCCCTTGGCGAGGGCAGAGGAAGAGTGAGTCGCTCCAAGGGACAGCCCCACCCTCCCGCCAAGTCCCCCTCCCGTGCCGCCCAGCCAGCCGCTGTCGCCTCGCTCCTCCCTCCCCAAACCAGGGGTGCGCTGCAACAGCCCCCCCGGACAAAATCGGCCTTTGAAAAGGGGGGTCCCCTCCAGCCCCGCGCCCTGCGCGCTCCCAGGCTCTCCTCCCCCCGGCACTCCTTCGGCAGCAGGGTGACACCGCGGCTCGGCTGGGCGGCCAGCGCCCCCCCGCCCCCCCATTGGACGGGTGGGCACCCGAGTGGCCCCCGCCAGGGGCAGGGCGCTGCCCCCCAAGCCGGGGCCCGGTTCCCGCCAGCGCGGAGGGCGGGGGGGTGGGGTGGCGGGTGGGGGGCGCGCGCGGGGCGCCCGGGAGGGGAGGGGAGGGGGCGTGCGTGCGCCACCCGGGTGGGCGGCGGGGGACCCGGGGGATGACACGGGGACCCGGGGGGAGCCAGGGCGGAAATCCCGGCCGGCCGGGGCGCGGGGAGGCAATCGGGGTGCCCGAGGGGGCTCGCGCGCCGCGGCGCCGCGGGGAGGGTGGGGCCCGGCGCTCCCGGGCCGGGCCGGGCGGACCCGGGCGGGGGTGAGCCGGGCCGGGCCGGGCCGGGCCGGGCGGCCGCCAGAGGTCCCCGCCCGCGGGGCCGGCCCGGCGGCGTGGACAGCCCGAGCTGCCCGGCCGCCCGCCGCGCCGACGACGGCGGGCGGGGGGCGTGGAGGGGAGCCCGAGCGGTGACAGCCGGCGCCCCTGGCCGCCGCGCGCTCACTCACCTGGGCCCGCCGCGCCCGGCCGCCGCGCAGGCAGCCCGGCGCCCCCGCTGCTCCGTCCCGCCGCCGGCCGCTGCGCCCCTCCGGCGCCTCCTTTTGTTTGTCCCTCACTGCACCACTCGAGCCTCCTCCGCCCCGGAAGTGACGTCACCGGAGGGCGCGAACGGGGCGGCCGGGGCGCCGCCATCTTTCGGAAGGGCGCGCTCGGCGCACCCGCCTCGGCTTCGCCCGGGCCGCGGGCGCCATATTGCTTTGGGGCGGAAGTTGGCAGAGGCCCGGGCTCGGCCCTCTTAAAGGGACAGCGACCGGAGAACATCACCTCTGGAGCGCGCCCGGGAGACGCCGGGCGCTCGAGCGGTCAAGGCGGGGGGTGAGTAGTTGGTGGCCCCGGCGTGCGTGGCGACCCCGAGGTAGGGACGCTAAGTCGAGGGTCTGGTAACTGTTTCAGATCGACTGTCCCTGCGTCCTAGCAGTGTTACGAGGTGCCCGACTAACGCAGGTCGGAAGCTGCATCTGCGGGAAGTAGGAGCGCGCGGGGGTCGCCAAGCCGCCCGGAACCCTGAGACCCGCCAGGCCGGTCCTCTCTGCACACACGTCCCTTCTCCTCACCCCCCAGGGTGCCCGGAACGTGGACCCCCTAGGAAATCTGGCCAGTTGTGAGCAGGGACGCCAACAGGTCCCGGGGTCCCGGCTCCGGCGCTCGGATGGGTCCCGAGGCCTCGCAGCTCCCAACTGTCCGAGGTCGGGCACCACCATCGCCCCGACCCGACCGTGCAGAGACGCAGGTGGCAAACGTGCAGTGTGCACCGAGGCCACACAGCTCCCAGGGCAGGAGAGATGGAGACCGAAAGGGGCAGGAAGAAGCGCACTGGCTGGCGCTACCTTCTCTGCTGGGAACGTGGTTATTCGGGGGATGGGTGAGCAGCAGTGTCCACGTCTGAGATTGCCCTGGGAGAGGAGAAGGCGGTGTGCGGGGTACCGCGCGCTCCATCGCGGCGGGAGGAAATTTACTGCCATTCACACAGTTGGGTCCTTTAAAAGTCTGATGCGGGGGGCGGGGTGCTGGAAACCGGACGACACGTGGGGCGCTTGCCTGGCACGCAGTGGACCCAGCTACAATCCCCCGACACCCCGTATGACTCTCCGAGCCCACCAGGAGTGATTTCTGTGTGCAGAGCCAGACGTAACCCTTGAGCATCGCCAAATGTAAACGCCGCCCCCCCCCCCGAAAAAAATTGATGCGGGGCTACAGCGATAGTACAGCGGGTAGGACACTTGCCTTTGCATGCAACTGATCTGAGTTCTATCCCCGACCTGCCAGGAGTGACCCCAAAGCACAACTGGCCCCTCCAAAAATGCTTAAATAAATAACTGATGTTAGGGGCTGGAGAGATAGTAAAGCAGATAGGGCACTTGCCTTGCATGCACCTCACCAGGGATTGGGTCCCCGTCTCCCCACATGGTTCCTTGAGCCCCACCAGTGATCCCTGAATGCAGAGCCAGGAGTACTTCCTGAACACTGCTGGCTGAGGCCCCCAAACAAATAAAACACTGATGTCCAACAATGCTGGTTCCAGCTGTCCCGCTGGGAGATCTTGTTTTCCCCTGGTGCTGGAGGAGGAAACTGGCCAGAGAGGTTAGGGACCTTGGCAACAGTTCTCACCAGGAAGTGGAGGAGCTGGAATGTGAGCCTTGGAGGAGTTTACACTCAGTCCCAGTTTATCCTCCTCCCTCCTGAGTTTTCTGTTATCAACATCCAACACGCAGCCTGGGGCCTGGCTCTCAGCAGGCCTCCTGCAATTGTTTATTGCTGGAACACGTACAACAACAGGAGCCAACAGCATGTGCAGCCTGGACTGGGCACGATCACCCACTGGGTGCCCCATCCCCATCCCGAGAGCGCCAGCTTGCTGCCTATGCAGATAGTCCCATTTTACACACCAGTTAGTAAAGTGGAGACCTTACACGGTGGCGCAAAGGGGATCCTAACACTTCCCCACAGGTCTCTCCCGCAGACCCCAGTGGTCATTGGCACTGATGCTGGGCGCCAGATTCGGTAGTTTAGCAGAATGGACACTGAGCCTTGGTCCTGGGAGTTCAGTGACGTCAAAGGCAAAGTTCGCAGGGAGCATTTGTGTGGAACGCAGGAAAGAGTCACCTGGTTCAGCGGGGGTGCAGGCAGTCCGGAAGGGCCTCGTGCTGTTTTCTTTGGCCACACCGGGGGCGCGGTGCTCTGGGGTGAATCCGGGAGGTGCTGGGGGGCGTGGAGGGAGTCAGGTGGGATGCCAGAGATGGGACCCGGGTTAGCCGTGTGCAGTGCAGGGCAAGTGCCCTCTCCGCTGTCCCATCGCTCCAGCCCGGGTGGGCTTTCAGAGCCTGCCAGGGGCCACAGAGGATGAGCCAGAAGGGGGGCGGGGAGAGGGCGCGGGAGGAGCCCGGCCCCGCCCTCGGCACCGGCGGTGGGCGTGGCCCTGAGGCTCCGCCCCGCGGTTGGCCCCGCCCTCCCCACCCCCGGGTCCTAGGGTAACCTGGATGCGGGGCCGTGGGGCCGCCCCAAGTCACCCAGACGCTGCGGGATAAGAGTCGCTCCTGCCAGGTAGAGCCACTCCCAAGTCCCCGGGGCACTGCCCAGCCCTACCTAGAGGTTTCCGTCGGCTGCTCCCCGGGCTTCCTTTGCGGACGGCGCCGCGTCCGAGCTGGTGTCCGGGACCCCCGCTGGGTAAGTCCTGTGCCTGCTTGGAGCCTCGTCTAGGGTTCTCCTTCTGGAAACCCGCGGGGGCGTGCACGGACGGTTCTCGCGCGTGTCCCCCGGCCGCGGCCTGGCCCCTGGTGGCCTCCGTCTCCTCTGCCCGAGGACTGCGAGTCAGCAGCGTGCTGCTTAGATCTGCCCGACACGCTGTCGCCTCCTGGGGGGCGGGGGGGGGGTGTGCGCCGGGGGACTGGGGGGCCAGTGCAGAAGATCCCTGGGCTTTTTCTCTGAACTCTGAAGAGGGAATGTGTTTTCCACCCCCCGCAAAGAAAATCTGGCTTATTCTTGGATAGGAGCCTGGTCCTGGGGGCTAGAACCATAGTACAGCAGGGGAGGGCGTCTGCCTTGCACGCGGTCAACTCGGGTTCGATTCCCAGCATCCCATAGGGTTCCCCCACACCGGCACCGCCAGAACTAATTCCTGCCAGGAGTAACCCCTGCATCGCCGGGTGTACCCTAAAAAACGGGGGAAAAAAAGAGCCTGGGCACCGTGTAGGAGTCAGAGTCTTACCTGTGAATGGCTTGTCATTGGCAGGTCCCTTTGTGGATGTCAGGAGCTGCTGCCCTGTAGGGGCAGCTGAGTGGCCAAGAGATGGAGGTAGAGCAGAGTGGAGCTGGGCTGTTCCTGCAAGCCCAAGTCCCAGTGGCCATTCGTGGATTAGGCTCCCTTCTCCCTAGTCTGTACTGTGTCCCTAACTCAGGGGCTCCGGGAGGTGCTCACCAAATATTCTTGGTCCTTTTTTTTGGGGGGGGTGAGATTCAGGGGTTACTCCTGGCCTTGCATTCTGGAATCACTCCTGACAGGGCTCAGGGAACATAAGGGATGCTGGGAATCAAACCCTGGAGGGCCGTATGCAAGGCTAGCGCCCCTCCACCCCCCAGGGCTGGAGCAATAGCACAGCAGGTAGGGCATTGACCTTGCACACGACCGACCCGGGTTCGATTCCCAGCATCCCATATGGTCCCCTGAGCACCGCCAGGAGTCATTCCTGAGTGAAGAGTCAGGAGTAACCCCTGTGCATTACTGGGTGTGACCCCCCCCAAAAAAAACCTATTTCTCCGCCCCCACCCACTAGCTGGTTCTGAGGCTTCACAACCCCCCCCCCCGCACCTCCCTCTTTAGAGGGGGATCCAGATCTGCCTGGGTGCAGGGATTGGAGGCTGGATTGTTCAAAGCAAAGATTTCTCCCTGAATAGGGTCCGCATAGAGCCGCAGACGTTATCTGCTGTCCCAGCCTGGCAAGACCAGCCCACAGGAAGGAGCTGAGCAGAGACCTCTGATCCCCCATGCCCTGGTCACTAGCCTGGGGCCTCCCAGCCCACCCGGCAGCCAGTCACTGCCCGGCTGCTGGGGAAGACACCACCCCTGGTGTGCAGCCTTAGGGGGTCCAAGTAAGCCCTCCTGATGGTCCCCTGACACCCCTTTGCCCCTGCTCCCAGCTGTCCACCCGGGTGCCTGGGTTGAAAACAGCACAGCCTTTTTTTTTTTTAATTTAATTTTTATAAAGTTGCTCACCCTGATCTAGGGCTGGAGCGATAGCACAGTGGTAGGGTGTTTGCCTTGCACGCAGCCGGCCCGGCAGAGCTGGGTTCGATTCCTCCACCTCTCTCAGAGAGCCCGGCAAGCTACTGAGAGTATCTCGCCCACACGGCAAAGCCTGGCAAGCTCTCTGTGACGTATTCCATAAGCCAAACACAGTAACAAGTCTCACAATGGAGACGTTACTGGGCCTGCTCGAGCAAATTGATGAACAGTGGGAGGACAGTGCTACAGTGCAGTGCTGAAGTTGTTCACAATGATTTTTCACATTCAATATTCCAACACCAATCCCACCACCATAAACCTTCTCCCACCACCATTATTTCCAATTTCTCCCCCCCCCACCCATCACCCAAGCCTGCCCCAGTAGCAGGCCCTAAATAATTTATTTTGCATCACTTGTTAAGAATAATTCACTAAAAATGGTCAAAAAAGATTTCCTTTAAAAAGTGGGTCAAGATTGTTGCGTCTCACCCAGAGCCATTAATCCCTTGTATAATAGCCCTTGTAAAAGCCTTTATCCGTCTTGGAGAGCCCGGCAAGCTACTGAGAGTATCCCGCCCGCACGGCAGAGCCTGGCAAGCTATCCGTGGCGTATTCGATATGCCAAAAACAGTAAATACAATGGGTCTCATTCCCCTAACCCATAAAGAGCCTCCAATAAGGTAGCGTTAAGAAGGATGAGCAAGAAGAGGCTGATAAAATCTCAGGGCCAACCTAGGCTGCCAAAACAAAGAAGGACTAAAATGACTCTCCATACTTTCAACGCACGTACGCTGGCATCGGAAGCATCCATCAAGGATCTGATGGTGCAAGCGCGGAAGATCAAGTACATCATTGGTCTGGCCGAGATGAGACGGCATCGATCACATCATGCCATTTTTGACGCTGGAGAAGAACTGTTCCTCAGAACATGTGACAAAAGAGGCATCGGTGGTGTCGATGTCCTTGTCAACGTGAACTTGGCCATGAGCATTGATTCATTCGAATGCCTAACAACCCAAATCGGACGATTACACTTGAATAGATGTGGCTCACTGCCGGCAGTTTCTATCTTCGTTGTCTATGCACCAACATCCAATTACGATGAAGAAGTTGAGAAGTTCTACATGGAGCTGGAGAAGTTCTATAAAGAAGACCACACCTTCTACAAGATCATTGTCGGTGATTTTAATGCCAAGATAGGACCAAGAAGATCAGGTGAAGAACTCCACATCGGGACCCAAGGCCTAGAATGGAACGAACAGGGTGAGAGACTGTCTCAGTTCATCATGTCGACCAAGACCATCCATGGTAACTCACAGTTCCAGAAGGCTGAACCTAAATGTTGGACATGGGAGTCTCCCAGTGGACAGTTCCACAACGAAATTAACTACATCATATTCAATCAACGGTTTTGCCTGACTGATGTCGCTGTTGTCCCAAAATTCCAAATGGGATCAGACCACTGTCTCCTTTGTGCAAAAGGAGACAGAGAGAAAGGGCTGCAAAGTTTAAGAGAACTCCCAGAACGACCACCAACTAGAACGTTCCCAACGTTCTCCCTTCTGTAATCCGACATGCCATTTTGTCGGTAAAGAAGTGAACAGTACCCGGCCCAGACAAGGTCAGACCCAAACACCTAAAGAATCTGCCGTCAGTACTCTTCAATACACTGACTTGGCTCTTCATACGCTACCTGTCTGACTGCAAGGTTCTGTCCCAGTGGAAAACCAGCAGGACTGTTCTATTGTACAAGATGGGAGACATACACGACATTGGCAACTATCGCCCAATCTGCCTGTTGTCCGTCATCTAAAAGCTGTCCACTCGAGTCATCCTGAATAGGATTGGCAGAACACTAGATGAAGGACAACCATGCAAGTAAGCCGGGTTCCAAAAAGGATTCAGCATGATCTACCATATCCACATGGTAACCAAGCTCATTGAGTTTTCTTGGGAGTTCAAGATGCCGCTCTGTCTAATGTTCATTGGTTTAGAGAAGGCCTTTGATTCTGTTGAGACTGAAGTGGTCATCGAAGCCCTAGCCAATCAGGGCATTCAAACTCAATACATCAGGATCCTCCTTGAGCTATATTATGGATTCGCCACTAGGATCTCACCATTCTACAAGGAAGTGATCATCGACGTCAAGAGAAAGGTTTGGCAAGGTGATACCATTTCACCGAAACTCTTCAGTGCCACCCTCGAGAACGTCATGTGACAACTGGAATGGGAAGTAATGAGAGTGAAGATAGATGGCAATGACACCACCTCTGCTTTGCTGATGACATCGTTCTTATAACACCATCAGGGACGCTGTCTCATTTGCCAAGGCGTTGAAAATCAGATGGGCTGGACACGTAATGTGATTTAGAGACAACCGCTGGACTAGAGCAGTTACCAACTGGATTCCACGGGATGTCAAAAGATCAAGTGGCCACCCACCTATGAGATAAACTTCTTCGTCAAGACCCTGAATGAACGGTTTGAGGCTCTTCATGTTCCTGGAGCGAGCAGATGCCATTGGTCTACACTAGCACGCGACAGGGACAAATGGAGACGTTACTGGTGCCTGCTCGAGCAAATTGATGAGTAACGGGATGTCAAGTGATCAATTGATAATAAGTTACTAACCTGTTGTTACAGGTTAAGCCTTGTGGTTTTTTTTTTTTAATTAATTTTTTTGAGGGCTGGAGCAATAGCACAGCGGGTAGGGTGTTTGCCTTGCACGTGGCCGACCCGGGTTCGATTCCTTCGTCCCTCTTGGAGAGCCCGCCACGCTGCCGAGAGTATTCCGCCCGCACAGCAGAGCCTGGCAAGCTCCCCGTGGCGTATTCGGTATGCCAAAAACAGTAACAAGTCTCACAATGGAGACGTTACTGGTGCCTGCTCAAGCAAATTGATGAACAGCAGGAGGACAGTGCTACAGTGCGATTAATTTATTTGATTGAATCACTGTGAGATATAGATACAAAGCTTTCATGATTTAGTTTCTGTCACATAGCCTTGTGTTTCTTATTTGAGATCGGTTGCCTTCTGCTTTGCATCCCACCCAATGTGGCGTGCAATTCCTGGTTTATCAGTGGTATAGGGCTGGAGCGATAGCACAGTGGTAGGGTGTTTGCCTTGCGCACAGCCAGCCCGGCCGAGTTGGGTTCGATTCTTCCGCCCCTCTCAGCCTGGCAGGCTACCCATGACGTATTCAATATGCCAAACACAGTAACAACAAGTCTCATAATGGAGACGTTCGAGCCAATTGATGAACAACGGGAGGACAGTGTTTGACAGTTTGACAGATAAGGGTATGAGATGACGCACCAATGCACTATTCTAAGATTTTTTATGGAGCCCAGCCCCCCCCCATTTTTTTTGCTCTTTGGATCACACCTGGCGATGCACAGGGGTTACTCTGGCTTTGCACTCAGTTGTTACTCCTGGCGGTGCTCAG